GATTAATTCGTATTTTCATATTATTTTATAAATCACTAAAAATTATATTTACAAGTTTGTAATTAACTTATACAAAATATTAGAACTGATTATAACCAGTTAGTAAAATATGAATATAATGGCAACTAACTGAAACTTACTTGTTAAATTCGAGATAAAAATGAAGCAACCTACATATAACTCGAAAGTTATACAGAATACTCTTGAAAAGTTAGTTATAAGTACCCTTAACAGAATTTCCAGTAATTTGAATTTCAAGTAAATTAAAAAAAAAAAAGAACATTTTGTTTCTCCATTGTAAATTTGTTATGTCACCAAAATTTAAAAAAAAAAGAAATTTCATTTAAAATGTTTCATAAAAAAAACAGGAAATGAAGTGCTAAAAAATCTACATAAAAAATACTTATAATTAAACTTTTCTTAGAGTTTCTTATTTCCTTTTGAAAAGTCGTTATTTTTAATATTCTGTCCTATTCTTGCCGCCTCAAGATATAATAATATTTAATGTTTGTTATCTCCTTTTTTCATTATGTGCGAGTATTTTAATTATCCCTGTGGCATTTTTTTTTCTTTTTTTTTTTTTTTTAATTCTTTTGAAGATTGTACTTTAATTAAATTGAGTCATAAACAAATGTAGAATGAAGAAAATAGACAAAAAAGAAAAAATTCTTTTACCTTAGTTACGTGACAGCAAAGAAGTTGAGAGAAATTGTGTAAGATAAAGAAAAATATATCTCAATAAAAGGGAGGAATTTTATATATATATATATATATATATAAAGTAACATTTATAGAAGCGGATGCTACCAATGGGATTTGTCAAAAAAAAAAAAAAAAATTTACGTTCAAAGCGTGCGATTTATCCTCAGGGGCATTTTACAAGAGGTCACTTATGAATCGATATATGTGCGGTTTCACAATATTTTACTAAAGATCAAACAAGGTAATTTAAAAAAAAAATGGGGGGGGAAACTATAAAAGTTCCTTTTTCTGCTACCTCAGCAAGAATGAGGATTTTTTTTTAGGATAAAAAGGATGGCTCGTAAAAAGACAACAATATTTGTTGTCCACCTCTATATAAAAGATCATATTGGTATAGTTTTCCTTTTCAAAAAGTTATGATCGGCTGACAATAAAATTTCCCCAAGTTTTATGACTTAAGAAGTTATATATTGTAAAATGTCACATTTATCATTTTTAACTGTTTTATAGTGTAAAGCCCGTCAGTTTAAGGTGTATTTATGAACCCGGAAGAGCAAAGTGCGGAAGTTCATTTTCGTGATTTATAATAATAAAATTAGAAAATATATACAATTTTTCTTGCACTGATATACAAATTTTATACAAAATTTTCATACTCGAATAAAAAAAAAAAAAAATCTAGTGTTAGAAGCGATATGAAATATTGTGTGTGATATTGATAAGGGAGTGGCAAATAGTAAATATAAGCATTGCTCTTTTTTTTTTTTTTTTTTTTTAATATTGGGGTATATGTCGTCGAATTGTTGATTACTCTTGAGAAAAAATAAGGTCATCATTTGAACACGTAACATGTGCACTATGTATGGTAGTGACAAATATGAAAAAGTGCACAACCATTAAGTGAAAAAAGTGAAAAAAACGGTGTTCTATCCCTACACACCAGAAAATGTATATATTGATGATAAATAGAGGAACATCAAACCTTTTTTTTTTACATCATTTTTTTGAAAAAATAATTTTCACTAAAAAAAATGCAATTTTTAAATTTTCTCTCTATTGATTATAAATTATCTAAAAAATTTGTGAGAATTAATTCAAATTTTCACTTTGTTTTAATAAAATATTACTGGTTTAGTAAATATATTTTTCTACCAAAATTTTTAGTAAAAAAATAACTAGTTTTTAGTTAAATATTACTACCAGACATTTTTTGGAATTAGAAATATTTTTTTTTTTTTTTTTATCAAAATTTTAATGACTTAGTAATTAACTAATTTTAAATTATAAAGTAATAAACAAATATTAATATTTAATTTAATAATATATATTTTCCTAAAAAAAATTTTTTTGTGAAAAAATGACTTAAAAATAAGGGGAAATTTTTACTAATTTAAATTAGTAAACAAATTCTCACTAAAACAAATAACAGTAAAATATTGATATTTTTTTTTATCAATAATATCGATGGTAATGAAGAAGAGAACATATTTTTTTTATCGATAAAAATTTTTTTTTTGAAAGGAAAATATGAAGATGAACTTCAAAAAAAAAAAAAAAAAAAAAAAATTCCTTAACTTTCATTCAAAACTCTTATATATATTTACCTCACTTGAGCGACTTTGCTTTTTGATGTCTGAAGAGACTTTTTTTTAACGAGCTCTTCTCGATACTTTAACTAATTATAAACAATCGTAATTACCGAGAAACTTTTCATATTCATAATTTTAATCATAAAAAATTAAATAAACTTCTCAATTCAATTTTTTTTCAAGTAGATATATATGTAATAATAATAATAATAATAATAATAATAATAATAATAATAATGATAATAATTTATAACTTTTTCATGTATCTTCTTTATAAAAAAAATTATATAAAATTATTTATAAATTAAATTATTCGTTATAGGGTGTGAAATTTAAAAAAATATTCTTCCAATTTTCCTATAAAAAATTGCCAATGAGTTTAATAAGCGAAAATAATTAAAATTGTCCATTTATTTGGGGGGAGGGGGAAATTATATCGAAATTATTTTCTTTTACTATATATTATTTTTTTTTAAGATAAAATATTTTAATTTCATAAAGAGAAAAAAAAATCCCTATATGTATATTTATTTTTCTACGCTTCATAAAGAATAAATTAATTCTCATGTTTTTTAAGAATGTAACAGAGTCTCTTTGTCAGATGAGAGTGGTTTCGTGATATTGCATAGTTAATAACATTCTGCCACGAATTCTAACAGAATCTTGCCTCCACTACTAAATAATCCACCTGGCTGAAGATTATACCATCTTATATACTCTGTAAGAGCTTACCTAATTCCAAAAAATGTCCGACTATATATATATATATATATATATATATATATATATTATTATATTTTCTCTTAATAAGAACTTATCTCAAGAGATTAGAAAATCTTATGTATATTAAATCAAGTTAATATTATCATTCACTATATATATATAATTTATTCTTCAGTTATTTTTTCAACTAAAAGTTATAATTAAAAATTGTATTTTTTTTTTCATTTTCCCATTTTAAATATTACACGCAGGGAATTAGCAAGAAAAAATGAGTTTCTATTTTTTAGAAGCCTTCTACAAAAAATTTTGAAATAATTAAGAAGAAAATTTATGACTCATAAACAATGAAAATTCTAATTAACAAGTAATTTATTGGAAAAAAAACAACTTAATAGCAAAAAATGTAAATAATTATATTAATAAAATTAAATCGACACTCATTTGAAGAAATAACAACAATATAAATATGTGTGAGAAAAATCGCTATGTCCTAGATGTGAATCTTTTTTCCCAGATTGTATATACTAAAATTTTATAATCCACTTAGGTACTACTTTTCGAGACTGGATTCTATCTTAAAAGAAACTTCTTAACTGGGGTAAATTTAGTTACTGGAATCTTATCGAACAAATGTGAAAATGTACAAAGAAGAAAAAGAAGAGTATAAAAAAAGAAAAAAATTTTTAAAATTGAACCATTTTGTTTTTTTTTTTTTATACAACTATTCAAAAGAAAAATATTTCTCTATTCAGTTTTTTTTTGAAAATGTCATATAATTTGAAAATTTTTGATATACGAAATTTAAATGGAATAAACTTAAAAATATACTTTTTTAAAAACATTTTCTCATCCGCTTGATATAACATGTGAACTTGTGTTCAATGAAACGTGAAACATTAAAGCGCATAATCTTTCCTTTGCAGGAACCGCGCCATCAGAAACATCGCATATTTCACCTTCCTTTCTGTATATATATATATATACTACATTCAATATGGAACTTTTATGAATTATCTTCATGCTTCTTAATCTTATCTTATAACCGCACAAACATTTCATCACCCTTGAGAATTTCAATTTGAAATTTCTAACATTTTTCATATATACAAACTTGAAAGAGATATAATATATAATATTAACACAGTTTGGAATTTTCTTGTCAAACTGAGGGAATAATTTTCTTCAAATGTTTATATATATATTTTTTTTGAAAGATTACTTCTATAATTCATTGCGATTTTTTTTTTATATGAAAAAAATCCAAAGAAAACCATTTTTTTTTTCTATTGAAAATTTGATTCTTCGATTGAGAATTTTATTAAGAAAAGTAATTAAGAGATTAAAAATTTCAAAAAAAAAAAAAAAAACAATTTAGGCATCAATCCAAAAAAAAATATATATATGTGAAGAAAAAATCGTGGTACATATGATAAAACTGGGAATTTATTCCATGTTGATATCGTGACCAATTTGAGGCATAAGATTTTATATACGTTTATATGAGCTTCGTGTGCAGGACAAGAGAAATAAATCGTGACTTATGTATGGCACAAAATTGCTTTAATACTATATATATATATATATATATATATAGAAAAAACGCATTAAAGTAGAAATTACTAAACTATATTTTTCCATTTAGTAAAATCTCAACTCTCTCAAGTAGAATATTAAAACTAAAATCAAACCCTCTGCGTCCATATCGAAAACTAACCAGAATTAAGTTATTTTATTCGCCTCCAGTATATATTGTAATTAATCTTGATCGACTTTTAATGAAATAATCGACTACCAATTTGACACCGAGAATTTCCAATATTAGAAATTAACGATATCGTATAAACTATGGTCAATCTTTTATTTGAATTTTTATTTCATCTCTCTTTTTAAATATTAATAATCAGAAAATCATTTTTTGAAAAATTTTCCTATTTTTAAATTTATTAATTAATCCTTAATTTGAAAATAAAAAGTTTATCGACTTACATTGAACTGCCATTCAGCTGTATTACATGTCCTTCAGGAGCTGATAAACACCTTTGGCTTCAGAAACGAACATATCTGAAAAATGTAAAAAAAAAGACAAATTCGTAGATAAAACAATAATAATTAGAGAAAATATATAAATAAACGATTAAAAATATTAATTAAAAAATCGAAAGAATTTGGAAAGATTTTGATTTTTTCTTTAATTTGATAAGAAACCTAATTATTCGATATAATAAAAGTTTCGAAATTATGTCGATGTGGTACTTGTATATAAAAAAAATTAATTAACAATTAATAATAATTATTAATTAAAAAAGTTAGATTAATTTTCATGTATATATAATACACAAGTGTATGTCTTTTACGAGATTTCAACATTGCCTGCGAAATTATTGACGTGGAAGAAAGTAAATGGCGATAATAAAGTGTGTAAACTCAAAGTAGCACGTAAACGGAAACTAGTGACGTCATTCTGCGGATGCACAGCAGATGCTGAAAGTGCACCGACCTCATCCGTCCTCTACGAAACTGCAGAAGGTGTGACGTCATCGCGCAGATCCTCCTACAGTTTCCATGGGGACGATGACGTCGTTCCGCGAAACTGGAGAATAAGAAGGTCGACGATATATATATATATATATATATATATATATATATATATATATATATATATATATGAGAGGGGAGTGTGTTGTAATACAACCAAATAAATGGCTGACTATATATATATATAGAGAGAGAGAGAGAGAATCAAGAGAGATTCAACCCGGAAGAGGCAAATTTTATTTTCGCTTACAATTCCACGTTTATCATTTATAATACGAAAATTTCAAGAAAAAAAAAAAAAAATTATTCACACTCATTTAGGTCGCAATTTTACATGCGATAAAAAATTCCTTCTTAATCAAATATTTTTCATCCCCTATATATAAATTTTTTGAGCTTAAAATCAGTTTGCTGCAAACTATTCATAGATCTATAATAATTTTTTTTAATAATAAGTTAACAATTTTCTTCTATTTACCACTTCTATAGATTTTTCGATTAAAATTGTACCAATAATAATTTTAAGAATACGCGAGAAATGCTTTTAACAAAATTGTATACCACAATATCACAGTGAAACGTATATATATAAAACTAAGAAAGAAAAAAAAAAGTAGAATTGCTAATTGCATAAGGATTCTTTGCAGAAAGCAGCTTTCGCGCAGAGAGCTAAACTAAATTCAATAATACCTGCTTTCCCTGTTTGCAAAAGCAAGTGTAGGCGTTGGATATGAAAAAATATAGTCCTCATTTCGCTTTTCAGAAGATGAAGAAGAAGAAGAAGATAAAGAAAAAAAGAGAAGAAAAAGGTTCTTTTACAAAAGTAGTTCACCAGAGGGAAAATTTAAGAAGCAAAAAGGATATTATCGTTCTCAACATTTTTTTTACCCCTTTTAGATAAGTTTCTTTTTTGAATTATGCATCTTGATAGCTGTGTGAAAATTCAATGTATATTTTTAAAATGAAAAATGCAAAAAAAAAAAATTTTTTATTATATTATTATTCCTTTTTACGGAATAGAGTTCAATCTTTTATATTGATCAAATATAATATTAGTGAAGAAATAAATTTCAAGAAAGAAGGAAAAAGAGATATATATGAATAAATATATAAAAAAAAAAAAATTGAACCATCGCGAGTTGCATTTGCAGTGAAAGATATAGGGTTCCGTACAACCTTCAAATATATTTTGTATGCAAACATGAATTAAAAAAAAAAAAAAATTAACAACCATTAGTAACCAATACCATAATGCACTACTAAAGGAAAAAAAATTACCAACAAGTTCACAATCATTGGTAACAACTAACTAAGAGCTACATGAAAAAAATTACCAATGATTTTTACAACTATTGGTAACAACTAAAACTACAAGCAAAAATTACCAATGATTTTAACAACCATTGGTACTACTAACTAAAACTACATGCAAAAATTACCAATGATTTCTACAACCATTGGCAACAACTAAAACTACAAGCAAAAGTAACCAATGATTTCTACAACCATTGGTAACAACTAACTAAAACTACATCCAAAAAGTTACTAATGATTTCTACAACCAATAGTAACGACTAAAACTACAAGCAAAAGTTACCAACGATTTCTACAACCATTGATAACTACTAACTACAACTAAAACTACAAGCAAAAAGTTACTAATGATTTCTACAACCAATAGTAACGACTAAAACTACAAGCAAAATGTTACCAACGATTTCTACAACCATTAGTAACAACTAACTAAAACTACATACAAAAAGTTACCAATGATTTCAACAACCATTGGTAACAACTAAAACTACAAGCAAAGTTACTAATAATTTCTACAACCATTGGTAACAACTAAAACTACAAGCAAAGTTACCAATAATTTCTACAACCATTGGTAACAACTAAAACTACAAGCAAATGTTACCAATAATTTTTACAACCATTGGTAACAACTAACTAAAACTACATGCAAAAAGTTACTAATGATTTCTACAACCAATAGTAACGACTAAAACTACAAGCAAAAGTTATCCATGATTTCTACAACCATTGGTAACTACTAACTACAACTAAAACTACAAGTAAAAGTTACCCATGATTTCTACAACCATTGATAACAAGTAACTACAACTAAAACTACATACAAAAAGTTACCAATGATTTCAACAACCATTGGTAACAACTAAAACTACAAGCAAAAGTTACCAACGATTTCTACAACCATTGGTAACAACTAACTAAAATTACATGCACATAGTTACCAATGATTTTTGCAACCAATAGGAACGACTAAAACTACAAGCAAAAGTTATCCATGATTTCTACAACCATTGGTAACTACTAACTACAACTAAAACTACAAGTAAAAGTTACCCATGATTTCTACAACCATTGATAACAAGTAACTACAACTAAAACTACATACAAAAAGTTACCAATGATTTCAACAACCATTGGTAACAACTAAAACTACAAGCAAATGTTTCCAAATGATTTTTCCAACCATTGGTAACAACTAACTAAAATTACATGCACATAATTACCAATGATTTTTACAACCATTGGTAAGTACTAACTACAACTACATGCGCAAAATTACCAATGATTTCTACAACCATTGGTAACAACTAACTAAATCTACATGCAAAAAGTTACCAATGATTTCTACAACCATTAGTAACAACTAAAACTACAAGCAAAAGTCACCAATGATTTTCACAACCATTGGTAACAACTAACTAAAACTACATGCAAAAAATGCAAACATGCAAATCACAACAAAGCACTACTAAAAAAAAGAACTAATAATACGATTTTACAATTTTTGGTATCTACTAAAGAAAAAAATTACGAAGTATACGGAACCCTATAAATATACCAACTTAAAATACTAACAAATGCAAGAATTATGAATATTTATATTTATTATAATTAATAACTCTATTTTAACTGAGTATTGATCTTTGCGATAAAAAATTAACAAACACTTTAATTTCTAAAATCTAAATTAAAAAAAAAGAAAATTTTACATTACATATAACAATGTTTCAATAAAAATTCGTTATTCCAAACTTCGCACACAACTTTCCAGACATGTTTTTGTCTTTGAGCATTCTCGTTACCGTGATTATACATATATACATATTTCTATTTTATGTATTTATGGTATCATATATGCATAAATCACTGCTTACATTACACATATATGATATTGCAAAAACATGCAAACCGTGAAATTCTCTTTAGAAATGAAAAACAATATGTGTGTAACGTTTCCGCATAGAATAGCAGAACAACCTCGCTTATCATTGTCGGCATAATAATATGTAATAGAAACAAATGTTGGTAATTTTTTTTTTCTTTAACTAAAATTGGAATTGCAAATTCAAAAAATATCCCTCTCCTATCTACACGCGAGTAAAAATAAAATTTAAATCACAATAAATATGAAATTTTCTTTTTTATAAGTGAGAAATAAAAAATTATATATTTTATATTGATTTTCAGTGTAATATCTCACTTATTTGATTTTACAAATTGTAATTTTCCATTGCGCAATAAACATATAAATAAATATATATATGAAAAAGAAACCTTTTCTAAATAATATGCAAATGGAAATTCTGGCACTAAAGGTAAATGCAGTTATGCAGAGCATGTTAGAAATGCAGAAAGTTCGATGACTGAACCTCTTACGCATGCGAAGAGAAAATCAAGTAACGTGTACCGAATTATACGACTGATGCTATTCCCAGTGCATCGCATATTCTATATATTTAAACGATATTCATCGGAGAAACTTGTAATAGAGGACACGCGAGCTCGAGAAATTTTGAAGGATCAGGAATAAAATTATTCTCTCATGGAATATAATATATTTTCACGTATAACATCAAACTAATTTTCAGCTTCTGTATATATAAATATATATATATCAGTAAAATCAAATATTTGATAATCTAATACAATTATATTAACTATTAATCCTTTATATTATTAAATTTTACCAAAATTATTTTCAAAATCGAGAAAAATTACTCTATTTTTGTTTTCTTTTTTTCACCCTAATAAAATAGTGAAAGATTTTTACTGAAAAATTTAAAACTTTTGCTATATACTTGAAACCTTTTGCTGTTCCTATTTTTCCGTCAACAAAACTCGATTATCATTTCTAAGTATTAGTTTCGATAAATTCTCATTTTTTTATATCCTAAATTGTATTTATAAAACTTAATTATTAATTAATATTAATAAAAATTATTTCAATATAAATACTCACTGTTTTCATGAATGTCCTCCCAACGAAGACGACCACAGCAAAATGATAGTCTCCAAGCCATTTATCTCCAGAGATCCCTCCTCTATGGGTTAGAATCAAAATTTCCTGAATATTTGAAAAATAACCTTTTACAAGGAGACTGGATTTTAATGGCTCGAATTTCTCTTCTTGCTGTACCTGGAGCTGTTTCCCCAAGTCTAAATCATCAATACCGGAAGCTGAAAAAAAAAAAGAAATTAAAACATTAATTTATGCACAAAATCTAAAAATAAAAATATTTGTTGTCAATAATGTAAATAATTTTTTATTCCAAGAATATTTCCCTTCAAAGTAAATTTTATTAATACAATTTAAAAAAAGGACAATAGAAATATTTTCCAAAATTTCCGTTAGCGATAGAGGAAAAATTTAAAGATATATAAACGAATATTTAATATTTTTAGTAAAATAAAAAGTATTAAGAAAAAATTTTTCAACTGCTTCTCTGTTTGCCAAAATGTTAACATTATTTTTAAAATCGAGAAAAATATCATAAGCCAAGAAATATAATGGTCATAATAAAAATTGTTATTGGTCGAGAGGTTATAAAAAATGCATTAAGAGAACGCGACAGATGACAAATTTTACGAATAAGAATTCTAACACCTCTTTTATAATTGTACAATAAACGTAGAAATTATATGACAGAAGTTAAAGTGTGTATACTTATAGTACTTCTAATAAACTTATATATATATACAAATAAAAATTCAAATAGAGAAAAATTAAAAAAAAAAATTATTCTATAAAAAACAATTTCGAATATAAATAAATTTTTTTATATATAAATTATATTATTTTCGTAGAGAAATTTAAAAAAGAAAATGACCTAGAAATCGTATTTCCGGAAAGAAGACACTATTCACATATATAAGAAAAGAAACTGACCCTTTTTAGTATAAATTTGTCTCCTTTCATTTATATAGAGAGGACGTTTATTTTTCTCTTCGTTAGCTTTGAACAATTTATCGATTTTTCTCAATCTCGATCTACTATACTACTGTGACTTCAGAGACGCGAGATTCAATTTAATCGCGAACAGGAAATCCGATCGAGCATCATATCCGATATCCTGTAGATATATATATATATATAATATTTGTCGACTATTATTTTACGTTTCTTGATTTTTGGTCATTTTATATCCGACCGCTTTCACGTCATATGTATATATGTATATATATCAAAGTTATTTGAGTTCATCATAAAGTTATTGTTGTTTGCGCAAATAATAAGCCTGAGGGCATCTCTTCAAGTCTCTAACATAAGCATCTCATACATATATAAATATGATCTTATAAACAATATTATTTTGAAAAAACTTTTTATATTAACATTTTTTTTCTTTCATTTTATGTTGGTATTTGAATTTTACAAATTATTTACTATTTATTAATTCCATTTAATTAATTTAATTTATTTATTTAATATATTTAATGAATTTTTTTATTATATTTATTTTATTATATTTTTTTATTTATTTAATATGTAAAAATTTGAAAAGTTATAAATTGCAGAAGAAAAAAAATGGGATGCACATAAAATAAAATCCAACACGGAAGTTAATTGCAAAAATCTCATATATGAAAAATTCTATACATAATTTAATATAAATGCCATTAAATACGCGGAAATCCCAAACGGAATTATATATACACGAACATTGTTTTTGGAATTGAAAAAAATTTCATTAAAAATACAAACTTGGATTATTGTTATACGTGGGATAAAAAAAAAAAAAAAAAAAAAAAAATTCAACGAAATAATATTATTAATAAATTTTTTCGTGAAAAATGTACATGCATTTTTTTCGAAACTATTTTATCAGAGATGCGGTACTTTTTGTAAATCTATAAATAAAATTTTAATTTCATTTTTACAGAACAGAATTTTTATTTACGCATATTGATAAGAGGATAGTCAATTTTGAATGAGAGAAAGAAAAATGAAAATTTTTTCAAAAAAAAAAAAAAGAAAAACAAACAAATATAATAGAAAATAAAAAAAATTCTAAAATGAGTGAACTCCTAGATGGAGTAAAATACAAAGAAATAAATTAAATATATAAAAGTAAATATTTTCAAACGAAACTAAATTCTTCAAAAAGAGTGAAATATCACTCTAAAATAGTAATGCCAAAAGATTAGGATTAAAATTAGAAAGTTTTTCAAAAAAAAGTATAAAATATTACTCCAAAAAGCTATAAATCAATCCCCCCCCCCAAAAAAAAAGATAAAGAAACTAATTATGGAAATAAAATATCACTCTAAAAATGAGTAAAAAAGAAGAAAAAAAAATATAATATCTCAAGTAGACTATGAAATATCATTCCACTAAACTTGAGAAGCGAAGAAAAATGTATTCCGATATAAAAATTGTTCTCGCAAACTCTTTTCATGCAAATAATTTAAACAGATGTATTATGTCAAGTATAAAATGGCAAAGTATAAATTTCTTGTGCGAATATGTTTATATACACAAGAGTTACGCATCAAAAAAAGAGGAAAAAAAAATAAAAGAGAGAGAGAGAGAATTTTTTAAAAAAAAGTAACGTGATAAGAGTAAGGGGATAGGGAAAGCTTATTATGTTTGATTAAGGGTGTGGGATCTTTATAAGAGCTTTAATTGAAGTCACCCCCCCCCCCCACACCTTTAAGGTCGGTATGGAGCTCAGGTAAACTGATGAGGCTCACATTCAGCTATTCTTGGTGCCTAAATTGTTGACTTTACGCTCCACCCGGCGTCATGTCGCTTTCAATTTTGTTTGTCTCTCTTTCTCTTATACATGTGTATCGATTTTTCACATTTATTTTAAAATTAAAAGAATTTTTCTCTTTTTTTTCTCTCTTAAATAAAAATTATTTAATTCAAATAATCGACTATAAACACAGAAAATTAAAATGCATTAAAATAAGCTGGCAACGCTTATTATTTTAATACAATTTTGCTTATTTTAATCTATTTTGGTATTAAAATGAGCAAAATTGGATTAAAATAATAAGCGTTGCAGCCTATTTTAATCTTTTAATTTTTTGTGAATATAGTTACTTGAACCAAAATAATTTTTTTTTTTTTTTCAATTAAATTAAACTTATTTCTCTATTTTTAAAACAAATATCCTATTATTTGATACAAATAAATATTTATATAACAATAGTCGAATAAGTAAATTTTTTTTTTCCTCTTTTCGTTATAATTCTTCATATAAAGAAAATTTGTATTGAAAATTCTATTTATGAATTATTTCAAATTTTTAAAATATAAAAAAATTAATTAAATTTTTAATAAATGAAAAATTTATACTTTATACTAAAACTACTTCTAAATAATTGACGAACAATTTTTTTAACTCGCTGCCTTTGAAAGCATCTGAGTTTTCCTTTGAATTTAACCAACGTATACATGTTTTCTTATACTTTTTTTTGCACACACCTTTTCTTGAGATTAAAGTTTTAACGTAAACTCAAAGCGTTGCTCTTAAACGTGCTCTACTCACGAAACTATTTCTCAAGTTATTAAAAGTCTTATATACTAAGATAACATCAGAGTTGAAATTCAGTGAAGATTCATAAGAAAAACTTTGACTATATAGTGTTGAGGGAAATTTATTTGTAAATCAAATGAAAGATGGTATCGATTTTTTTTTTTTTTGGGCTCTGCACACAAACTTTATCCAAGAGAGAAACTTGGAAAAAATTTTGGAATATAAGGGGTTAGCACCCTTTCCTCATGATTGACGGATTTATAGTAAAGCAGGTCAATCGCTATATTCGAACCCAAGAGAGAGAGAGAAAGAGATATGGCAGACGCCTCTCTACACATTTGCTGATAGTATTTACAGTATCAACTTGGAGACACAATCTCGCAAAGTTTTCGTTTTTTTGCAACGTTTATTTTTTATTAGCCTCATCGATAATTTTATCTGCGTCAATATATAAATAAATTTTATCGAAAAATTCTAAATTTTTTTTTTTTTTCGAAAAAAATCCGATATTAAAATTTAAGAAAAACAAATTAAACACCCAATCACCATATAATTCCTTTTGTCTCATTTCAGTTCTTTAAAATTGTTTTTTTTTTCAAATTACAAAAAAAGAAACAAAATATCGAAAAATTACATTTGAATTCAATATTTTAAAAGCAAATTTTATATTGCACAAAAGATGAAATATAAATCAATATGAAAGAAATGTGAATGACAGGGGCGCATGAATATCTCATAAAAATCATTAGCTAGAATTTTCATTTGTATGAATTTCATTTGACAGAATTTTCATTTTTCTAATTAGCATTTGAGTTATCTTCTTTGTAAACGAAATTTTATTCAACATAATTTTCAGGTACCGAATTTTCATTTAACATCATTTTTATTTTAACAAATTTTTTGCTCTCCAACTTTGTATTTTAAAGCATTATAATTTAAATCAATTTTAATTTATCAAAATACTCATTCAACAGAATTTTAGTGATTCGAATTGTTTAATGTCAAAATTTTTAATTTATCGAATCTTTATGTGTCCGCATTTTTTGTTTTTATAAATTTTTATTTAATAGAATTACTAAACCAGCGAATTTTCATTTGACAGAAATTACAAATATAGCGAAACAAACAAATGTCAGAAAGATTTCGGCGCAGTTTTTAAAACAGACAAATAAGAAATTATTAAGAAAATTGTGTTTGGTCTATTTTAAAAACTGCACCGAAATCTTTCTGACGTTTGTTTGGTCGGACATTTTTAATTTCTATTAAATGATAATTCGATGTTTTAGAAACTCTATCAAATAAAAAATTCGTGAAAACGAAAAATTCTAACACATGGAGATTCGACAGTTTAAAAATTCTGACATTAAATAATTTGAATCACTAAAATTCTGTTGAATTAGAATTTTGATAAATTAAAATTGGTTTAAACTTTGTTAAAATAAAAATGATGTTACATAAAAATTCGGAACCTTAAAATTATGTTGAATAAAATTTCGTTTACAAAGAAGATAACTGAAATGCTAATTAGAAAAATGAAAATTCGTCTAAAAAAAAATTCTGTCAAATGAAATTCATAAAAATGAAAGTTCTAGCTAATGATTTTTATGAGATATTCATGCGCCCCAAATGACAAAGTCAAAAAATTATTCTTTCTATTTTTATATTCCAAAATGAAAATTGTTTCAAATCTATACAGAAATTACTGAATTCTATACAAATTACTAAATTTCAATATGAATTTTGATGTCAAAATGTTTGCGGTTTTTGCACTTTCATTGAAGGAAAAAAATGAAAAAGCTTTTTAAAGAGGTATTACAAAATATTATATATATATATATATATATATATATATATATATATATATATATATATAAATAAAAATAATTCATAAAAAGAGATGAAAGACTCTCTTTATTTACTACTCTATTGTTAAATTCGTCGCCCCTCTATTTTAACTTCGAAACAAAAAAAAAACAAAAGAGAAAACACAATTAAGTTATGAAACAAAAAATCAATACACCGCAGATAAATGAAAGAATTACGAGAGAAAAAAAAGAAGAAGTTTTCAAGAAACTCCTATTAAAGATTACAAAGAGATTCAGGAGAATAGTTGAAAAAAAAATTGTATTTCCAAAGCAATAAATAAAAACCAAAAAGAATTAATAGAAAGTGAGAAAAAGATGAAATTGAAATTTATCGAGTATAAACTTTTTTTAGAGTGCGGAAATTGAGCAAAAGTCGGAAAATTTATGATCGAGAGTCTGTCAATAGGACCATTATTTCTTTTTTTTTTTGTATAATGAAGGGTAAATTTTCCAAGTATATTATTGTGAAATATAATGTAGGGAAAATAAAAAAAAATAAAAAAAAAATGTGTGTGTCCCCGAGCTCAGTAACGTCTACCACTTTGGGTTTCAGCTGTGCACTGACCCGATTTTCAGTCCCTATCTACCATGACGTTCATACTGTGACGTCATTTTTGTTCTGACGTCATTGAAAACCCTCTTTTCCGTATAACCATTGAGAGCGCGTCCTCGACGCTCCCGACGAAGCTTAATGGTCGTGTCCTGTCTCATTCATGCGAATATTTCTTATCCTTGTCTTTTAGTCTTGCTCTACTTTTCTCCAAAAACAGATCAATATATACTGCAGTTGTATCTTCCCTTAAATATATATATATATAATATGTTTACGTGTAAACATAAACGGAAGATATTTTCCCTTATAATTATATTCTTTTTAGAAATTTATCAATTTTTATAATATTTTTTTAGTCATCAACTTTTCTATATATTTTGAATAATTGCATATAATTGAACAATATTGAAGTAAACAAGTTCCAAAACGAAAATTTCAAGAAAAAAGTTTCAAGTTCCCTAAAAATTTATTTTTCCAAAATATCAAATTCCAAAAAAAACCCTAGGGTAAATGCACTAATTACGACGCGATTCGAGTCAAAACACCTTTGAATTAGAAAATTCGACATTTCTATTGTATCACTGAAAAAAAAATTTATTTGTTTCAAATACTCCATTACTTGACTATTATCAAATAAATATTTATTTGTATCAAATAATTATTATTTGAGATGATATTTGTTTCAAATACAGAAATTATTGGTTCAAATACAATTTATTTAATTCAAATAAAAATTATTTGGTTCAAATAAATATTTATTTGATAATACTCAAGTAATCGAGTATATTTGAATCAAATAAATTTTTTTTTCAGTGTATAAACTCAATTTAAGACTTATTAAACTAAAAGCTTATGTTATTTAGATATTAAAAAAAAAATTTAACACTTATAAAAATCGATTATTTAAACAAATATGAGAAATTAAAACTGATACCGTAATTTTCTATTGCGGCGCATTTGTATCAATTACGTGTATTTTGAAGATACTTTGCCCGCCGAAATTTGGGCCAATGGAAATATTAAAAATGTTTAAATTCCGAGACGGAAAAAAATTTGATCTCAATTAATTAAATTAATAATTATTTAAATGTACATCTTTATATAATTGTATCAAAAAAAGATTAAAATAATTTTTTTTCATAATCATTTTCCAACAGTTATATTAAATATAATAGTAATAATAGTTATTTTTTATGAACACGCCGTAATTGGTACATCTGCTCTACCTATTTTTCCATCTACAAAACTCGATTAATTATTCATTTATAATTTATTTAATAAATTCTCACATTTTTATATCCTAAATTGTATTTATAAAACTTAATTATTAATTAATATCAATAAAAATTATTTCAAGTTAATATAAATACTCACTGTTTTCATGAATTTCCTCCAACGAAGACGCGATCACAGCAAAATGATAGTCATTTATCTCTAGCGATCGGTTAGAATTAAAATTTCCATGAACTGATTTGAAAAATAATCTTTTGCAAGGAGATCGAATTTTAATGGCTCGAATTTCTCCTTTTGCTGTACTTTTTCCCCCAAGTCTAAATCATCAATACCGAGAGCTGAAAAAAAGAAAAAAACATTAATTTATGTAAAAACATAGGGAAAAAAAAATGATAGAAAAAATCAAAATATTTTTAACAACAAATTGTTGGCGATTTAAATTTTTGTCGATTATGAACAAATAAAAGCATTTATAATTATGAGAACAATTTTTTTTTTTTTTTTTTTGGTTGGTATTACAAAATAAAATTGTTGGAGCAATAAAATAGATTGTTTTTGTGTTTCTTCACCTTATTTTGTTGTACCAAACATAATTTTGTTGGGCCAATCAAAATATATAGTTCTTATCGCATGCGCAACTGATTTGAAAGAAAAAAAGAAAATAACCTCAAAAAAGTGAAAGTAAGAAAAAATTCAAATTTTTATTATATTAATATAAATACTCACTGTTTTCATGAATGTCCTCCCAACGAAGACGACCTCAGCAAGACGATAGTCTCCAAGCCATTTATCTCCAGAGATCCCTCCTCTAGGTTAGAATCAAAATTTCATGAAAATTTGGAAAATAACCTTTTGCAAGGAGACCGGATTTTAATGGCTCGAATTTCTCTTCTTGCTGTGCCTGGAGCTTTTTCCCCAAGTCTAAATCATCAATACCGGAAGCTAAAAAAAAAGAAATTAAAACTAAAACATCTAAAAAAAATGATAGGAAAAATCAAAATAGCAACAATTTGTTGTCAATTATGAACTAGACAATGTTTTTTGAAAGATATTATCATTCTTTGACATTAAACACATCTGCGATAAAACTTTTTGAGAAACTTACCATATTCAGAAAAAACTGCAGCAAATAATAATCCGCGCCTAATTAAAAGAGAATAACCATAACCTCAAAAAAGTGACATTTTATTCTTTTCATAAAGTTTTATTATTTATATATTATCATTTAAGACTAAATTTTTCATATTTTTCTCAAATAAAAAATTGCTATAATAGCAATTGTATATAGCTAAAGTAGCTAAATATTAACTAAGATTTAGCTATCATTTTTTCTCTCCAAGACGTTAAGAGTATATACAAGTTCAACAAAAAAAGATACAAAAGCATTATTATATATCAAGACGTTAATTCTGTTGATTGTTCATTAAATAATCTACATAAAGTCTTCATCTAGTTTAATGATGTAATTAAATGATTATATGATAGTTTGTAAGGTATGTATATCTATATCTAAGTCCTCAGAAATTCTATATACAATATGGAAGGACATTTTATGGAGGTTTCGTACCAAATGTTGTGCATATGTGGTATTTCTATACGCACGCATAAAACATAACGTGATCTAAATTTTGAATTCTTCGCAAAATAATAATAATAAAATGAAAGACACACACACACACGATAAAAATAGCAATTAATAAAGCGTAGAGAAGAACATTTTTATGGCTTCCAACGATGAAAGGGCAAAAAGAAAAATCAGAATTCAAAGAATCTTGGCCATTCATGTCAAATTTAATTTCTTAAACTTGCTTTCCTTCGATTCAATGGTTCTTTCAATTTATCAGAAATATGATCCTTACAAGAAGATCAAAAGATGAAATTCGCTTCTTGGTTCTTCAAATTCATTTCGATATTCTACTTTATTGCGACAAAGGTTCAATTTCATATACATATATATAACTGTTCAGACCAATATGGAAATAACCTATATTATACCAATGTTCCTATAACTAAATTTAATATTCCTGATTTTTTGAAGCGAATATTTTTTTTCTACAATTTAAAAATTTACTTTCCAAATAAAAAATGATAAAATCGGATAAAAAATGAGAATAAATCCTATTTAGAATATTAAAAAAAATAAGAGAATAAAAAAAATTGATTATACGAAAAAAATTTTTAAAGTTAAATGAAAATAAAAAAAAAAAAACTTACTAAAGCGAATTTCCGCTTCATCGTGACACAGATGCGATGACAGCATATTCTCAGATGAATCTTTCCTTTGCACCAACAATTTCACCTTCAAGAATCAGCTGTCTAAAAAAGAGAAAAAAAAATATTTTATTAATATTTAATATTTTAATATATTTTAATAATATTTATTTATATTTTCATAATAAAATTACATTCATATAGAATAGAGATAAATAAAATATTTCATATTTAACAAAAATCCATTTCAATTATGTAATTAATTAAACAATTAATTCCTTGCAATTAAAAATCAAATTTTATTAAACCTCTGATATTTATCGTAGTGAAAGAACTTCATCAATAAACCATTAACAAATTAATTTTTCCATTTTATTTGTATTTTTTTTTTTTACTAAATTTTTTAATAGGTATCAAAATGAAAATGCTTAATTGAAAACCCATGAGGTGCATAATAAAGGCTATTAATAACAAAGGCTTTATTTTTTTTCCATGTTTATAACCTACATCGAAAAGGGAATATTATATCGATATTTTAACACACACACACATACACCGAGATAAATTCAATTTAATCGAATATGCAATTCCAATCACAGTTAAATTATAAATTTAACAAAATTATTATCAGAGGAAGCTTTATAATAAAAGAAATTAATATTAATGAGAATAAAATGGAGCGTGATATATTTGATTATATATATATAATTTCTTTTTACGAGTCTCGTAATTTTATTTATATGTTAATATTATGTAAATTTTTTTTTCAAATATTTCATAATATTTTATTATTTAATATAATAAAATATTATTTGATTTTTAATAATAAAAATTCATAAAATTTTATCTAGTTGAAACGAATCGAGTTTTCCAATTCACCACGAGAGCAAAAGCTCGAAACTAAAACCAATGGAACGGGGGTATATATAGTTGATTTCAGGAAATTTGAAATAAATCCGTTTTTTCGATTTGTGGTTACGTAGAACACATGAGGGGATCCCTTTACCGCATATATAAAATTTATAACTACACATAAAGTGCATAGGAAAAATGTCTCTTTATTTCTTTCTCTTTATTTTTTTTTTATTTTATTTTTTTTTTAATACGTGCTATTTTCAACACAAAAATGTTGATAAAATCAAAATTTTTTATAATTGTACAAATAGCAACCAAATATTAACAAATAACAAAACAAAATAAACAAATATAAAATAAAATATAAAAAATAATGAAATAAAATTTTAAAGTGCGCGGTTTTTAACCAATTTTCAAAATAAATGTTTTATAAGTGAAAACAGTATTAAATTTTGGTTGGACAAGACAAAAAAAAAAAAAAAACTCGATTTCAAGGGAACTTGTTTTTTTTCGTATACATTCCCTCGCGTATTTTCCATCTAAACAGCTTTCCAGAATAACTTTAGTCAACGGTTTTGTATGTAGAATCATATACATAAAACACATTGGAGTTTAAAAAAAAAAAAGTAGTTAAACGAAATGTCAAGCTTTGCACAAGTTTTATATATGTATATGATATAAAAAAAAAAATAATCAAGTTTATTTGCCTGCGGTACTTAAATAAAGTATTTTTCTTTTATGCGAAAAATAATAAACAAAAAACCATTTACTATTCTGTTAAAAATGAATTTTTTAAAACTCTTTTCTACATTATATCAGATAACTTGTTTTTAATATAGAAAAGTTACCAAAAAAAAAAAAATTAAAAACACAAATCTGAATTAGTTAAAAATAACTAATTTTTAGTTAAATATTGGCTATTTTTTTTTCTTCAGCAATTAGTAAAAAAATAACTAATTATTAGTAAACCTAAGTAATTTTCAGTATTTTTAAATTCACGAGAGAAAAAATTAATATTTTTCTTTTATTATTAATAAAATTAATTAATTTTCAATATAAAACGAATTAGTAAAAAAATAACTAATTATTAGTAAACCTAACTAATTTTCAGTATTTTTAAATTTACGAGAGAAAAAATTAATATTTTTCTTTTATTATTAATAAAATTAATTAATTTTCAATATAAAACGAATTAGTAAAAAAATAACTAATTATTAGTAAACCTAACTAATTTTCAGTATTTTTAAATTTACAAGAGAAAAAATTAATATTTTTCTATTATTATTAATAAAATTAACTAATTTTCAATAGAAAACGAATTAGTAAAAAAATAACTAATTATTGCACGGAAAAAAAAATTTATTTGATTCAAACAGTCGATTACTTGACTATTATCAAATAAATATTTATATTTGTATCAAATAATTATTATTTGAAATAGTATGTTTTCAAATAAAAAAATTATTTGTTCATATACAATTCAAATAAAAATTATTTTTAATATTTATTTGATAAGTCAAGTAACCGAGTATTTAATTGAAATAAATTTTATTTTCACTGTACGGTCATAGTAATTAATTTTCGGTGGAAAAAAATTAGTTAAATTAACTAATTATTTTTAACCAATACAAATTTAGAGAAATCATTTAATAAAAAATTATTATTATAATTAGATTTAAAAAATTCATAATTCCAAATGATAATAATAATAATAATAATAATAATAATAATAATAATAATAAAAGAAGAAATTATATATTTGAATAAAGTTTTGTTTAACTTGCAAATGAAATCTTTTGTTAAACAGTCAATTATTTTTGTAATAAATTTATACAATATACAATTTTGTGTGAAAATTTACATTTAAGTTTTAAGATTATTATAACGAACATTGTGTAAGCTAAGAAAAGCGTGTAACCATACTAAATTGTACTAAAGTTATAATGGAAAGTTGATCCCCTTGAATTTGTATATACGTATATATATATATATATTTGAGCCTTTAGAGGATTCTTCGATAGAAAGTGTCGAGTTCCACTATTTTCCAAGATCCTCTACAAAATGTGTCAACTTGTGGGAAACACAAAAGAAACTTTGTTTCAACAATCCAAGTTTCAGATGTTTAAGACCACCTGCGAACAGTAAATTGCTCCCTCTGCTCCAAGCACGTTTGAATTTGCGCGCATTGGGAAAATAGAAACTAAATTTTTTTTTTTTCCTACATTTTTAAGTCACAATTTTTTTTTCCAAAAAAAAAGAAAAATCCAAACCATATATTCAAAAATAGTTTTTTTTTTTAAATAGAAATTTTCGATTCGAGCACACAAAAAATATTATATTAAAAATTAGAAATTTATTTTTTAAATTTCATTTTTTCAGGATATCGATTATGAAGGATTTCGAAAATTTCTCGACACCTATCTCGAAGTTACAACACCTGACGAGCTATCGCGACATCTTTTTCTATCGTTTCTCAAAAAGGGTCAACGAGGAATTGACGGAAAAGCCTTCAAGGTGAGAGAGAGAGAAAATTATTTTCTAATATAATATTGAAACAAAATTTGAAAAGAATTTTTTTTTGTGCTATATAATAAAAAGAAGAATAGATGAAAATGATTTCTATATTGATTTTAGATATTACAAAAGAATATATTTTGACGAGGGAATAATGTGTGTGTGTGTGTGTGTAATTATAAATCTCTCTCTTTCAATAGGAAATGGCAGTATTGTCTTCCACGACGGCGTGTGCGGCAATTACCTCACACACCACATCCACCAGTAACGTGAATAGCACTGGATTACCTGGGGGTACATCTATTGAAAGTCATGGCTCATCTTTTGCCGATAAAATTCATGGATTAACAGAAAAACTTCAAGCTCTTGGTCATCATAGAAATGATAGTGAACTTTCGAGAACGAGAACAGGTATAGAAAGAGGGAGAAACACTCAATTTAATTTTTTCACTGAAAATAAATTACTTTTTACTAATTTGTTTTTTTACAAAAATATAAAATTCATGAAAATAAATTACTTTTTACTATTTAATTTTTACTAATTTTTTTCATTAATTACTTTTTACTAATTTCTTTTTTACAAAAATATAAAATTACTGAAAATAAATTACTTTTTGCTAATTTATTTTTTTTACAAAAATATAAAATTACAGAAAATTAATTACTTTTTACTAATTTGTTTTTTTACAAAAATATAAAATTACTGAAAATTAATTACTTTTTACTATTTAATTTTTACTAATTTTTTCCATTAATTACTTTTTACTAATTTGTTTTTTTTACAAAACTATAAAATTACAGAAAATTAATTACTTTTTACTAATTTGTTTTTTTACAAAAATATAAAATTACAGAAAATTAATTACTTTTTACTAATTTGTTTTTTTACAAAAATATAAAATTACTGAAAATTAATTACTTTTTACTAATAAATAGTTATTTTTTTTTTACTAACATTTTTTTTTTTTACCGAAAATTAATGAATTTTTTCTAATTTTATTGTCAATTTTCTTTGAAACGTGAAAAAGAAAATTCGTCTTTTCTTTATGATATACCGCGCGTATAATAATTCTGGTTTACAATAATTAAGTTAATTGACTGTAAACGTCAAAACAAGACAATGTGTTCCTCCTCGTTAAAAACAAGTTTTAATAGCTATATATAACGCTTTTGATTTTCGGCGCGTTAATAATTAATTATTTTTGTTGAAAAAAAAAAAAAAAAAATATCGATTATTATAGAGAGAGAATTTAACACATACTTTTCACTCTTTGTTGTTTAACTTCGTCATTTTTACATTAATTAAAAGTTTATCGTATACAAAAAACTTAATACCTCAGCTTTCATTAAAAAAAAAAAATAAATAAAAAATCACTTTTTTTTAAGTTGAAAAAAGCTTTTGAAAATATTATAAATTCATATAAAAATGTCAATTTTTTTTTCACATTCTCATTAAAAAAGAAACTATTATTTTAATATAAAATTATAATTGCACAAAACAATTGATCGAGAAAATAAAAATTTTGTGAACTAATAAAACTCGCATTTGTAATCGACCCTGGACACTTTATTACCTCCATTATCGACAATATATATAGCAATTCCAATATTATCGAGAGAGAGAGAGAGAAAGAGAGAGAGAGTATAAATTTAAATTAATATGCAGATCCTGATATGAATATTTATTAAATTATATGAGTAAGACTCTTTTAAATGCTATTTAATTCTTTTTTCGACTAATTTATTCTTTTTTTTATTTAAAAAAAAATCGGAGAAAAAAATATTTTTTTCTTTTCAATTATAATAAAAAAAAAAAAAATCAAACTAAGAATTGTTTCACTTTTCTAATTTCAGGAAGTGTACATCCAACATTGACAGTGGCTCACACATCGTATAGTTGTCACGATGTACTTGAGAAAAAAAGTACAGAAAGCAGTCCAAGTCATAGTCAAATGTCACGAAACTCTTCGAGAAAATCGAATAATTCACTTCTTGTCAACAATGGAAAATATGAAGGTGAGATAATAAAAGTAAAGAAAAAAATATTTTCTCCTTTTTGAGAAATTTTTTTTTTCAGATGATATTTTAAAAAAATATCAAATTATTGCGACTTAGAAAAAAAAATGTTAATTAACTTTTTGATATACATCTGTTCGTAAACAAGATATATATATATATATAATATAAAAAAGAAAGGAAAATAAATTAAAATGTGTTGAGAGTGTAAAACCTGACCGTGTGTGGCTTATTCAGTGATGCATGTGACTCAACACTGTATATATCGGTTTTGATGTGAAATCCAATTTGGTCATAAAATCCCTATCTATATATATATACCACCAAACAACAAAATGGAAAATTCTGATTCATCGCAAAAGGGTTTACACGAGATAACTTATTTCCTCACACACACACACACACACACACACACACACACACACACACACACACACACACACACACACACACACACACACACACACACACACACACACACACACACACACACACACACACACACACACACACACTGATATACAGTATATAAAGATATAATAGGAAACTATATATATAAATATATACGCTTTCTTCGATCAAATTACATATATGTAGTATAGGGTGAGAAGTTGTAATCTCAAAAACCCAATGAAGATGAAACTCCAATGCCATTAACTACATGAAATTGATCTTAAGACATTAAAGAGTGTGTTACGTGTAAACATCACTGGCTTGTAATCGATTCTGTTTTATAAAGGTTTCCAAAGTCTACAACCGTGATAAAATATCCATATTTTGCTTTAATACCCACAAAAAATAATTATATCGACAAAAAATAACAAAATTTTTTCAATTTCCTTTCAAAAAAAAAAAAAAAAAAATTATTTAAAACAAAAAATTAATATAATATTTTTATGCCATTTAAAATTGTTTTTAAATAATAATAATAATAATAATAATAATAAAAATATTTTAAATAAATTAACGACTGGAAAATAAAAAAAATAACTAATAAATTATAAAATAAAAAGACCTAGAACTAATTTTATAAGTATTAATAAAAAAAATATGATTTTATCGTTAGAAATCAATTTATACAGGAAGTGTTACGTTGAAAGCCAAATGACTACTCAAAGCATGCGTCTTTTGTCGTACAGAGAAATTTGAAAACGAAAAGTTTTAATTGAATCCCTTTCAATGCGTCTCAAAAGACAAAACTTTCCTCTGAATAAAACTTTATATTTTCATCTGAAATCTTTGGCTTATTAAACTCACTTTAAAAGTCTTTTTTCTTTTTTTAAATATACATCAAACATTCATACAAAAAACGTTTCCAAAAATTTTAAAGCAAAAATTATTTATTATTATTATTATTTTATTTTGATAATTTAACGATAAATCACTCAACAAATTTCATTATTAAATGAAAGGATGTAAGAACAAATATTTTTTAATTTATTCAAAAATTATTATTGAAAAAAAATTTCGTTTTTATAATAATAATGAAAAGCAAGTATATTTGGGAATTAATTAAAATTGTTTGATGATGTTTACAGAATCTAAAAATATTACTTTTAATCCCGTGAAATTTATACACTTTATATTGCTTAATAATTTATCTTGAATCTAATAATAGCATATTAAAAAAAAAAAAAACTCAACTAGTGTAAACACTTGCATGAAATTTAATTATAAAGAGCACTTTAGTTTGAAATTAATTCCAAGGAACGAGAACCACGCCCGAGTATAATTTATTGAAAAAGCCTTCTTTTTTTTAATTCTTAAAAAAAATGAAAATAACTTTTTTTTATTTTATTAAAATATCCTAAAATTTCAAATATAATTTGTCATTATTGCAGAAATCTCTTATAAAAAATATATATAATATATGAGGGTATAGAATGTTTGCTCGAAAAAAAAAACCAATAGCCAACTTTTGATTCACAAACGTTTTCAATTTGAAAAAATGTCACTCTGCACTTTAGTCGCTTTTATACTCGGTTCACTTTGAAACGTGAAACGACATTTCTGATGTTAGGTGATATCCCTTAATTTGGTGAGTGCCACTCGTTGTGACTGACATGTCTTTCTGTATATCAGTCAGTTAACCCCATTTTACTCAAATAATATATATCCGAGTTATAAATAAAAAGATTTTTTTTTTAAATGATACTATTTTTACTCGTATAACTATAATTGACACAATGTAAGAATAATTCGTCAATCAATTATTTAAATCATTGCAATTTTTATCTCTCTCTCTCTCTGATGATAATAAAAATAATTTCAATATTTTATATTCTACAATTTAAAAATTATTTGAAAATTTAAAAATTTAATGTAATAGAAAGTTAAAAAAAAAAGATAAGAAAAATAAAAACTAAACGAAAAATGATTAAATTAACTATAAAAAGTAAAATGTGACAAACAAAAAATTTTATTGCATTCTCAAAATGTTAATCGATAGAAAAACAACTTTTTAATTAAATCTTTTCTCCCTATAAATTATTGGCATGATTCAGCAAAAGGTTGGTTTCATTGTTAAAGTAGAGAATAAAAAAAAAGTAGTGCGGGTATCAAAAAGACCCAAGTCGAATTAAAGTTGGAACCAATCCAAAGAGAGTAGGTCTTGCTATTAAAAAAAAAAAACCGATACTTATTAAGTTTCGAAAAAAGAGAATTCGCCATAGAATTGAAAGTTGGTAGTTTTATATACACTTTCTTTTTTTGTACATTCGGCAAAACTTCCACTTGAAAAACCGAAAATCTAGTTAATTTAAAATGAAAAAATAATAAAATTACGAATTTAATTTAATTTAAACTAGCAAAATTAAACGCGCGCAGGCCCGCCAAATTGACTATTTAATTGTTTGTTATTATTAAAGATTAATATTATCAATAATAATTTAATTTATTAGAATATTATTACATATTAAATGATAATAATGAAAATTATATGTTTACAGGCCTCGGATTATACGACTTTTTTCAAAAATACGACTTTTATCGACTTATTTTAATAAAATGCGACATTTTTTTTTTACATTTGAAAAAAAATGTAAATAAAATACATTTTTTTAGTATAAAATCTAGATCTTCTTCAGATCATCTTCAATTCAATTATTTAACAAATTTTGAACTAAAATGATTCTTCACTAAATTAATTATTTTTAATAATTTTAATGAAATACATCACAAATTCAATTATATCAAAATTATTTTTCAATTAAAATTTTTATGAAATTTAACAATTGTTTATAATTAAAAAAAAAATATCACAATAAAATTGAATTATTTTTTTGAAAATTTCAATTCAAAATAAACTAAAATTCAATTATTACCCGAAATTTTAATTCAAAATCAATTAAAAATCCAATAATTATCCAAAATTTTTAATTTAAAATTTAATTATTTATCAAGTTTTCAATTTAAAATGAAATAAAATTCAATTATTTTCCAAATTTAAAATCAAATAAAATTTCATTATTCTCAAAAATTTGAATTCAAAATTAAATTATTATCCAAAATTTCAATTAAAATTCAATTATTTCCCAAAATTTTCAATTCAAAATGAATTGAAATTCAATTATTTTCCAAATTTAAAATCAAATAAAATTTCAATATTCTCAAAAATTTGAATTCAAAATTAATTGAATTTTCAATAATTTAAATTTAAAAGCATCTAAAATTTAATTATTTCTAAAATTTTCCATCGAAAATTTTTTTTTTGAAATTTAATAATTTCAATTATAACTCTAAGTAAATTCAATTATTTTTAACTATTTTAATAATATTCTTTAAAATTTCAACTATCTGAAACCATTTTTCAATTAAAAATGATTTTCAAATTATTGTATTTTGTCCGCATTTTCTAATAAATTTTTAGTGAAATCATCTAAAATTTTAATTACAAAACACTTAAAGTTTCAATTAATTTCAAAAATCTCAATTTTAAATCTTTGAAAATTCAATTAAATTTAAAAAATGTTTTCCAAAAATTGTTTGATAAATTATTTTTAGTTCTGTAAAATTTAATAATTGTTTGAAAATTAACAATATCTTTTGAAATTTAATTATTTCTAAAAATTTCAACTTTAACCCTTCGAAAAGGATTATTATTAAAAAAAAATTTTTATTTAAAAATATGTAAAATATTTTTGTTAAAATAAAAAACAAATCCATTTTTTTTTTTTAATATAATTCGACTAAAACGACTTTTTGTGTCTTTAAGTTAATTCGAGGCCTGTGTTTTTATAATTAATATTTAATAGGTATTCGTTGGCCCCTGGTACCATAAAAATTAATTTTTTTCAAATTACTATCTTGTACGAAATTTCCTGACGCATCTTTTTTCTCATCATCAATTTTTTGTATTTGTATACAATTTTTGAATCAATATACAACTTTAAAAAAAAATTCGTTGGTAAACGTTCGTGAATTGAATTTTCGAATTTGGAATTTTAAAGAAACTTATTCCGAAATTTAGAAACACAATTATACAACTTTGACAAATATGAGAAAAAGAATTGTTAAAATTTGACACGTCATAAGATTTACTATTAAAAAAAAAAAACACGTGAAATCAAAAAAGGCCAACTTCAATAGTTAGGACAGAAGGATAGACCAAGCATTTTATTATTATATAATTATTTTGATTGAAATTGCAATTAATTGAAATAAATAAAAACTAAAAGCTCCTTTTTATATAAAAATTTTCTTTAAACTTATATATGGAGAAGTTGTATATTTACCAAGTGTGTTTGTGGCATTTTCAGGAAGTTTCATACCATTGCCAATGGCAGTTTATGTTGTTATCGCAGTGACATCGACAGTTTTCTAACTATGTAATAACGGGTCATTTGAAAGAAGACGAAGAAGAAGAAGAGAAATTGTCCGAGATATAGGCATAACTGCCATATACTACCTATATGGATCGATACTAGATGTGTGCTCTAGTTATTGGATAAGTTTCCGCTTCTCAACTTCCGCCATTGTTCGACTAAAGACCGATCGTTTCCCTAAGGCTTCAAAATTGATGCCACTAATTTATTCAGACAATCAAAACACCTCTTCTCATGGGAGATGAGAGGCCCTTAGGACTTGGAATGATTTAGTTACAGCTTAGTGGCTTCATTGTAACTTAATACGAAGCAAACATATACATGATTTAAACAAATTTTTTTTATTATATAAAACCGAAACTAGAAGATCAAATATTTCAGGAAAAAATATATTTCTCGATGAATTGAAAAAAAAATGCGTCCATAACTTTTTTTTCAGAGTGTATTTTTGTGCCTAAAGCGAGGAAAACTTTTTTTTTTTTTTTTTTAAAACAATATGAAAAAGCATCAATATTGAAATGCAAGCAAATTCACCTATAATAAAACTCATTTATTATTGAATATGAAAATAAACTTCTCTCTATGTCGAAACAGTTGGAAATCAAAAAATTTGAAAAAAAAAGAAAAAATTTGCTGCATTATAAACAACTGGACTCAGTTTATAACCTGAAGCGTTTATACAAATGGAAAAGCTCACAACGTCAGAAGCTGTTATTCCGGGCTTGTTTAGTAAACGTTCCAAAATTATGTATAAGAGAAAATAACAGGAGGGGAAAATTTTAACGTGTATTGCCTTTTGACATTTAGATATAATTTTTCATTCAGAAAAATTACTATATTTTTAAAACAAGGAAGTTAAAAATTTTTTTATTTAAAATATGAATTTGAAAAATTGTAGGAAAAAAAATATATATATATTTTTTGTATATATAAATAATTGAAATTTCATAAAATGATGATTTTTCAAGGAAGTTGATGTCTATTGACATGTTTATAGATTTGATGCAGTAAGTCTGCGTCTACCAGAAACATCTTATATATGCCCTAAAATATAGATCAACTTGTGTCATCCAATTTACGTCAGTAGTATAAGTCTAAGCGGATTTTGGTTGCGTTTATCTTGGGGAAAATCGTTGATCGCAAACTCAGTTTCCCTCTCAATGCGCTCACATAATCAACAAGTGTTTTTTTTTTTTTTAAATTTTTACATGCAAAAATTTAATTCACCTAATTATATTTTATTGCATTATTCACCGTCACAAATTAAAAAAAAATGCTACAACTAAATTTTTACCAATAAAATAAAATATTTACCAAATTTTGCAGCATCAAGGAGATTTTCTTTCAAACTTTTCTGCTTTCGTTCTTCATCTTTAAAGTATACGTGACACCAGAAGCCATTAATAGAATCTGCAAAATGAAAATTCATTTTATAAAATTTTGTATTTAGAATAAACTAAACAAAAATAAATTTGACATCGAAACTAATAGTAATTTAATTTTAATTTCGAATTTTTATATAAAAACTAAATTTTCTTTTTAATCACATTTTCAGAGATCAGACATCTCGTCAGGAAACAAAGTACAATTGATGTACATTCGATTAAAGTTAGTCTTAAGGATATCGTCTGTTATCTATCTCTACTGGAAGCTGGAACGCCAGAAGATAAATTGGAATGTAAGTTTTGAAAATTGTATTTTATCAAAATTTATATAATATTCAATTATATTATTTAAATTAAAATAATATTATACTTTTCATATGAGAATTACAAAAAAAGACAATAATATCTAAATTACATTTAATATCACTGAAAAAAAATTGATTTCATTGAAATAAGTACCTTAATATTTACTTGAAGGAAATAATTTTTATAATTGAATTAAATAAACTGTATTTGAAACAAATCTCAAATAACAATTATTTGATACATTGAAAAAAAAATTATTTGATTCAAATACTCGATTACTTGACTATTATCAAATAAATATTTATATTTGTATCAAATAATTATTATTTGAAATGGTATTTTTTCAAATAAAAAAATTATTGGTTCAAATACAATTTAAATAAAAATTATTTGGTTCAAGTAAATATTTATTTCATAATAGCCAAGTAATCAAGTATTTGAATCAAATTAATTTTTTTTTTAGTGTACAAGTAAATATTTATTTGATACACATAAATATTTATTTGTATCAAATACTCGATTACTTGACTATTATCAAATAAATATTTATTTTTATCAAATAATTATTATTTGAAATGGTATTTTTTCAAATAAAAAAATTATTTGGTTCAAGTAAATATTTATTTGATAATAGCCAAGTAATCGAGTATTTGAATCCTTTTGTTTAAATAAATATTTAAATTTTATATAAAATAAAATCATATATTGATTTCATATTTGAATTCTATAGCTAATACAAACAAATAATTAGTATATTTATATTTTAAATAATAAATATTATTAATAATCCAATATATATTTTATATATATGCAAATTTGATGTGGATTCTTTTTTTGTATAAGGAGAATTTCATACATAAATTTTATTCACTAATGAGGTCAAACTGTATATATATATTTTATATATATATATGTTGTTCTCATACTGAACTACATAAACACCAGTGAATGAAGTTTTGTGAATGGAGATGTGTCAGAATGTGTTTATATATATATATATATATATATATATATATATATATTTGACGCGAGACAAGAATTATAAAGTTTTGCGTGACAATGAATCATTGTGTATATGTGTGAATAAGTTTGTAATTTCTACTTGTTGCTTGTAATGAAGCGCAAATTAATTTTTTTTTTCAGTCATGTTCCGACTTTACGATACAGATGGTAACGGAGTTCTTGATACAAACGTAAGTTAATTTATTTTTATTATTATTTTACTATTTTTTTTTTTTATTATTTCACTATTTTTTTTTATTTTACTATTTTTATTATTATTACTATTTTTTAACTAATATTTTACTACAATTATTATTATTAATATTGTTTTTATTTTTATACTGTAAATATTTCTTTTTTTCCTTATAATAAATATTTTTATTTATTACATAATTTATAAAGGATCTTTTGTTATATTCACATTATTATAAATATTATTGCGTATAATAATTTTTTTTTTTTCAACAAAAGTAGGAATTTTTGTTTTATAAAAGAAAAAGAAAAAAAAATGGATGTGAAATCAGTCATTGAAAAATGCTAATTTAAAAGAAGAAACGGAGGAAAAATAATGAGGAATCTAGTTAGTCGACAGATATAAAATTATATGGAACGAAGCACTTGAATTGGAAACTAGTGAAAGAAAGTTTTTGTCAGACAGTGTTTGTTATTGACTTGAACTACTAATAAACTGATTAATAGTATCTTATATAAGGTTTATTATATATATATTATTATAGAGTCAATGAGTTATTGTAATTATATAACTATAAAAAAAAAAAATTTTTTTACAAAAAAATAATAATTACAAAAATTATAATAATAATAAAAATAAAAATAATAATAATAATAATAAAATAATAAATAATAAATAATAATAATAATAATAATAATAATAAAAATCATCAAAATAGTTAAAATTAATAAACTAATTGCATCTATTAAAAAATATATAAGTAATGCTCTAATTTTTACATGTAAAACAACTAATAAAAAAAAATTATGATAAAAAGAAAATTATTTCCAACCAGGAAACAGACTGTATCGTCAATCAAATGATGAATGTTGCTGAGTATTTAGGATGGGATGTCTCTGAATTAAAACCGGTAAGAATATTTTTCATATCCCTAAATTTATAAATATTCATAAATATATTACGAAAAGAAAAATTATATAATTGGCTCAACTAGTAAAATAATAATAATAATTATTATTATTATTATAAATATGATGTCAAATTTTAGTTCTGAATCTGAACGGATATTGTCATTTATTGTTATAAATTTGTTAGTCTAAGTTATATATGGAAATTGAGGAAGTTGAATCTAAAATGAAAATGCTTTCAGATCCTGGAGGATATGATGGTAGAAATAGATTACGATGCAGATGGTACGGTTTCATTGGAAGAATGGAAGAGAGGAGGATTGACGACAATTCCTCTTTTAGTACTACTGGGTCTTGATTCTCATGTCAAAGAGGATGGTAATCATCTTTGGAGACTAAAACACTTTAGTAAACCAGCTTATTGCAATCTATGTCTCAACATGTTAGTTGGTCTTGGCAAAAAAGGACTCTGCTGTGTTTGTAAGTTTCAAACCTATTTCTCGAGTACAAATATTTTTATTTAAGATATTATATATTCAAAATCACTACACTGAAAAAAAAAATTATTTAATTCAAATACTCGGATTATCTGATTATTATTATCAAATAAATATTTATTTGAACCAAATATAATTTTTTATTTGAATTAAATAAATATTTATTTGAACCAAATATAATTTTTTATTTGTATTAAATAAATATTTATTTGAACCAAATATAATTTTTTATTTGAATTAAATAAATTATATTTGAACCAATAATTTAACAAATATCATTTAATTGACTCAAATAATAATTATTTGATTCTCAAATAAATATTTATTTGATAATAGTCAAGTAATCGAGTATTTGAATCAAACAAATTTTTTTTTAATGTATAAAGTTCACGCAAATTGCACTTTAAAATAGAAATTAAGAAAAAAAAATTGTTTTCTTTTATTAAAAAATTCATTAATCTTTTAGTTTGCAAGTACACAGTTCACGAGAGATGTGTACAAAGAGCACCAGCTTCTTGTATAGCAACATATGTAAAAAGTAAAAAAACTTCACAAGTTATGGTACATCATTGGGTTGAGGGGAACTGCCATGGGAAATGCTCAAAGTGTAAAAAGACAATAAAAAGTTATAACGGAATAACAGGTCTTCATTGTCGCTGGTGTCAAATCACGGTAATTTTATTTTTATATAAATAATAATAAGGTCTAAAAAAAAAATCCAGAGAGCACTTAAATGCATTTTAAAAATAGAACCAAAATTTCTAAAAGAAAAAATTATTTTAACGAATTCTGTCAATCAAGCAATTAATTTTTAATAATATCACGAGTTCGATGGCGGCAAATTGCCAAAACGGTATATAAATACCAGAAATTATGAAAAATAAATTTCAACAGGATTTAAAAAAAAAAATAATCCAAAGAGAATAAAGATTATTTTTTACCGGATTAGAAATAAAAAAAATATTTAAATGAAAGTTTTCGATATAAAATGTATATAAGAATATTAAATTTGTGATTATTTCAAAAGGGAAACTGAATTAAAGTAAAGTAAATCAGCTTTCCATATGGTGCAACAATACCCCATTATCTTCATTGTAAGGTAATTGTGTTCTAGCTGCACAATAGATGCGCATCGCAGGTACGAGCTGATTGCAACCTAGGAGAACATGCAGTTCACATACTACCGCCCACAGCTATTTGTCCGGTTGTTTTGGACAGACAAAGGTCACTTTCCAGGGATAGTAAAAGGGGTAGTAAACATGGACAAGATTCAACTTCAAGTAGTTCGGTAAGAAATTCCAATCATTCAGGACAAAAAAAAAAATTATTATGTTCTAAAAATAATTAGAATTTTAATTTTATGGAAATTCATAATTAATTTTTGAGCCGAATTTTTGTTTGTTCGAATTTTATAAAATTTTCATCAAAATTATTTTTTACATTACAGAATTTTTTTATTTGTTTGAATTTTCATTTAATTTTCATTTTCATTATTTAGCATTTTAAAGAATAAAATTAATGATAGAATTTTCATTTGTCCGAAATTATAAATGCAGTCGAACAAAAAAAAAGATTGCGGACAAATGAAAATTCGATCAATTAAGAAATTTTATTAAATGATTTTTCGGTTAAAAATTCTGTAGTATATGAAAAATTGATTATTTGGAAATTATATCAAATTATATCAAATAATTCGAACAAATGAAAATTCATCTGAAAGAATAAAAAAAAAAAATTCTATCCAATAAAAATTCTTTCTTTATTATGTTAAATGAAAATTCGAGTAAATAAAAATTCGAATAAATAAAAATTCTGTGAAGTGAATTTTTGGTTATATAAAACATCTGCAATGTAGAAAATTATTTTGATGAAAATTATATGCAAAAAAGTATTAATTCGAACAAACAAAAATTCGACTCAAAAATAATTATAACATTCCAAAAAATTAAAATTCTAATTATTTTTAGAATATATGCGCGTCCCAGAGAAAATTGTCAAATCAATTCATTCCAAGGAAAAAAAAATTGAAATCAACTTTTTTTTCAAAGAAAATACGAATATATATATATTAGCGAGAGAAATTATATTTCAAAAACTGATTTTCTCTGTTCAGTGAATTTATTCAATTATATTCAGAAGTATTCTGTTGGAAATATATAGATATATATGTTCAAATGAACGCTCATTTGTCGGGAAAATATAGTTATTATTAATTATATATATATATATATATATATATATATATATATATCTTTCTCCTGAATCGGAATTTCATTAAATTAATGAGCTATGAATGCACTTTCGATAAACTCCCAAAAGAGAAAAAGAAGGAGTGTATAATACAAATTTATTCAAAAGCGCATTTATATAGAAAACGTTATAATTAAGTCTTTAGAGATTGCTACTGAATATTTCATGGTTTTCCTATATATATATATATATTTAGGGTGGCTTTCTCTCGTGTAACAATACATCTAATCAGCAACCAGCAATGTCTTTTCAAATTACACAACCACAAGGAACGATACCCCTATTGGTGTTCATAAATCCAAAATCAGGCGGAAGACAGGGAGAGAGAATGTTAAGAAAATTTCAATACATTTTAAATCCAAGACAAGTACACAATTTAGCTATTGGTGGACCAATGCAGGGTTTGCAATTATTTAAAGATGTTGAACAATTTAAAGTTATTTGTTGCGGTGGAGATGGTACCGTCGGTTGGGTTCTCGAAACAATGGGTAATTTTATTTTTTAAAATAATTAATAATTAATTACAAAATTTTAAAACGCGAAAAAATAATCTAATCTCAAATGTGAATTTTTTTTTTTTAATATTAGATCGTGTACAATTTGAACATCAACCGGCAGTGGGTGTAATTCCACTTGGAACAGGAAATGATTTAGCGCGATGCCTACGTTGGGGTGGTGGCTATGAAGGTGAATCAATTCACAAAATTTTGAAGGTAAATTATTATTTTTTTTTCAAAAGAAAAATTTCCTTTTTTTAATTAATTACAAATTTTCTAATCAATTAAGTTAACATATAAGCGAGTAATTATATATAATATATATAGCAACTCAACTTATGTAATTAGAGTGAGTAATTAGTTTTCAAAGAACAAAACACGGAGTCTAGAAACTTGGAAAGATTAATTTTCCAATTTAACGTTTAGAAATAAAATTTTTTTTATTAAAATATTAAAGCAGAGTATATTAATTGTCATTTTTCTCTCTTTTTTTTAATAAATAAAAAAAGTAAGTGGCTTTGCAGAAAATTGAAAAATCAACACCGGTAATGATGGACAGATGGCAAATTGAAGTAACTGATCAAAAAGAAGAAAAAAAACCAAATCAAGACTGCATTCCCTATAATATTATCAACAATTATTTCTCAGTGGGTGTTGATGCTGCAATTTGTGTTAAATTTCATCTTGAACGAGAAAAGAATCCAGAAAAATTTAACAGTAGAATGAAAAATAAATTATGGTACTTTGAATATGCAACCACAGAACAATTTGCAGCGAGTTGCAAAAATCTTCACGAAGATCTCGAAATTATCGTAAGCATTTTTTTTCTATTTTTAATATGCCCTAATAATTTAAAAATTAAAATAAATTATATGTAAAAAAAAAATAATTGCAGTGTGATGGTGTACCTTTGGATCTAGCACACGGTCCATCACTTCAAGGTGTGGCATTGTTAAACATTCCGTTTACTCATGGGGGTTCTAATTTATGGGGCGAACATCACATGAAACATCGACTTGGAAAAAGAAAGAAACGACCCGACAAGGAATTGAGTACGAGTAGTTTTAATTCAGTCGATCTCACTGTCGCGATACAAGGTAAAAAATTAACGAAACAAATTTGATTTTGTAATTAAATTTTTTTTTTGCAAAATTAATAAAAATAATAATAATTTATAGACATAGGTGATAATCTCATTGAAGTGATTGGTTTGGAAAATTGTCTACACATGGGTCAAGTGAAAACTGGACTACGTGCATCAGGAAGAAGATTAGCTCAATGTAGTAGTGTTACAATCACAACATTTAAACGGTTTCCCATGCAAATCGATGGTGAACCATGGATGCAAGGTCCCTGCGCCGTAAGTGACACAATAATAAAATAATAATTTCTAATTTTTTTTTTTTTTTTTCAAAAATTAATTAAATTTTCAGATTCATATAACGCATAAAAATCAAGTTCCGATGTTAATGGCACCACCACCAGATAAAAGAAAAGGTTTCTTTCGTTTTTTAAGAAGATGAACTTATTGTAAATCGAGACGCGTAAATCGTGTCCACCCATTTGGGGAAATTTGAGCTTTTTTTTCCCTATAGTTTCCGTCTAGTCAAGAGCCATCACTAATAAAAATAGCCACATCGCCTATATCGTAATATGATTGTACTAAATAATATATAATATATAATTTTCGCTGTTAATGTGCAAAGCGAACAATTTTCGTACGTCCGTATAAATTCTTTTAGTGCTATTATACGATAAATCGACCATTAAAATCAAATGGAAATGTCATTATGTAAAATATTTTCGAAATTATATTCGCGAGGCTATACAGAAAAAAAAAATATATATATATATTATATTAGATGCGTGATAGTTATTTGAGAGGCTCATTTTCAATTATTGTTATAAGAAATCATTTTTCAAATTATAAAACGTTTAAAACGTTTTATTTTCTCATCTCTTCTCAATATCTCGTATTTACAATAATATTTCTAAATTAAACAATAGTTCAATAAAATTGAATAGTTATATCAAAATTATCATTATTATTATTAAAAAAAAAGTATTATAAATATAAAATATTGATAGAAATATTTTGTTATAGAATATTAATATTTTTCATCATTTTAAAATTGAAAATTAATTTGAAAATGAGTCTATCAACTTTCGTCCATAATATCGATTCGCAAAAAAATATTTTCATATAGAATTGTAAATGTCTAACTAAATTAAAAATATTTAAACATGAATATATGGCAAATTTTGCTGTGAGTAGGAAAGTACGTGATATATTATATATAAATATAATTAGAAAAAGAGAAGTGAAAAAAAAGATTTAAAAAAAAAAGATTTAAAAAAAAAAAATATATATATATATACGCAATAGATTCGATTTAGAAAAATAATTATTAAAAATTTAGATTTTAGAATAAAATATTTCATTTCTTTTAGCTTTAAAAATTAATTTGATATTTTACGTAATTTAAAATCGATTTCTCAATGACGACAATTTTTTTTTCATATAAAATAACTTCTTTTAAAATCATTAAGACTTGACGGAAGCCAGATGGAAATATTTACAGTAAAATAAACCATTTGTGACCTCTTATATAATTAATAATGAAGTTAAGTATTATTAACGTAATTACATTTTCTTATAATGGGAACACCGTCGTTGCACGTTTCTACCAATGATAAAATCTCTAGTCAATTTTTTATTTGCCAATGATCTTTCATTTATATTTATATTTTTGCAATTGTTCTTTAATGGAACATTTATTTTTTTTTTACATATTTTCTTATATCGTTATACTTTAATTATTATTTTTTATTTTTGTACAAATATTTTCATTTTTTAGTTCTAAAATTAATTAATTTTAATTATTATTATTGTCATTTGTTTATTAATAATAATTTAATTACTAATTATGTTTAAAAAAAATGTTTAAGTAAATTTATTTTTAACAAAAAAAGCAATTTCTTGGTTAAATTGAAAACCAAATCAAAACTAACCATAATAATCATTATTAGAATCATTAAATATAATTGAAAATGTTAATTGTCACACAATTGTTTTTGCTATAAAAATTAATTAATCTCAATATATTTCTTGACAAAACAATTCTAGTCTTTATATTAAAGATTTCTCTAATAAGCAAAAAAAAACTGCTGGTAATCAAGAATAAAAAGTGGATTTTAGAAATCAGTTTTTTAAATACACTGCCACTTTTTAACATTTTCACAATCATCTCTTTAAGATAATAAGACAAATAATCTTCTTTTTCTATTTTACTTTTTAAAGTAATAAAAAAAAATCGTTTAATTTCGAATGCTTGAATTTTGGAACAAAATAACAATTTTAAAAGTATAATATGGTGAATGTGTTTTTTCGTATAATTATAACATGAAAAAAAAACAAACATGATTGTTCAATCATAATAAAAACGCGACTGCTAAAAAAGAGATATAAACATTCATCATGGACCACAGAATGTAACGAACTTTCCGTCCGTGAAATATAGAAATGAAATATTTACATTTAGTAATAAGCTCGTATGTAGTTGTAATAATTATTTTTTTAAGTTTCTCACGGTCGCATATAATTCTTTTTTTTATATATATATATTACCAAAATTATATATACGTTATTATATTTTTCACGAAAATTTCAGTATTTATTTTATAAATTCAAATTTATTTAAAAAAAAATTAATTCCAACTAAAAATTCCTTTTTATATGTTATTTGAGAATAATATTTATTTATATTAATAAATAATATTATAATTATTAATATAAATAATATTATTTAGAAATAATATTTGTAAATTTATTTAAATAATTGCACAAATGTTTATAGAAATAAATTCGAGAAACGTGCATAATATTAAAAAAAGAAACTGTTTAAATCCCACAGGGACCAGCTCATCAAATTGATAAAAAAAAAAAAAAAAATATCACTATGCAGTACCTAAAAATTTCCTTTCGACAGTGAAAAAAAGAACTAGCTTTTTATATTAAAAACAAATTTTAATCAATTATAAAATCAGCTTAACTAGAAAATTCATTTCTATATAATTAAATCAAAATGCTTATAATGTATTTTTAAAACAATTATATTATCATGTAAAATGTATATACGTATATAAATTGTTAATTTTTTTTTTTTAACGAAAGAAAAAATATTTATTTAAAATAGAAAGTACAATTTTGTATTTATTTAGTTAATTATAATTGCTTTTTGTACTTTTTATATAGATTTCATTAATATTTTTTCTGTGAAAAAAAAACCAAAGAATAATGTTGAATGTGTGTTGATTAATTTTTAAGATAAAATTTCAATTCTTATTTTGTAAACATCGACTCTCTCTCTATCTCCCTTTCTCTTTCAAAAAAAAAAAGATAAAGCTTGAATCTGATAGTTTAAATGTTTTATATCTAAACCAAGTTAATGTATAATCTCTTTTTTTTTAAATATTTCAATTTAGAATATTATATAGACTTGCGCGAATGTTAAATTGATAATTCTCTATCATTGTTAAAAACTCATGTTTGTATTTATAGAATTTTAATAATTTGTATAGTCATACATTCTTGCGCATATATTTAGTGATTAAATGTAGCCCTACTTATAAAGTTAAGAGGATCGAAATATTACGCTTATGAAAACAAAAAAAAAAAAAAGTTATACCTATAATAGGTAGAATCTTTAATGTGTGTATATATAGATATATACATTTATATATAAATATATATATAGGTATATACATATAAATATTTATTTAATTATAAATAGAGCTCGTGAATAGGAAAGTATCTAAATGGATTTGTCTGCAAAAAAAAAATTAAAAAAAAAAAATAAAAAAAACTCGCCACTTTTGCTTATATACAATTTAGTATTTAAGGAGTGATTATTTTCATCTTAAAATTAAAGCAGTTTTTCAGTGTGCTTATCCTGAAGATAATAACAAAAGACCCAAAAAATAAGGAGATATAAAGAACAATATTTAAAAAAAATATTTTAAACATTTTTAATATCTCGTATTTTTAATAATATTATATCTTTTAAAAACATGTGAGACATTAATAGGCATTAAAGGCGTTAAAATTTTTCAAGAATTTAATTTTTAAACTGAAAACAATAAATAATCTTTAAAAATATATAAAAAAAATATATTAAAAAAATTATATCAAATATACAATAAAATAAAATTTTTTAAAATAAAGACCTTTTTATATTTATCAGTTTAAAAATTAAAATATTAAAAATTTTATTAGTCTGAAATCTATAACATATTATAATATCTCATATTATAACAATTTTAATTAATCAATAAAAAAAATTCCAATAATTGATTTAAAATAAAATGAATTTAGAAAAATTTCAAATCGTTAGCAAGTAATTTATATAATTATATATTAAATACATTTTCTTCTCACATCATGTTTATCAATAGATGTAATAAAATTTAATTTTTAAATTTCAACATTACTATTTTTTTGTTAATCTTAAGAAAACAATAGTAACTGATTGTCAAAAAAAAACTAAAAATAATGAAGCACATGTAAATGTTATAGCAGAATTCCAAGCACTATTTATATATCTGATATTAGCTAAATTTACTGCCAAATTTTTTGGGTCTACATGAGCACTACTGCCATATTTTTCAAGATACCAAAACTATAGAATACACAAACAAATGTGTATTAAAAAAAAGCGAAAAATAACTAAAAAAAAAAAATTATGTACATTTGCTCTATAGAACGAATTACAAGACTCTCGAGATATTGTTTTCGAGAAATATAAATATATATATATATATATATATATATATACAATAATGTGAACGATTTCATGAACTACTGTAATTGCTTTGCAATTAGAAATTTGAATCAAATGTCAAACAACATGTACATTGAATTCCAATAAAAGATATTTGAATTAGGACAAGTTTAATATTTTATATACCCAAATATTTATACGAAAAAAAATATTAAAACAAGACAATTGAAAATAAATAAAAAAAAAGTTAAATAAAAAATCACTCACCGATCGCGGATTCCTTCTCTGAAAAACAAGGGGCAGTTTTACTTTTTCTGGTCCAGTTTTGGAAAATTCCATCCTCCTTCCGCCCTCATCGCATCATCTCCTTCAAAATATTATGGAACTGCTGATAAAATAATTAATAACATTTATTTTCTAAAATATCGTTAAATAATTCAACGATTAATTATATTTAATGTGAAAATTATTTCCAATTATTAAAAAAAAAATATTTAAAACATCAACTTTTGTAGAAAAAAAAAAAAAAAAAACTGAAAAGAAAAAATAGAAATTAATTCAATGTGAAGCTTCTAAGAATATCAAGAAAAAAATCTATTAAATAAATCATTAAACTTCCAAAATAAAATTTGCGATTTATTCATTTTTTATGCTATACATAACCTCACTTTTTAAGAAAAATATTTTCAAATAATAATTAACATTGTCTAGAATTAATTTTCGAAATTTCTTACCATGTTGCCAAAATGACGGTTGGCGCCAAAAGTTAACCCTAATTTTCATTTTAGAAATTTTACATTTTTTTTAAAAACAATATCCTATAAATTTTATAAAATAATCATTCCCAATCATATGAACAAATTGATTCAAGCATTTATGTAAAAAAGAAAACGAAAATATTATCACTTTTTTTGTTCAATTTTCAGAATATGAAAAATACGAAACGACGGTTACCGCCAAATGTAACCCACAAAATTTTCAACTTTTTAATGTACACAATTTCATGTTTTCCAACCTCCCATCCAACAAATTTTGCTAAATTATGATTCCCTATTATGTAAATAATAATATAATCAATGATTTTATGAAAATAATAAAGAAAATCTTACCTTTTTTCGATAAAAGTTCAATAGCTTGCAAGAAAACGTCTCGATGTCAGGAGCTTTTCACACGGAAGTGAGCGAAGTAAGCAGGGAATGATGGATACGTGCTCTGATTGGCTTACTTGGCTAGTAACAGAAAAGCGATCTTTGATTGGCGGAGAACACACTTCCGTTTTATGTTCTAATTTAAAATACATATTTGATTTTAAATATATATAATATTTATAAATATTATTACTTAAAATTAATTTCAAATTAAAAATCGTAATAAAAAAATAGTGCGAAACATTTTGGACTTACAATTAATATATATTGTAAAACACTTATAATAGAATTATAAATTTTAGGTTATGTTACATTTAAATAAAATATTTAAAAAATTACATTTTATTTTAAACAAATAAATAAAAAAATTGCAAATAAATACAAATTTATATGAATTAAACTTTTTTAAAATTTAAAAATATTTAAAGGAAGATGTTCAAATGAGAACGCCTGCGCATTAATTTCAATTTACAATTTTTTTTCCCCTCTTTCCGGTTCACGGTGATCACCATCCATTTTTGTGACAAGTGAAGTGAATCTTCACGGTTTTTTGATTTGTTTTTCAGTCTATTTTCAAAAATGTATAAGTAACAAAGTTCTGATTCCCGTGTTACAGTTTAAAGTTTATTTATGCATCAAAAGGTAAGTGTTGCTTATAGTCCGAAAATAGAATAATTGCTGTTAGGCGTGCCACCGGTTTGGGGTTAGAAAATGTCTTTCTACATTCATTATCACAAATATATATATATATATAATGTGAAAATTACAAATTTTTTTTTTACTAAAGTTAAACAGTTTTAGAAGATTCATCTAAATTCTCAGCAATATGTTAAAAACGGACGATTCTCTTCGACCATATCCACATTATCCACAGACTGTGTAAGTAATAAATTTATCATTTTTTCCACTCATAAATATTCAGTGCATAATTTTTTTATTATCTTCTTTTTTCATGAAATAAATTTATGAATCACTAACAGCTTTTCGTTTCCGTTGATTTGTTTATTTTTAAATTTAGATTACACTTTAATGAAATTAAATTAAATTATTTATAGGTTATGTTTTAGTAACAATTTTGATTTTTTAAAAATTGTATATAGTAAATTAAATTTAATAAATTATTGATCATTATTTTCGTTTTATTCTTTAAATATTTGTTAAAATTGCAAATTTGTTTCTATTAAAGTAATTTCACTTGTAAAAAGAATTTTGTTTTTTGTTTAGGGATTTCAATAAGCAGGAGGATCAGTATTCGACTGAAATTTTTAGTACTGATGTAACAGTAATTCCTGCTCCAGGAATTCATAATCATGGAAGTTCAAAAGTAAAACTCAAGAATATTGTTGATTTTTCATGGGAACATCGTTTATATATAGGAAATCTTTTAGCAATTCACACATCAGGAAAATATCTTGCTTATGGCCTTAAAGGTAATTTTTTGATAATAATTAAAATAATTAATAAAATTATTATATTGTTTAATGTTGAAAAATTATAGTTGTTAATGGAAGTGGCGTGGTTCGAGTTGTAAATAAAGAAGTTGAAAATCGAATACTTTTGAGATTACGAGGGCCTGTTCAAGATTTAGCATTTGCTCATGTTGCAAATGCAATTCTTGCTTGTGTCGACTGCTTTGGAAGTCTTTATGTATACACAATTGAAGCTCTATCTAGAGAATTGGCATATTCATTGATATTACAAGTTGAAGCTGAGGATGTTGTGACAATTAGTCATCGTGTAATTTGGTGTCCTTACATTCCTGAAGAGGAGGCAACAGACGGTGATGAAATTTCAAAATTATTGGTGCTAACGAGAGGATCAAAGGCCGAATTATGGTCTGTATCCGCTGCCTCAAGACTTTGGAATAAGTCCGTCAAGGTTGGTAGTCCATTATTTTTACAATAATAAAATAGGATTTTTAATTATTATTTTTTTTACGTTTTGCAGATTACAGATCCTGAGGTAAAAAATAGTGGCGCAGTTTTGGAAATAAACGAACACACTGATACAATTGTTCAAGCAACTTTTAGTCCTGATGGAACGGCTTTAGCCACTGCCAGTTATGATGGAGAAGTGAAATTTTTTCAAGTTTGTATGTTTGGTCATGGTGCACAACAAAAACCACGTTGTTTACATCAATGGCGTCCACACAATGGTCGACCGATATCATCTCTATTTTTCCTCGACGATCATAAAAATTATCAACCCGAGTAAGTAATATTTAAATTTTATTTTTTTTTATTATTATTATTATTTTCAACATTTATTGCTGTTCTAATATAAAAACTGTGTAAACGTCAAAAAAAAAAGACTTTTTCCCCCCGACAGTGCTCAATTTTGGAGATTCGCCATCACCGGCTGTGATCATAATTCGGAATTGAAACTCTGGTCCTGCGAATTATGGACATGTTTACAGACAATTAAATTTACACCAAGACCATCATCGGCACCGGCACCATTCTTAAAAGCCGGTCTCGATTTAAGTGCTGGATATCTTCTTTTATCGGATATTTACAATAAGGTTTTATATGTTTTAAATGTGACGAAAGATAAAGGCGAAGCGGTAGCTAGTATTAATACAATATCACAATTTCTTCTACCATCACCAATGTTGAGTTTTGCAATTGTCGATGCCGGTCAAAGGAAAGTAAAACCAACTGGAGAATCATTGGAGGATCTTTGTCCAGGTGACGATGAAAATGAAGATCAACTTGTTATAAGAATGTATCTTGTACAACCAAAATCATTGCAAGAATGTCATATTGCATTTAGAACAGCGACTCATGTCGCAGGAACATGTTTAATGGATACATTAACACACGATTCACTTGATTATTCAGAGGATATTCCAGAAATTGGCGCCGTCAATCATAATGGTCTTGAGGTAATAAATAACATTGAGGAAGATCGATCCGTATCGGCGGCAATTGAAGCGGCAACAAATCATGCAGCAGCTCTTAATCTTATGACACCTGATGCATTTAGTTCGCCGGCAAAGAAAGATTCGGCTCTTGATTCAAGTAACAATAGTCCAGAATTGGGTAATGTATTGTCAGCGAGTCCATCTCTTGCACAGGCAATACATGCATTAAATACATCCGAACCACCATTGGCCACAAGTGAAATTGAAGAACAAGCACCGCCAAGCGGTGGAAGTAGTCCCTCTCGTGAGGTTAGAGAAATTCTCTCTCTCGCCGAACCAGAGGAAGGCGATGCTGAAACAAAAGACGATATCGACGAACTTCCTACAAATGAAGATCCAAATTGGCCCGACATTTCAATGGCTCTACTTAAAGACGTCAATATCTGTCCCAATGAAATCAAAAACGATCAAATTACCGATCAACTCAACAATAAGGTAAAATTTCTTTTTTTTCATTACTAATAAAATTCTAATTAAAAAAAAAAAAAAAAAAATTCACTCCACAGGAAGAAGTAAAATCGGTGATAAATTGTGAGGATGATTTGAAATGGCGATTGCTTAATGATAATAAAATATTGAATCTCACGAGTAAATTTGATTCGATACTTGAAATTGTTCAAGATCAACGACAAGAAATACGTGAATTACGATTGGAATTATCAGCATTAAGAAGTGAAACACCACTTGGTAATCGTGTTGAAAATGCAGTCACCCGAGCAACACAACAACAAACTGCAACAGTTGAACAAACATTATTCAATCATATAGCAAGACAACATGAATTTTTAAGTAATATTGAAAAATCAATTAAGGAAAATATTGAAACATCTTTGCCACAAGTTTGTGAAAATGCCGTTGAACCATTAAAAAATCAACTTCGATTGGATTCAATAAAAATGGACGAACTTCTTAAAGCAAATTTAAATCAATTAATTAATGGCGCTCAAATGAAAGAAACAATTGCTCTTGTTGCAGCAAATGCAGCAAAACCAACACTTGAAATTCTTTTTAAAGAAACATTTGCAAATACACTTTTACCTGGTATGGAGAAAGCATGTCAATCAATGTTTCGACAAATTCAAGATACATTTGTTCGTGGTACTAAAGAATGTGAGTAAATAATTTTTTAATTAAATAAAAAAAGTGTATGTATTTTACTTTCTTTTTTAATTTACAGATTTACAAAATGTGGATACAGTTGTTGAGAAACAATGTCAAAAGCGCTACGATCAAAAAAGTGAAACACTTGTTTCTGTTGTTAAAGACGAAATGCACGCTGCACTGACGAGAGGATTGTCAGTTCTACAAGAAGGAACATTAAGAACAATTCGCGAATCTATGAGAGAAAATCTCACTCATCATTTTAGTGATATTTCCGGCGTTAGGTTAGAATATATTTAAATATATTAAATTCATTTTTCATTATATTTTTATTTCTATTATATATTTATTATTTAATATTGATTATTATTATATTGTTAATATTGAATTAAACAAATCATATAATTTTTTAATTGAATTTTAGATCAAGAGCAACAACGCCAGGTCCGCCGGCTCCCGCTGTTGCTGATATTCAAGCAAGGATTTTGTCTCTTTTACAAAGAGGACAATTAAATTCAGCTTTTCAACAAGCATTGAGTGCAAGTGACTTGAGTTTAGTTACACTAGTCTGTGAAAAAACAGATCCTAATCGAGTATTTTCGAGTCCAATGGGATCTCAGGGTCCACGATCTATTTTGCAGCAACCTGTGATACTTTCTCTTGTACAACAACTTTCTGCCGATTTGGGACACCGAACTGAACTCAAGCACAGGTGTTTTTTTTTTATTAGCTTTTACATTTAAAAAAAAATTATATTAAATTAAAAAATTTGAATTTTTTTTTTAATTTTTCTATTGACAATTTCAGGTGGTTGGAAGAGGCAATTTTAAATTTAGATCCTGCTGATCCTGTGACGAGAGAACATATAGGAACGGTCGTGAGCAATTTACATACTCAACTTGGTCATTTTGTAACGGCAAATCCAAATCATCGTTCGGCACGAGCGATGAAAATGCTCGCAATGGCAACACGATCATTGTGCAATGATCGTCCATGACCAACATATTCGTGAGACTATTCGATATGTATTTTTTTGTTTTTTTATTTTCGTGATATAAAAAAACCAAACCAACAGTTTTCCACTGAAGTGTCTCGCATTTTTCTTTTGCGCAAAAACAATGGAAAAGTTCTTTATAATGCAATTACTTTTTTTTGTCTCTAATGTAAAATATCATTCATTTCATATATATATATATATATATAGATTTTTCATTGTTAGTTTCAATGATTTCGTTTATTAAACATTTTCTTTTATTTTTTTTTCGAACGTTAATTTAATTTGGATAAAAATTTGTTTTTAAGTAATATATATATTATATATTTGCATTTAGTGCAATAGAGTTTATTTTTAGTTTTTTTTTTAAACTTATCATGACAATATGCTTTTCGATTTTGAGAAATTTAAAATCGATTAACGTATTTTATTGATTTCTTCTCAGGATTTTATATATTATTTTTTAAATATTTATCACGTCTTTTCCGTTGTTTTATAACACAAAAAAAAATCAGTTACAACAGTTGGGCATTTTTTTAAAGCGTCATTAATGATTGCTAGAATTTTCATTTAATATTATATATTTTTTTCTATTTTGTTTCAAAACTTTTCGGGACGATATTAAAAAGGATAAGAATTTCATATTTATTTTCAGTCATAATCATATTTTTAAAATAACTTTTTCTTTTCTAAAGAATTTTTTTTAAAGAAAATATTTCCAAAAGTCATCCGGAATTAAAAAAAAACCTTCTTATATCGCATGAAAAATAATTAATTTATGCAATTTTTTTTTTTTTTTTTTTTTTTTTTTTTTATAAACAAAGCTTCAAATTGTATTTAAAATTCAGTTTTATTGTTACCTTTTCATTTAAACAATATACTTAGTCACTTATTATTTTTTTTATAGTTATAGGATCAGCATTTATGTTTAAATAATGAATGATATTCATATAAAAAAAAGATGACTGTCTACTGAAATTATTAACATTTTATTTCATTAGATTTTATTTTTGATATTTTGTCGATATTAAAGCGAAATTTATGTTAATTTTTGAGAATAAGAGACTACGCTGATAATCAGTAAAACTGTGTTTATTTCTTTATTAATTTCACTTTTTTTTCTCATATTACTTTATTCATTTGTCACTTCATTATTTTTTTAAATTTGCTTCTGTATATTTGATAAATTTTTTTGTTTTTGAATATTTAAAGCAGTAGAGTTACAAACTGAGAATTTTTTACTATAATATATATATATATATACGTTTTTCTACATTTTGTATTAACATTTTAAAGAATTAAAATTTTAAATCAAACTGTCGAGTAAAAAAACAAATGCGATATGTGAGGAATTTAGAAAGAAATTTAGAAATATATATGTGAAAAATAGATTTTAAATTGCTTTAATGTAAAAAGAGAAAACTTTTTTTTAGAAATGAAGCTCGTTGCAATTTTTTTTTTTTACTTAGAATATTTGTAAGATTGTAATATACAGATTTTAAACTTTAGACGAAATTTGCATACATAAATAATAATAATAAAAAAAAACTGTGCCACTCATTTCGACTTTTGCTTGTAGAGTAATAAAATTTAAACCTTTTGTATTATGTTACATACAAAACAAATTCATTTACTCAAAATGAACTTTCAACAAATATTATTAACTAAACAAAAATGAAATGTATTATAAAGATAAATAAATTCGTTTCTTATATACAAATTGTGTATTGTATTTATATTTACAATTAGTATTTGTTTAAATAATTATTATTTTGAATTATATCATATTATTTATAATAATTAAATTAAAATTGAAATAAATTTAAATTTTCTGTAATTAAAATTTTATAATTATATACAATAATTAGTCGGTTTGTTTTATTTTTACTATTCAACTTTTTTAATTTAAGAAATTAAAATGAGATTTATTTTTTTAGAGCATCTTTTATGTGAGCTGGTATTTTAATTCTTTTTCTTTTACGTATTTTTCCATTTGATGCACTCGATTGATTAACAACACTTTTCTTTTGCTTTTTCTTACAACTCAAAGGATTGGGACCACCTTTTTTTCGTCTTTTTTTGAACTTAATTTCCATGTCTTCCAAACCTGACTTTTGTTTTAAAACCTTAACAGTTTGAATTTGTAGAGTGTTTGTTACAATTCCATTTCGTAATTCTTCAGCGTATTTGCAAGTGGCTTCCGAAGGTCTCTCAAGAGTTGGTGCTTTATCGTGTAAATAAAGAAGTGGAACTCCTCGAAGATTTCTAATGTGATCTTGAAATTCACGATCTTGAGTTGCAATTACATACCTTTAAAAGAAAAAAAATCAAATTAAAATTATTAAATAAAAAAAATTGATTTCCTTTCATTTTACATTCGTTTTGTTTAAAACTTTATTCCAATTGTAAAATATTGATTTTACCTTGAAGAATTATTATTAGAAATCATTGAATTAAAACATTTGGAGCCAGAAATTGAATTTTTTTCATGTCCACATTTATGAACGGGAAATTGTTTTATAATTCGTAAGGCACCATTCAATTTTGATTCTAATTGCGCCAATTTTTCTGTCTCCAAAATCATACATTGAGTTGTTAAAAGTTTCACTTCGGCTTGAAAGTATTTAGACACTTGTTCCTTGATATTAAATTTGGCCTAAAAATTATTTTTAAAATTAAAATTACCGAAAATAATGATTTTATTTAAAAATAAAAAAAATATTCATTAAAAAACATATTTTTATATTATAAAAACTAATTTTTTAAATATTATTTCACTATACATTGTTGCTTAAAGGTAACAATTATTTTTAATAATAAAATAATATAAACAGAAAACAATAATATATATATATATATATATATATGTATATATAAATTTCTAACCTCAAGAGCAGCGAATGCAAAAGTTCCATCAATGAGAACTTGAAAGGGTTCTCTGAATTTAAAATTATTTTTATAGAAATTCAGATGTTTTTGTACTTTTCTTTGTCGAGAAATTTTCATTTTTGCGTTATTAAATTAATAAAATTCCATTGAAATTATAATTGTTTTTATTTTGACACGTGAGAATTGTTTATCACAATCTTTGTCACTGCGCAATATGTCAGCGCATGTTCATTGCGCATGTGCTTTCGCTTCAACATGCACGTGTTGTTTGAAACATAACCTTCAAAATGTATAAATTACAAAACATTTAATTTATTTATAAAATATACACGTTTTTAATCAATTTTTGTCAATGAGGGAAATATTTAATAATTCTTAATAAATTTTAAATCAAATAAAATATGATACCAGCTAAAAGATGTATTTCCGAAGTACTAAGAAGAAGAAGTTCTTTTTTCAACAGAACATTAATAAAACGGTAATTTATCATTATTTTAATATAAAAATTTACATAAAATACATAATGTGTTACTTTTTTTATAAATATTTATTAAGTTAATGTGTTTTTTTTTTGTTTGTCTGCTCAAATATATTTCTACATTTTTTTTTTAAATTGTCAAATTATTTAGCAAAAATAGTTTTTGTTATGATATCTTGTTTATTTATATATATATATATATAATACGTAAATAAAAATGTGATTTTAAAATTGATCAATTTTAATATTGTTTATTTTAAGAAATACTTTTTCTTTTTACAGATCTGCCAGATTAAATTTATCCAGAATAGAACATTGTCGAGGAAAAGCAGACAATTGTAATGAGAATTTCAATTCACTTTTTAAACCTATCCCAGTAAAAACAAATGAAAATAAAATAAACGTTGGTGCAGAACTCACTGGTACTTTGTCTAGAAAAGATATTTTAAATATTTTAGAAAAATTCCGTGAACAGAAAGAAATTGCATCACTTTCTTTAGAATATGGATTGGATGGTAAGGAGCAAATGATATATTTGTTTTTTTTTTTTTTATTATTAACAAATTATAATTGAAGTTTTAATTATATGTATATGGAAAAAAATTTTTATTCCTACGATATTGATATTTTTCTTTTTAAATATTTATAGAATATCTTCAAAATCAAGTTCATGATCATTTTAAAAAATATTGCTTACAAACAAACACATTGCCTGTGGATCTTCATGTAATTTTAAGTGATATCCTTCAAGAAGCTAGACATATAACAGACATATTTCCATATTACATTCGTCATGCCAAGGAAATATTTCCCCATATCGATTGTATTGATGATTTAAAAAAAATTGGCGATCTTCGAACACCAGTTAATTGGTTAATAATATTGAGAACTATAATTTATAATTAAATAATTAATAATTTTAATTTAATAATCTTTCAAGGAAAACAAAAAAAAGTTACAAATTAATTAATAATAGTAAAAATAGTAATTTATAAAAAAAAAAAATTTCAGGTATCCTTTGGCTAGGGAAAAAAAGAGAAAAGTTATTTTTCATGCTGGCCCAACGAATAGTGGCAAAACTTATCATGCTCTTGAAAAATTCAAAAATTCATCATCTGGTCTTTATTGTGGTCCATTGAAATTATTAGCTGTCGAAGTTTTCAATAAATGTAATGATAGTGTAGGTATTTTTTTTTTTTTTTTTTAATATCTATTACAATAATTATTTAGTATATATTTTTTTAATTACAGGGAACTCCATGTGATTTAATAACCGGAGAAGATAAAAGATTTGCACGTGGTCCTAATTTTCCTGCAAATCATGCTGCATGTACAGTTGAAATGGCAAATGTTAATACACCTTGTAAGTAAATTTTTTTTTTTACAATATATTTATATTTGAGTTTCATGAAATTATTCGGAAATTAAAAACTAAGGTATCGATAATATGATAATATTAATAATTATTTGATTTCAGATGAAATAGCTATAATAGATGAAATTCAATTGTTAAAAGATTATGGAAGAGGTTGGGCTTGGACAAGAGCTTTCCTTGGACTTTGTGCGGATGAAGTTCACGTATGTGGTGAACCTGGTGCAATTAATCTTGTACGTATTTTATTTTTTTTTTTGAAAGTTTATCATTTATTGTAATTTTTTTTTTTTAATACTTTATAAATTTTATTATTAAAAAAAAAGGTGCAGTCACTATGTGAAGCAACGCAAGATACATTGGAAATTCGAAATTATCAACGTTTAACAAATTTAATAGTTGAGAATTCAGCATTAACTGATTTAAAAAATACTCGTCCTGGCGATTGTATAGTGTGTTTTAATAAAAACGATATTTACAGTGTTTCACGTAGTCTTGAAAAAATTGGCAAAGAAGTCGCTGTTATTTATGGTAGTTTACCGCCTGGTACAAAATTCTTACAGGCAGCAAAATTTAATGATCCGGAAAATCCTTGTAAAATATTAATTGCAACCGACGCTATTGGAATGGGTTTAAATTTGTGAGTATTTCTTTTTTTTTTTTTTTTTAACTAATATTCCGAATAAATTCTAATTTTTATTTTTATTATAGACATATACGAAGGGTCATATTTTATTCATTGGTAAAACCGTCTGTTAATGACAAAGGAGAAAAAGAAATGGACATTATCAATGTTTCGTCTGCTCTCCAAATTGGTGGACGTGCAGGTCGTTTTGGTACACAATGGAATACGGTATTTTTATTTTTTTATATTAATTAAACTAAATTCATTAAATAAAAATTTGAATAATATTTGTATAAATATTTATTTTCAGGGTTACGTAACAACTTATAGACCACAGGATTTGAAAATGTTAAAAAAACTTATGAGTTCAGTACCTGAACCTATAGTTAAAGCTGGTTTGCATCCAACTGCAGAACAAATTGAAATGTATGCCTATCATTTACCTGATGCTCCACTTTCGAATTTAGTGGTAATTTTATTTATCAATACATAAAAATTTAATAATTAAATAATATATTAATTATTATTATTTTTTTTTCATTTTTAGGATATTTTTGTCTCATTGTGCACTGTAGATGACTCATTATATTTTATGTGTGACATGAATGATTTTAAATATTTAGCTGACATGAGTCAACATGTAAATCTTCCTCTGCGTGCTCGTTATGTTTTTTGTTGTGCGCCTATCAATAAAAAATTACCATTCCTTTGTACCATGTTTTTAAAGGTAAAACAATTTTCTATTTTCTAAAAATAACAATTTTTTAAAAACTATTTACATTATTGAACTTTAATTTTTTTTGTTTGTTTTTAACAGTACGCTCGTCAATACAGCAAAAATGATATTATTTCTGCAAAATGGGTTCAACAAAATATTGGTTGGCCCCTTCCGAATCCTATGAATATTCAAGAATTAACAAATTTAGAGGCTATTTTCGATGTGTTAGATCTTTACTTATGGTTAAGGTAATCAATTCATTTATATAAAATTAATATTTTTCTAAAATATTAAAATATTACCATTAAGAAAATATTCAAAAATTATTAATTAACTTTTAATTAATTATTTTAATTTTAGTTAACTAATTAAAATTAATTTTTATTTTATTGTAATTGAATAATTTTTTTATTTATATTTTTAGCTATCGATTCCCAGATTTATTTTGTGATGCAGATGAAATAAGACAAATGCAAGAAAATTTAGATTCTCTAATTCAAAAGAGTATAATTCTTTTTACACAATTACTTAAAAATTCGGAGAAAGGTATATGATTTATAAATAATTGACATTTTTTAAATTTAAATTCATTAGTAATAAACAAAATTAATTAAAATTAAAATAATATTTCATTTAAAAATTTTATTACAGGTATCGTAAGCAATGAATCAACAGTACCTTTATTACCAGGTACCGTAAATAATAATTTATTATACTACTAATTTATTTAAATAACTAGAAAATTATTATTTTTTTAATTAAAATAATTTTAGTTCAAGGTAAAGTTACGGAATCATTGATAGCTCAAGGTCAATTAACTGTTGACATGCTCGAAAAACTTCACTTAGAATGGGAACAGGTAAGAATTTTTTAATGTAAAACTTCTTTAAAAGAAAGCATAATAGTATTATTAACAATTTAAATTACTAGTATTTATTAATAAAAATAATTAAAAATTTAGTTCTTTAATATTTTTAAATATTCTTTTTCAGGCGTCAAAAAAGAAAAAAAAGGATTCACGAAAAATAATAAAAGAATCATTACCAGATACAACAACAAAAGTAGAAACAATACGAACAGGAGAAACAAAAAGAGGAAGACCAAAAAAGCAATGAGCAAATATTGTTTTAATAATAATATTAATGATCGATATTACAAATCAATTTTTTCAATAAAAATTATATATAAAATAAAAAAAAAAATTTATTATAGAAAATTAAAGAAATTCTTAGTATAGAAAATTTTTCCTTATTATACATTTGTTACACTTTTAACAAATATCACTAAAAAAAATCACTGAAAAAAAATTCTAAACAAATTTGTTTTAAAAATATATTGTTTCTAAAAAAAAAAAAAAAGTAAATTTTATTCTGACTGCTCGGCGTTTAATTCTTCATTAAATGGCTGAAATCCTTCGACGCTCCGTTGAAATATATTATAAAATTCACGATCAGTTTTAACTCGTCGTAAATATGCTCTAACAGTGTATAATGGCGGAAGATTCATGTATTTATTAAGGAGCATATATTTGTACATTTCTGGTGATTCTATGTACAAAAGTAGACAAAGAAAAATCCATGTTCTTGAAAATTTAATATCATTCTCCTCGCCACTATTTTCCAATTTGAAACATTCTTTAATCATTACTTTTTGTATTTCGGGTAAACTCATAAGATCGACTATTTGTGTCATTAAATTAATTGTTTTCGCTGGTAATGTTGATAAACGTTCTTCACATTTTGACGATCTTATTTTCTCCTCAAGCGATTCGCTGAGAATTTTGACTCGTTTCTCCTTTTCGATTAGTTTCGTTTTACCCATTGAATATGTATTTTGTGCAAATGTTGATTTTCGTTTTCCCAAAGTTGCACATTTTGAGCATCGTGTTATTCCGCTATTTACAATTAAAGAACAGGAATTGTGCCGCCAATTTGATCCATCTCGATAAGCATCGTCGCATTCTAAATTTATCAACGGATAACCTGGAAAATTTAATTATTAATTTTCCTGAAAAACTATATTTTTATTCAATATAAATTAATTACCTTCACAAACATTTCGTTTGTCAAATTCTTCAATTAATTCCTCAACATCAACCAATGTTTTAACGGTTAAATTACTTTTGTCTTTTACCAAATTGTGTGTTAATGTTTCAACATTTTTTTCTTTTACAGTACAACGCATTTGCATATTATTTTTAATAAAAACTTGCTTCTCAATACCGGGCATTCCATTTTCGTTCATTCTCATAAAACAATAGACAACAGTTGTTCCATGTCCTTTTGGTTTTGAAATTACAAATGAATTCCATCCTTTTGGTAAATTAACTTCAGTATAAACTTCCAAAAGATCTTCAAAAAGCATTGATTCACTATTTGTATCCGCTGAATTATAGCTGACGTTATTGTCTACCAAAAATATATCTTTCTCATCAACTGTACATAATTCATCGTCTTCAGTTGATAAATTTAAATTATGTGTATTATCAGAAAGAAGTAATGATTTGGAATTATCATTGTGCAATGTTTCCGTAATGTCATCTGTAAAATGTTAACGATTTAAAATTTACTTTCTTTTGTTAATTATATTCATATATATATATATATCAAAAGAAATTAAAAAACTAAAATTATTATACCATCATCGGAATTATAATTTGATTGAAGATTTACAGCTTCATGTGTTTCAGATTCTTCTTTCATAAATTCAAAAGATTCCTGTGAATCTTGATCATCAAAATTTATACTCTCGACAATATTTTCATTGTCATTTTCACGAGGTATTGAAAAAACTTCATAAGATTTATTGATTGTCGATGATAAATTACTCAAATCAGGAGATAAACTTCTATTAACTCGAAATTCGTCATCACATTCTAAAAATTGTGGATCCACTTCGTCTGGATCGACATGATGTTTAGGTATTGCACCTGGTCTCAAACGGAATTTTTTATATTTAATCTAATTAAAAAAGAAAGAAAATAAATATAATAATAGGAATATAAAATTTGCAAGTTATTGTTAAATAAGAAAGTATTTTATACATACAGTAATAACATTTGGTGGTACTCCACTAAACCAATGAGTAATAATATCCGTTGGATAAAAATGTTTACTACAAACGTATGTTTCATCTTTGACAATATAATTTTCAACTCCACCAATAGCTTCTTGCCATAATTTACGTGTTTTTGGATCTTTTGGAGCAGAAAAGAAGCTGCTTCCATTTCTGTAATTTGTCTCTTTGCAAATTGCACATTTTCGCGTCATAATGGTATTTTTTTTTAAATAAAATCTTTTTTTTTTAATATTCTATTAAAATTCTCCACAAAAACATATTTATTTTAAATTTCTTTCGGGAAAAACTTAAATTTTTAGGTTAGGACGATTTTTCATTTTTCTTCGCAGACAAGGCGAAACACTTAAATTTCCCCAAGAAAACTAGGTTCAAGTTTTTTTTTTATTCACTCACATAAATGTAAAAAAAAAATTTGCAGTTGCCAAAATAGTTTAAAAAAAAACACAAAAATCTGGTATATAATATTACAAAACTTTTTAATATTTGCAATGTTTATATTTTGCTTTTATAACTGTGTAGTTTAGAAATTCTATCACCAGAGGGACGATAGTCATTTAACAAATTTATTTAGATATTCTTTAATTATATATAATATAATATAATAAACTATATAATATAATTTTATTAGTTTCAGAATTAGATAATCTATACTAATTCAAATAAATGTGTTTTTATTTTATAATATTTAAATAACCCGGCAAAATATATGAAAGCTGAAAAGCTTTTTTGAAATTTCCACGAAATTTCCCTTTTGGAAATTTCCAAAATGCAATGATTTTTGGTAAGGTTATGTTACATAATATTTTAATATTCTGCTATCTCATATGCAATTTATTAGATTTTGAATAATCGTTATTGAATTACATAACAATTTGCAAATTAGTTTTATTAGTAATTCGAAAAGTGATTCGTAATTGTAATTGTTTTCTTTTACAAATTTTTTACAATTTGGATCAATATTGCACGTACTGCAGGCTCATTTGGAGGTCACGCCTGTAGGTCACCGTTTAGTCTGCTTCGATCGTTCGTGGTAGTCTGTCACGCATTTAGGTAAGTTGAATATTAGATAATATTAAGAAATATATCTCATCAATTTAGTTATTTAATGAAAAAATTATTCTTTTGTTTATGAATTGTCAATTTAACAATGATCATATTATTTTTCTATAAAAAATTTTTATCTTTTTAAATAATGTCGGCATTCAATGATTTTGAAATTTTGTTTTCATATCGTTTTTTTTTTGGATTGTTTTTTAAAAATTGTATTCAATTTTTAATTCTTAGTGAAATAAATTCAAGTGTCATGCATGAAACACGTAATTTTTAAAGGGCGTGAGTAATTTGGATTATTTAACCTTGACAAGGTCACGTGCAATGATAATGGATTATTTCTAAGTTTGTAACAAATTTTCTAATGGAAATCAATCGATTGGAGGATAAAAATAAAAAATCTCTTATTATTTTAAATAGAATTTGCATAGTTTTATGTTTGTAATGTTAAATTTTTTTAATTTTTTAGGAATTTAAACTCAAAATACAGCACAAGCATCATGCCTATTCAAAGTATTAAAGCTCGTCAAATTTATGACTCTCGTGGTAATCCCACTGTTGAGGTAAGTTGTTTTTTTTTCTTTTTTTTTAAATTGAAAAGATGATGTAATTTGTTGGAATATTTTTAAAAATAATTTCTTTTCAGGTTGATCTTGTAACGGAACAAGGATTATTTAGAGCCGCTGTTCCTTCTGGTGCTTCCACTGGTGTTCATGAGGCTCTTGAACTTCGTGATAATGACAAATCGAAATATCATGGAAAATCTGTATTCAAGGCTGTTGATAATATCAACAAGCTTATTACACCTGAATTATTGAAGGTAACATTTTATTTTTGTAGAAATTGAATTTATAAACAAGATATTTTAAAATAATTTGCTTATAGGCTAATATTGACGTCACTCAACAAACGGAAATTGATAATTTACTTTTGAAAATCGATGGCACACCTAATAAATCAAAATTGGGCGCTAATGCTATTTTGGGTGTTTCTCTTGCTGTTTGCAAAGCAGGAGCAGCTAAAAAAGGAGTTCCACTTTATAAGTAAGTATTATTGAAGATTTTTTTTTAAATAAAAAGAAATGGAAAATTATTTTCTATATTTTACAGATATATTGCCGAGTTAGCGGGAAATAATGATATTATTCTTCCAACACCGGCTTTTAATGTCATCAATGGTGGTTCTCATGCTGGTAATAAACTTGCAATGCAAGAATTTATGATTCTTCCAACTGGAGCGGCTAATTTCACTGAGGCAATGAAAATGGGAAGTGAAGTTTATCATCATTTGAAAGCTGGAATCAAGAAGAAGTTTGGTCTTGATGCTACCGCTGTTGGTGATGAGGGTGGTTTTGCTCCAAATATTTTGGAAAATAAAGAAGCTCTTAATCTTATCACAGATGCCATTAAGGTGTTTATTTTTCTTTTTTTTTCAATAAAATATTTTTTTATAAACAATATTTTTTAAAATCTAATATTTATTTTAGGTTGCTGGTTACGAAGGCAAAATCAAGATTGGTATGGACGTTGCCGCTTCTGAATTCTTTAAAAATGGCAAATATGATTTAGATTTCAAGAATGAAAAATCCGATCCAAATACTTATTTGGAACCGGAGGCATTGAAAAATCTTTATTTAGATTTCGTTAAAGAATTCCCAATCGTTTCCATTGAGGATCCATTTGATCAAGACGATTGGAGTTCTTGGACATCAATGACTGCAGCAACTCCCATTCAAATTGTTGGCGACGATCTTACTGTTACCAATCCTGAAAGGTTTGACACAAATAAAATTAAACAATTTTAAAAAATAATTTATAGGTATTATAAAATCTAAATTTCTTTATTTTCTTTCAGAATTAAAACCGCAATTGAAAAGAAGGCATGCAATTGTCTATTATTGAAAGTAAATCAAATTGGAAGTGTAACAGAATCAATAAACGCTCACAAACTTGCCAAGAGCAATGGCTGGGGTACAATGGTCTCACATCGTTCAGGTGAAACTGAGGATACATTTATTGCCGATTTAGTTGTTGGTCTTTCGACAGGACAAATTAAAACTGGTGCACCATGTCGTTCTGAGCGATTGGCAAAATATAATCAAATTTTGCGCATTGAAGAAGAACTTGGAAGTGCGGCTAAATATGCTGGTGAAAAATTCCGAAATCCACAAGCTTAAATTTATTATTATTTTCGTGATTAAAAATATATACATAACAACGTTATCATTTTAGGCTTTGCATTGTTATGAAAAAAAAATTTTAGCTATTGTCCTGTTTCACGTGTAATATAACAAAAAAAAAAAAAAAAAATTACATCTTAAAATTGCAACAGTTTTTAAATTTAAACAATTTTTTCTTTTCTTTCATTTTTTTTTCTATTTCAAAAATTTGTTTCTTTGCATATCAGTTTTTTTTGAAAATGACTTTCTTTTTATATTTTTTAATTTTCTCGTGTTTTAAATTTTAGAGAGACGCCTTTATTAAATTAGAAATGAAAGAACGTGTACTATTTTGTGACGTTAAACATTAAAAAAGAGTTTAAATTTTTAAAATATTTTAGATTAGTGTAGACAAAAAAAAAAACAAAATACTGTTTATCAATTATTGGGACAATATATCAGATGTGAGAGAATAGTTTGCTATTCCTGTGACCGAATGTATGTAAGCCAAATAAAAAAAATGTATGAACTTGTAAATAATGTTTAAAATAATTTTTTTATCCTTTCATCTTTTCATTTTAATATAAACTATTTTTTATATAATTTATTTCGTTTTTAATTTTTAGAAACAAAATCAATGTTAACAAAAAATTGACAAATTCAAACATTCGTGCAACATTATTTTATTAAAAATTATAACATTAGGGACAATAATTGTACAATTTTTTTTTATATATATATATAATATGGGCTTAATCATTCGCATTTTCAATATTAATAATTAGATAATTTATTTTCTATATATTACATAACATTAAGTGAAATACTGCGTACAAATACAATTAACTACAGTGTGTCTCTATATGGGCTACCAATTCCTCTTTTTTTTTTTACGAAACAAAAATTTCGTGAGTCTGAATTCTTTTATAGATTCACAATCTACACTTTCAGATATATTTGGGGTTTTAAAATCACTGTAAAAAATTTACATCACACACTATACATATATTAAAAATTAATATTTATTAATAAACTTTTTTTTCTGAATATCGTTTTTTAAACGAAAACAAAAAATATTCTGATAATTTTGATGATATTTTTTCTTCTTGTTATTATACAAATATTTTAAAACCCCATTCATATCACGACAAACATACAAGTATAAGTAGTTCTATTACCAAAAATTTTATTCTGAACAATAAATACTTAGAAAACAATTTGTTTTTTTTTTTTTTTTTACCAATCTTACTCTCAAACATTGTCCGTCGAATATCTACATACATTATTATTAAATTTAATTGTCACGTGTATAAATATTATTCGTTAATATCCTTGTAAAGTAGAACTTTGTACTACTAAACAGTTTTTGCAAAATTATATCATTTTTTTTTTTATTTTTGTTTGCTATACAAAATATTTTAAAGTTTATAAAATATAAACTTATTAAAATTAATTTTTAACAATGAGATGAGGCAGCGATGATATTTGATTATTACGCTTTTGTAATTTTTAAAGAAAATGATTGTATAAAATTATTTTTTTTTTGTATAAGAATTCACAAATTTATTTGAAAATTTTTTTTTAATATGAAAATATGTTAAAAAAAAATCATGGATGCCTTCTCTTAAAAATTGTAAAACAATAATAATTATGAAAATTAATGGAATTTTTAGTTGATTAGCCGAATTTTTTTTTGTACACATATAAGAATATCGACTTCATTCTCATAAATAATATAGAATATGATACAAAATAAGCGAAATATAGTCATGATAACGCTTTGTAAACTGTTAAGTACATTAAGGGATTTCTTTTCGAGACGCGAGTATAATGGAAAATGAAAAAAAAAAAAAATTAAAAAAAAAGTTTTAATAAAGAAAAGAAAAATAATGGATTCTGTATGCCTCATATTGAAATACTGTGACTATATTCTTACTACAATTATATTGAATCTCAGAAAGAATCTATTGAGCTACTTTGAAAATAAATTTACATACACATATGTAGTCAATTACTTAAATCAATAGTTCGGTCTTATTACTTATATAAATCATTAAACTAATTTCATACGTCTGTACGAATGTGTTTTTTTCGTTCTTTTTTTTATATCTAAAATATTATTTGCTCAACAAAAAAAAAAAATAATAAATAAATAAACTGAAATATTTAAAACAAAAAATTGAAAACAAAAATTTAATTACATTATTAATAATACAATTAACATTTATAATTATTAACAATTAACATTATTAATAATGTAATATTTAATTTGTTTTAGAAATATTTTTTATACGTAAATTTTTCAAATAATGCAATGATAATTGCCTAATTAATAATAAATAATGATTTGCAATTACTTTGATTTAATTTTCAAATCGACTACTCATATGGTAAAAAAAAATACTTTTCAGAAAAAAGAAAAGAACGAGAAAAAGAAAAAAGTCTAATTTCAATTGCACTCAAAAATAAATAATGTTTTAATAATAAAATCATACCTAAGTTAAATAGTGATTTTTTTGCGATAAAAACCCCTTGTACTTGGAGGATAATTATATAATTTATTAACTACACATATCTAATTACTACCACTAGTTTTCTAATTCTAAGGACTGTTTTTTTTTAAATATAAGTCAGTATTTTTTTTTATATATTATAATTAATGAAAACCGTTTCTGTTCCAATATCAGGAGATTCGACTGTTTTCTTCAGTCTCGAAGGATAAATTTCATGTATATATATAAATATATAAAATAATATATATATATTTATATACATAATTGAATGATAATTTTTTTTAAATTTCCGTTTTTTTTTTTTTGCTTTCTTAATCCAGGGTGGCAGTAAGTATCTAAGATAACGTACGTGAGCAAATTTACAATAATAAAACCTACTTAAAGACTATACGGATTGGGTGGCACATAAATTTGAGACTCATTTGTTTCACAATAATTTACCAACTCAGGGAATTTAATCCCCTTCAAAATTGGTCCGCAGTCGCTTTTCATTTAAAAAAAAATAAAACGAAATAAATAAATAAATAATTGATCCTTTGGCAATTATTTAATATCAAAATTTTAATCTTTTTTCTTTTCTTTTTTAATAAAAATAAATCAATTTTCAATTGTGGTAAAATAAATTTGCTTTTTAAAAGCACATTTCTTTATGAATTATTTCAAAATTATTTTATAATTTGTTCAATTTATATATAATTATTATTATTATTATTATTATAAAATGTATAATTATACTTTTTTTTATATTAATATAAATATATTAAAAATATATTTTATATATAATATAATTTATTTATTATATGCAAAATAATTGTCATTATTTTGATATTAAAAATAAAAACAATTTGTTTTGTTTTGTTTTTTTTTTTTTTTTTTGATAAAATATATAGAAATAACTTTGGAAGATTAAAATTCAGAGACTTTGTCTCAATTGTAAGTCTTCTATTTTTTTTATATTCTGGAGTAATGCCAAATTTTTTTTTTTGCCATGGAACAATATTAATTTACATTCGATAATGTTAAAAAAAAAACAAGTTTCCAGTTTTGCCGCAACGAACGATGTTTGCAAGAATTTTTAAATTCTATAAAATGGGATCGTTCTAACTAATACGTATAAAAAAGAATTAAGTAACCAATTTTCTTTTTTTTTTTTTGGGAAACTGTTATAAAACAAAAAAGTGGATACATTCTGAAAGCGACTTTGCCAAACCATTATCTACTTTCTTGCGACGTCCCTTAGGCGTCGTGTGTCATGCGAGAATGTAAGAAAACTTTTTTTTTTTTGTTTAATTTTATCATAATAAATAAATGATATGAAATTATCAAAATAATATTATCGGAATGAAGAAAAATCTTTGGCCTTATTTCTTCCTTTTTTTTTTTTAAATATTCAAGATATTTTTTTAAAAATTTCTTCCAGAATTTCTTCTTTTTTTTTTTGCCAAAGAAATTCTTGAATTTTTCCTTTTTTTTCTACTGTTTTAAAAACAGTAAAAAATACAAGTACCTTTCTTCTTTTTTCTTCAAAAGAAAAATAAACACTGAATATGTCTTAGAAAGCAGTAATTGCGATTTCTTACAATCCTCGATAATGAGCAGTAGGGTTGCATTCAAGCGTGCCTAGCTTCTTATTTGTTTTTCTTTTCAATTGGCGTCTTCTGGTGATTCGATGTCATCCGACGTGGTATTTTGGCGACAGCGATATACATATGCACTCACTGATAAATCATCATCAGTGCGTACGCATTTGTAAGTGTCATTTTCACACTCGCACCTAAAAATAGAAAATAATATATATCTCATAACATTTTGAAGCAGAAAAATAAGAAATATAAGATTATAATAAACATTTATTTAAATTTAAAATATTGTCAACACATGTATTTTGTTTCAGAAAATAAAAATTAAATTTTCTATTCTAATTTTATATTTAATTAAATTAAAAATAATAAATTTTCATATTCAATTATTTCGTTTAAATTAATATTTTAAATTCATTTAAAACTTTAAATATTTATATTTTAAAAATATTGTCTTGATATTAAAAATAAACTTACGTATTTTTCATGAAATACTCGACGGTACGAGTGAATGGAACGTATACTGCCCAACCACATGGTGTGTTGTAACAGAATCTTATCTCTTTGCTCGAGTTATCCGCATCTCTTTGAATCCTCAATTTGTGCGTATCTTGTGCCATCTTCAAAAGACGTTCTGGCAAATCCTGAAAGAAAATACCTTTTAATTAAAGTAATCATATTAACAACAAATTTTTTAAGATTAATAAAAAAATTATTTTTTTTTTGCTTTCTTCATCAAATATTAATTACAATTTTACAATTTATAATTTAAAAAAGAAATATATTATTACGATATGTGGATGTTTTATTTCAAAAATTTATTGAATTAAAATTATTAACAATATATATATATATATATATATATATATATGATGAAAAATTAATTAATTTTTCTTCAATGAAGCGCATAATGCGATTTGGCTAATTATGTATGTATATATATATATTTATTTAATATCCGTTAATTGCTTAGCGCGAAAGATAAATCATTATATGACACCAATTACTCTTTCCTTTATAATTATTTATCTTACTTTATAGATGAGAGGACGCAATTTCCAATCAAAGAGCGTAATCTATACCAAGATTAATTAAGAATTATATTAATGTACATGAAGATTAATTATAATGTACATAAGAAAATTTCTGTTTCGAACAGTTCTGAGAAAAATTGTGAAAGGCAATACATATCGGTTCATTGAGAAAGCAAAGGAGAGATGAAGTTATCATTTGGTTCTTATCATTGGCAGTTTGCGTCAGGCCAGGGTCAAAGTCGGTGATCTCGAACAATAAATCATATTTTATCGTACGAAAACGTAAATTATTCGCGCGCTTATTCTTACAATGACCTGCGCAATCGTTTAATAATTAATTTTAAAAAACTACACTTACAGTAAGTTTTACGAAATAAAATAACATATAACTTTTGTGTGTGTGTGTGTTGTAATCCATCAATTACAATCAATTTCTTCTTTTTTTACCTTGTTTTATTTGCATAAAATCGTGAAATTTTTTTTAAATTAATTCTATTTAATTTCTTTTTCTATTTTTATGACACTTTTAAACAAAATAATTCAGAATTTGACTTTTTGAGGTTATATTTTTGTTTACAATTACGAAAACTACATTGCTCTGAATTTTCTTACAGACTGAGCAGTAATACCAAATTAATTGTTAAATTACTGAAAACTTTTGCCTACACGGAACTAGTGACTTTTTATTTTAGAACAGTTGATGCACTTGAAGTGTGATATAAAGACAACTTCAGGACTTACGAACAGTTTTACAGCGCGTCTAACGCTTCAATCTTTCTTATTTATATAATTATAAATAGTTTTGAATAAAAAATAAGGTAGGTTTTGTGATTATTTTTGTTGTAATATTTATTTTCTTGCATGCTAAAAGTTACTACATCTTAATCTAAATCACTAATTAGATTAGAAAAATTCTACAACTAAAAAGTTAGGTTATGTTTCATTGACAATTATTTTTTCTTTTCTTTCGATATATATAAAAATAAGAAAACAAAATTTGTTTATTGTAACAAAATTGTTAGATTTCTGACCAATTGAAATTTTTTTCCATTATCTAGAAATTATGAATAATTTTTCCCATTTGAAATCAGGGATAACTTTTTGTGACTACAATTTTTGTAAGTAAAATTTTGTTCTAATTAACAATCTTGTTAAATTAGGAGAAAAATAATAATCAAAGGATATAAAAAATGAACTTTTATATTAAATACTTTACACGTGTGCAAGTACGTTTGAGAAGTTTAGCCACGTTTGATTAATGTAAACAATCAGACAATTGTTAAAGCAATCTATATATGCGCACATGTGTATAGTGAATGAGAATCAAATTAATGCCTCTGATCTGATATATATATATATATATATATATATATCATGTGACTCGCAAGCCTGAGGATCCATCAAAACAAACTCCAATTATTAAACAGAAGGTCAATCGTGAATGAAATTATAAATCATTTTCGTAACTCAAATCTTAAAGGCAAATTGAATTAAACATTTAAAATTAAATGATCCTAATAGGGGAGGGGGGGGGGAAATTGCGACGAAAATTTCTACTAATTAATTTTATTATTAGTTTATATACTAATATCAATTGAGAAATTATTATTGAAATGAGATAAGAATAATAGGTAACAAATATTTTCAAATTAATCATATTCAATTTTCAACGGTTAAAGAAAATTATAATAATTTTTGTTTCAGAGAATAATTTATTTGAATCATTATTGATTCCAATATTGTATCAATCAAGGACCATTAATGTTTTCTATGGCAATGCGTGCGTATTCTATCTGTAAAAGAAATGCATCCTGCTTATTTTTACAACTGTTAACCGGATTGACCACTGAAAAGGGTCTTTTTTTTTCTGATGAAAGTCTCGAGATAGTGACGGACGTGAAGTAAAGACTGCAAGTTTGCGTTTCATTGAAGAACATCAGACTAGACGGTGAGTATGTCAGTAGTAAGAGTAAGAGAGCGAGAGAGAGAGAGAGAGAGAGGAGCACTTAATAAGATTGAAGCATGAATGTAACTCGGGTTCATGAATGAAAAGTTCCAGTAGCTTGCATGTTACAAATGGCCGGGCCTATATATCTAGTTCTCTCTGATCATCATCATCATCATCATCTTCACTCAACTTCATTGTTTTTAACTTGCGTGCATTTTTTTTTTCTCAATGAAAAGTTTCATTTTGAAAAAAGGGAGATAATAACATATAGTATACAAAACTTATCGCTTCATTCTCGTGTTGCCGTATCACGTGACATTAATATACTTTTATCACAAGTAAAAAAATGCAGCCAATATTTAATTTGAATAAAATACTTTGTTCTTAATATAATTTATTTTCAAATTTTTTAAAAATGTACAAAAAAAAAAAATTAATTAATATTTTTCTCAATATAAAAAATAATAAGTTATAAACTAATTTAGAGAAATATTTTGCGTTTTTCAAAATGTCAAAATAAAAATTTTTGACAATTTTTTTTTTAATTTTCAGTAAATAAATAATTAAATACAAAACAATAGAATAATAACTAAATTAATTTAAGTAAAATAACTTTGCCTATGTAGCAAAAAAAAAATTAAATTATAAGCAGTAAAAAGTAAATGATGAAATGCAAAATTTTATTTTCAATATAATTTTTAAAAGAATGTTGAATTATTATTATTAATTAATAACATTGATAATAAATTATATTGATTACTTAATTGTAATAATAATTATTGTAATTAGAATTTTTTTTTATTCATTTTTATTAATTTAACAACTCTAGCTGTAGTTTTTATCAGTTTCAACAAGTCTCAACGAACTTTGATTTTCTAAATATATAACAGAACGCAAAATCTTTCTCGTAATTTCGCGGAAATCTTAAAATGTAAAATATAACCTTTCTTGAGGGTTTTGCATTTAACGACGCGCAAAATGTGTGTTTAAAAACAAAGTTAAAAAAGAGAGATAACACTTTATAATTTTCATATACAACAAAGATTTATTTTATGATGACATAAAAAATACAATTTGAATTTCATAAAATAATAACAATTATTTTAATAAATCGCTTTAGAAAATGTTTTTAATACAAATTAATTAAAAATAATTTACATTATTATTAATTATATTTTATTATTAAAATGAATCATTAATTAATGTATCATTAAGTTACAATAATATTTATTAATAATTAATTAATTGAAATATTAAAAGAATTGAAAATTAGTGTTAAGCCGCAAAATTGAGAGATTATTGAGAGGAGAAAAGTGATATCGAAAATTGTGATAAATTGAATGTGAATTTACCCCACGTCTGTAGCTTATAACTTTGTCCCTAATTTTATTCATTTGAAAAAAAAAATCGAAACTATTCAGGAGGAACGTTACAATATACATATGAGACAAAACAGGAGTAGACAAGTTTCATCTTGTTTCGGCTTCCGGTGTCACGCAATTAAAAATTAATTTCATTCAAAAGATTTAAATAAATAAAATTTAAAAACTACATATAAGAGGACAAATTTTTAAATTTTGAAATGATTTTTTTTTAATTATTTCAAAATGTTCACTACATAATTATTTCACTAATAATTAAAATTGTTATTTCACTAGAAAAATTAATTTTTAAACATTTTTCAGTTTTCAATTTTTTAAATATTTGAAAATTGAAAATTATTTATTTAAAGAATAATAATATTAAGGAATAATAATTAAAATAAAAGGACTTGTCCCTAACTTCATAGGACAAATTTAAAAGCACCGTTGAGCTTTCGATTTCTCGCTTACATTCGAGAATAATTGAAAATTCAAATTTGAAAAACAATTTTCTAAATTTTTTTAAATTTTAATTTAACTATTAGTTAAAAAATATATATGACAATTATTTTATTCAACTTTATGAATAAAAAAAAAATTATATATAATTTTGAAAAATAATATTTTCAAATAATTTTAGAGAATCTAGATTATGGATATATTGAGGATGATCGGAAATAGTGTTGTCTGATGAAATACATCTCCAACTTACAACAAATTTCACATCTCGTCCGATGTGAGCGACGGTTGATTCAAGGCACGTGGGAAGATTAAACGCGTGCATTCTCATCACAATACTACTAGGTAATCATTTTTTATATATTTTTTTTCAAAGATTCATGTTGAACGACAAACTATAACGAATTTTTTGGAGAAAATTTAATAATTTTTTTTCGGAATAATTTTCAAAATTGTTAATTTAATTGTAATTTTATTTTTTCTAAGGCAAAAAAAAAAAGAAAATTTTTTTTGAAATTTAAAAAAATTGCGAAATTTTGATATATAAAATAGAAAAAACTTACCTGAGTCCTAAGGACTGCCGTGTCAATTAGAGATGCGTACCAGCAGGTAGCGACAAAAGCGATAATAATTAGCCTGAAGTGTGACATTTTAATTTGTTTTTAATCGCAATTGACCCTTTTTTCTTCGTGCAGGACACGAAGAAATCCAAAAAGGAAAAAACTTTAAAAACGAAAGCGCACAAGGCCGGTTCACTCAAAAAAGTGTTGCCGACGTTGAAATAAACGTCGATTTTTTTTTTTTTTTTATTTTATTTATTTTTTTTTTTTGCAAAAAACAAAAATCAGTCTATATCGCTTGACACCTTATTAATTTATAAAGTGTATAAAGTCAGTCACGTTTGCGAAACAACAAAAAAAAAAGGATGATTTTCCGTCCGATCGATCGAAAATTTCACGATTAATTGTTGCAAAACAAACTCAATTTTTTTTTTTTTTTTTTTTTTTTTTTGAGATTCGCGGGTTTAACCGGTATGGACTTTAAACGAACAGCAGCTGCAAGTATTGAGTGAGGACGCTTTCGAGGCGTCGAGGGTTTATATAGTCTGTGGGCTAGCCGGTGCCGTTTAGTGGGGGTAAGACTAAGCTAGAAGTTATAATAATATATAATAAGATGAATCTAAGTTGCGATTTGAACAACGATATCACGGGGGTGTAGAATATTTGTCAAAGTGGAGAACCTATAAAAAAAAAAAAAAATCTCCATTCTTTCTTCAACAAAAAAAAAGTAATTAAAAAAAAATTACCTTCTTCTTGGTATATAATTTTTAGAAATAGAAATTTTCCCAAAATTTATAATAGGATCATTATACTAAAATTAAAAATTAATTTATTCTTTTGATATTTCCCCCTGTATGTGTAAAATATAAGAATAATTATTATAGGGCTCGGAGTTTGCGAATTTATGAATTTAAAGTTTTAATTTTTTTTTTATATTAATTAATAATTAATTTATTTATACTAATAGTTAAAAAAAAAAATTATTAGGAAATTAAAAATTGATTTCTTACCTATGAGTCGCTTTGAGCCTGTAATTATATTAATAACACTAATAATAATTATTATTTTTATAAAAATAATAATTATTAATAATAATTATTATTATTATTATTTTTACCACATTCATTTAACTTATATTGTATGAAAACTTAGCATAAATATTGTACAAAAATTATGATGTAAGGTTCGGGACATTTCATCATATAATAGTGTTGATATAAACCCAGCGGAAGAAATTTTTTTGTGACCGTGGTTAGGTCTATTTTGTGAAAACAAAATATCGCGATATTTAATAATTAAAAAAAAAAGTCTATATAATTTTTTTTCGCCCCCCCCCTAAACTATACACAAAATATGACTGAAAAAAGATCTTCAGATAAGACAAGCTATTTATGAAATTGGTTCATCCTCATCCAATCAGACTCTAACTATAGATCATTGTGTTATCTCACTCACCACATATACAAAAAAAAGTATGTCTTACGATTTTACCCTTTAGTTTTTTGTTTCGAATCATTTACCATTTTATTATATAGTTTTAATATCAACTGAATTTAAGATAAATAATTCTTCAATATTAAAATCATTTAAAATTGTTTTTTTTGGGAAAATTATATTTTATTGATATACATGTATTTAACTTTTGAGTAACAAAAGAAAAAAATTTTAAGAAACAGTAGAACCTTGATAAGTCGTCTTATAGTTAATGAGGTTATACTGTATTTTGTCATATTGAGAATTAATGAAAAAAAAATTTTTTTTTTAAAGTGACATAGGAAATAAAAAAATTGGAATTCCCAATTTAAAGATAAAATATCAAGTTCATGAAAAAATTATCTTCAATAAAATTATATATAATTTTCCCTCAGGGAAGTATTTTCCCGCAGCAGGTATTTTAGAAACTTTTTAGCAAAATGATAAGATAATTTTTTTTTTTTTTAATTATTTTTATGTTGCGCCACAACGCGCAAGATTAAAAAAATGTAAACTTGTTCCCTTGCTTGACAAATTGATCAGCAACAAAAGATTAAATTAATTATTATTTGTTGAAAGATGGTTAAATTTTAATAATCAGCAAACTAAAAATAAAATAAAAATTCTTTTTTTATCTAACAAAAAATTGACAAATTTTAAACAAAGAAGAATATTTATTTAAAAAAAAAATTAAAACTTAAGGTTAAATTTTAAAATAAATATAACAATACAAAAATAGTATTAAAAATGTTGATTGAATTAATCAATTTTGAATCTCATTTTCCGGGGTAACGGTTAACAAAATTAAAAAGAAATATATTTTTTAAAAATTATTTTTATACATTTAACTTCATTCAGTGATTTTATCATTAATGAAATAGAAAAATAATCTATATATTTAGTCTTCTTTCCGGGGTCGTAACACTTGTAACCGTATATATTTATATTTTCACTATTGTATAGAGCGTAAAGTGCATAAAATTAATGAAGATGAAATTTATTGAGAAAAATAAATTAAAAATATTATAATAATAAATAGCAATAATAAAATAATAAATAATGTTTAAAAACAAAAAATTATTATATTAGAAAAAAATTTTAGGTCATTAAAAAAAAGAAATGCAACAGAAATTAATGTTGACATTATTTCATTGTTGTTTATTGTTTGTTATCAAACAGTGGCAAGTAATATATATATAGGCTTTTGCAACAATGATAATGATTTATAATTGCGTAGAATGCAGATTATCATCATCAATATATATTCTGCATAACAGGTCTGATATAGAATCCAATGACCCCTCAAGGTTTATTATAAAAAATATATATTATTGTTTTTAATCAAAGCAATTGAACTATTTTCAAGTAACAAAAAACACAATATCGTCACAAATGGCATCGATAACTATATATATATATATTATATTGAAATTATCACAATTAAATTAGATATTTTATTTTGATATCATTTACTCTCCAAGGGAAATGATTTTCTAATTTAATAACGAATACAATATTTTTTTTTTAATAAAAAAATATTTATTTAGTCAATCAAATTTATTTTTGTTGGCCCAAAATAATTTTTGTTTAATTTAATTCTATAATTTTGTTTTCTCAACTAATAAGTTTTTTTAAATTTCAAAAAAAAAATTGAGTAAATTTAAAAATATTACAATTTTTAATTGAAAAATTTTAATTTGTCATAAATTAATAATTTTTAATATCTTAAATTCAGTTGATATATATTAGGATTAATGTAAACAATAGATGACTTAATGTATATTTTTTTTTAATTGACAATTTTTTTTTTTTATTGTTAGGATAATTTTTTAAAAATATTTTTTAATAAAAAAAAAAAAAATTTTTTTAACTGCACATGTAATTTATCATCATATAATAAGATTGCGTTGCTCTTTTCATCATTTGTTGCGGTTATGTGTATAAAGATGAATGAAACAAGTTGTGTACATATATACATATAAATGAAAGAAACGCGTCTGATTAAGTTACAAGTGCAAAACCAATTGATGACAAGTGTTTTGGTGTAAACTTTTAATTTGTTCTCCAAATCAACTCTAAAATGCGGCACACTCAATTTATATACTAGGATATATTGCGTAATTTAACATTAATCTCTCTTTCAGATTTATATAGAATTTTCTGAAAAATAATATTAAAATTGGAGGAAAATATTATGTACATATTATTAATTTAATGTCGTCAGTTTAAGTATTTCAAAATAATTATTGTACTAATAATATTGCTGTTATAAAATCATAATTTTTCTTATTTAATATTTATGTGAGACACAAAAAAATTCAATTTTTTTAATTATTTACTATTTTTGAAAATATTATCTGTGGTAATTTTATTTAAACAAAAATATTAAATTTAATTAATAATAATGAATATTTATAAGTTAAATATTTCTCTCAATCATAGAAACATTTTTATTGTACAAAAAATTTGCCTGTATTCTCAATGACAAAATTTTAATATCTTTTTTTATTACAGGAAAAATTTTCCTTCATTCAAAGAAAATTTTCTCTGGAGTACAACTTTAATATATGCCAATGTGGAATTTATAATTCTCGAATTCTATAGAATAGAATCCGCGTCATTAAAAAGAAATTTTAATTTTTGAACCGCATTTATAAGAAAAAGGGTCTTTCTTTGAAATCATCTATAATATATAATCTACATCCATACTACTTCCTCAAAAAAAAAAATTTTCCACTGAAATGAAATATGTTGAATAGAAATCTTTTTTTTTTTAATAGTGGGAATTCCAAAAAAAAAAAAAATTCTTCGAACTGAAATGAAGTCATTTGAAAAAAATTTTGAAATCTAATTTTTAAAATATATATGTATGTTAATTATTGTGAAAGTAATTTTTTGAGTGTGATTGATTTTTAATATTATATAAATGATAAATAACAAAGTAGATTATTATTATATTTGTGAAGTACATTTATTGCACATGATTGAGAGTAATGTTTGCTTGAAAATCCAAATGATCAAAAGGGGAGAAAGAGAGAATATATATATATATGTATATATGTGAATAAGAGATAGAAAGAGAGAAAGGAAGAGAGAAAAAAGGAGAGACAAGAAACGCCTACGGCACTTTAGTGAATAGATAAACGTGAGTCAGAATCGCATAGAGGCCTGACGGAGGCTCGTCTCGTGATCAGCCAATCCCTTCAGCCAGCAATGACGTAAGATCGCATCATGCTTAACTCTTTTGAAATTACGTATTCGTACGCGCCATACGCTATTCTGCATCATGTAAAAATATTCAAATTTGTAAATTATGAGACGAATTTTTTTTTTCTTTTTTTTTTTTTTTTTTTTTTTTTCATCGCTACTGTATGATGAGCTTTTTATAAAAAAGAAGTCCAAAGAAAAAAAATGATAAAAAATTGTCCCTTAAAAAAAAATTCCACAGTTTAATAAAATAATTTTTTTCTTAAATTTTGGAAAATTATTTTAATCAAAAATTTTCTCTAAAATTTCATATGTAACAAAAAAATTAAAACATTTAAAAGAAATGAAATACAAATTTTTTGTGAAAAAGAAAAATTTTCTTGATATAAATTTAAATTACAGTAAAATTCCACAATGATAAAAATCCAAAGTGTTTTCACGCAATGGAATTTTTATTCTAATTGATTTTTGGAAAAATATTATAAATTTTTTTTTCTTTAATGAAAAAACTATAGTGGAAAATTATATATTTGTGCCTGTACATATATATATATATATATATATATAAGTAAAGTATAAGCTGAGACGAAAATTCAATTTAGAAACTTCGTTCCTGTCTCAATGTCTATCAAGTAATAAGTCGTGCTAAAGTGATTTTGACTGCTTAAGAAGTTACACGTCATTAGACTTTAAAGTTTCTGCGAAACTTTAATTAATTTTGTAAAAGTGAAAAGTTAAAGGATATTACATTTTCCACTCTTATGCAAATGAAGGCAAATTTACACAGTACAAGGTTGTAATTTTCCTTGAAAGGATTAAATTAAATTATTAAATGAAAAAAAATATATGTATACAATATATTATGATAAAATTTATTTTTATTTTCTATATATTTTTTTAAATTTAATTCTTATGATTGAAATTATTAAATTCGATATTATTAATTAAGTGCAATTTTACTTAATTTTTAATTTCTACTTTGAAAAATTGTCAAATAGATATATGATTTTCATTTTATCTGAATATGATTTTTTTTTTTTTTTTTTTTGAAACCACGTGCATATCATTTCTCAAATATAATTCTCCTCGTGTCTTCAATGATAACAATAATTAAAATTGATAATTTTTTCTATATTTTTGTATAATATATGTATGTATACAATCAATATATCATATAACAAAAAAAAAACATGCGTCAAATGTTTTTGCAAAATTTTTAGATATATTTAGGAGAATCATACGATTTCAAATGAATTATGTAAGAGTCTTTCAAAAAAAAAAGAAAAGAATAAAAAACCATTTTAGAAATATAATGAAATAAATTGTGTAACCAATGCAAATAAATTATGTTATGAGATACCTATATAAAGAAATGTCGCCAAAAAAAAAAATTTATCTGAAATAACTACATTTTTGTTGAATCAATCAAATAAATGCAATTTTATTCAACAAAATTTCTACTTATATAAAAAAATTTTGTTAATTCTTTTTAATATTTGCTTATTAATAAGTATTCTTTTATTGAAAAGAAATTCTGTTAAATGTGAATTCAATATCGTGTTAACTTTTCTCTTAAATTAACATTTTTTTCAATGCAATTGAAAAAATTCAAAATGAAAACAAATAATAAAATATCTCTTTGTTTTTTAGAAAGAAGAAATAATTGAAGATCGGATCATTATATCGGAGAGAGGAGACGTTAACACTGAAGGGTGCGGATCTTTTGGAAACATCGTGACATTGAAGGAAGTGATTTACTGAATTTGAGGATATATTCAAAAGATCAATAATAATAAAAAAAAAATGAAAAAAAGAATTTAAGGTTAGTAAAATTTTTCAACAATATAATTTTAATTTAATAATTTCTTAAATATTGATTTGTTTAAGAAAATTATATCTTGAAATTATATGTTTTCGCAAACTTTTTAAAACAAAAAAAATGTTTCATTGAAACTTTTTTGGATGGCAATAGCTATATGAAGTTTAAATTAAATTCGATTAACATCCTCATCATCTTAATGGAACTACAATCTTACGCAATTAACTATTTGACAGAATGCATTACATTGTACTTCACTCTTCCCTAATAGAAGCGGAGCTATACAGATGTAGTTGAAGTTAAGTTTCGACGCAATAAGTCGATGACTTACTCTCATGATTTGAATGATGTAAAGGGCTTCCTAAATAAATATCTCAAGGTCATGGATGAAAATAATTTACTATTGTAGTAATTTATTTCAAGAATTTATTATTAAGAAGAACCTCAGGAAGTAGGTAGTAGTATTTCAAAAAAAAAAAAAAAATTACTGTATACAAAAAAAGCTTTTTGAAAAATCTTCACACAAAGAGCTATGTATATGGAAAATTTTTTCGATTCAGTCATTATCATTAAATTTTCGGCTCAGTTTTTATCATTATATTATTAGAGGGGTAATATAAGATTGGCGTCATTTCAGATGATAAAACTTTATTGAATAAGATATGAACACGAAAGTTCAGGTCAAGATCAAAATTCTTCTGGACAAAAAAAAAGTGAGAGGGAGAAAGAAAAAGAGAAGCGACAGATAAAAATAATGAAAAATGCCACAAAAATACACAATTTATTTTTTTTTTTTAAATGTATAAAAAAAAAATAAATATCTAAATTTATTTTGTCATTAATTTTTTTTTGGAGATTAATAATGATAAAATTTTTTAAATATTGCACAAAGTATATAAATTAAATTGCTTAAGATGCTTTTATTTTTCTCGGACATTAGATTTAAAACTGTCCTTTGAATACAAAATATTAAAAAAATTAGCAATTTTTTCGAATGTTCCCCTAAGGGATATTTTTTTTTTTTTTTTTTTACATATATACAAAGTTAAAAGATAAATTTAATTTGAGTTTCTAATGATTTTAAATCGATTATTATATATGGATATACTATATTATTATTAAGATACCAAAGAAAATATATGATAATTACAATAATTATAAATGCAACATTCTTTCAGTAGTGATGTTTGAAATAATTTCTTATTTTATTTGGACATGGTTTATTTTTATTTATTTTTTTTTTTTGCTTCAGAGAAACATTCGCATTTAATTTTACATTATTGGTGTATAATGATATACGTCGTTACAATAATGTATATAATTTCATAAAATTTTTTCAAATATAATTTACATTTGCTACTTTTTTACAAATCGTATAATATCTTGGTCACGCGAGCTGCGCGATATATGTTTTTTTTTCTTTATATATTTATTTTTTTTTTTTTGCAAGTCATTTTTATTTGTAAGACAGTAGGAAATTTCATAAGACTTCATTTCTTTCTGATAAAAAAAAAAAAAAGACGTAATATAATAGTTCATCTTAATCAGACAATTATAAATATATATATTTTTTTTTCAAGATCATTTTATTTACGTCAATATATACATATCTATGTAGGTTGGATTTAAAGAATTTAATTAAATATTATATAAAAAGCATATCAAATCTAAATTCAAATAAATGAAAAGTCTGTAAAATTAAATTTCATCTGAATTTCAATTTTTTGTAATTATTAATTTCTATGAATTAATTTATTAATATTAATTTATTAATATTTTTTACTATTAATTTCTATATTACGTGTAATAAAGAAATTCGGTTAAATGAAATTTCTATTAATTAATAATTAAAAAAAAAAAAAATATTCTAAGAAATTAATTTTAGAGTTTATTGATACGTCTCTATTAATTAGACATAATTCGAAATCTGTTTTAAAGATTATTTAATGTTCTTTTAAGAGATAATCTATTTTATCTTTTGATATTGTCATTTATAGGAATAAAACATTAAGCATCAAAAAGCATTTAACAACTACATTCCTACATATATTATATGTAAATTTAATGAGGGCATTTTATTTTTACCCCCCAATAAAATGGTATTAACAACCGGTTTGAGAATTTTCCAAGGCGAAAATGACTATGTGAAGGGGGGAGGGGGGTACATACACATCATAGGATGTGTATGCCCTTCTAAGGTCCTGGAAGCGATTTTTAGCGATCTTGATTAATGCCTTTCTCTCTCTCTCTCTCTCTTATAATCTTTAATGATGCGGCCACCTTGTGCAGAGCCTATCTCTTCCCAAGTGCATCATCAATCATAATTACCGTTTGGGACAATTAGGCTTGTATCAAGCAGTAAAATTCCAAAAGAAATTCTCCCCTGATTATATACCCGAAGGAGAGCTACACACATCTGATTTGCTTCTTGGAACCCAAGACCGTGTTCAATCGTGCTGGAACGTCACGCACATGCCAACGAAATTACGCGCATCTGCGCACGTGTAGCTTGAATAGAGATCACGTTCATTTTTTTTTTTTTTTTCCTCCTTTTTATTTCTTCATTTTATTATTCCTCATCTTCTTCCTTCACCTCGTCGTCGTTGTCGTTTTCGTATATACACCCACAGCTCCCACGGGAGCCAGTTATTCCCTTTCTTATTTTATTCATTTTTTTTTTTTTTTGCCAATTTTCTCCTCATTTTCATGTGTATATAACATTTCATCAGAAAAAAAAAATCTGATCTTGAATTTTATTGGATCATTTTGGTTTTTTTTTTTTTTTTTTTTGAGAAAGAAACTTTTTTCTAAATTTTCCATGGATAAAAAATTTATTTAAAAAAAAAATTTTGTTACGTTTATAATTTTTGTAACTTTCTCTAAATATTAGTATAGTCTTAATAGAATTTCTGGGTCATTGGAAATTTCCTTCGCGCGATATATGAGATTTGAAATGAAGATTATAAATTTTTCACAGAAAAATTTATTTTATTTAATTAGTAAAAAAATTTAATCAAATTATCAAATATTTATTATTTTATAATTATAATTTATTATATTATTCATTATATAATTATAATATAATTTATTATTAAGATATAATAATTATTTAGTTCTAAATATTTGTTTTTGATAATAAATATCATTTAAAAAATAAAAAAAAAAAATGCATACGTCAATGAAAAAAAAAAAAAAATGCTTGTCAATTGTTGTCAATTAAATTTTGAATCTTTTTTTTTAATGAATGAAGAATGTCATCTTTTTTCTTTTTTTTAGTATCATCAACATCAGGACACCCAAAGTGCATATATTTATTCGCGCAAATGTATTAATTTTAATAGGGGATCACCTTTTTTATAATACACACACGCGGCATTTACGTCATCGTCCACTCCGAGATTCCAAGGTTTTATTACTTCTGATGACACCCCGTTATCGCCTGCGTTATATATATAATATAATACCACCCATATGGGACGGCATTTTAAGTTTCGCTCTTCGTTATATTCGACAAGATATCGTTGCGTGCGTCAATTTCAATTAAGAAACTGACCGCCCTGCTAAATAGTTTCCTTTCGAAAGGATCAGATTTAGGTCCCGAATGACGTCATAATATTTCGAGGAACCAACGAGAGAAAGAGAGGAGAAAGAGAGAGAGAGAAAGAGATTTGTGTAAAAGATGAGAAGATAAAGATCGTAGATCTTTTTTGAAATCGGTTTAGATATAATTGAATGCATTAAATACTAATTCTTTATCTATGTGTGTGTGTAATACACCTTGACATAATTTATGAACTTTTTTTTTATATTTAATATATGTTTATAGAGTTTTTTTTCAGTAATCCTAAAGACGTCAATGGAAATAGATAAATGATAAATTATTTTACATTATCAAGAATTGTCAAAATTTGAAGGATAAGAAAAAGGATAATGAAAAAATAGTATTTGTTTCCTGAGGACAATATTGTGTGTGTCTTTTTTTTTTATCATCTTCGCATAAATATTTTTCAAGGTTTAATAACATCTTTATGTCATTATAATGACAACTTAAGCGCGCGCAGGTGAATGTACTTTAGAGAGGTCAAAACAATTCGATAGAGAGGTTTAATTTATCGCACGTTTCACGCATTCCTAATGAGAATTTATAATACATACTTCCGAATGAAATTCCACATCGATATCATCACTATTATAATGAAACAAAAACTGACCACAGACTGAATGAAATAGATTTTATATTTCGATAAAGAAGAATTTGCCTTCAATAAATAATAATACAGAAAGGAGATTTTTTTGGATAAAGAAAAAAAAAAAAAAAAACGAATATTAGGGAATGAATTTCCCAAAAGTGTAATCGTGAGAGGATACATCTTTTAAAAATGTTGGTTTTCGTCTGGCAATTACTGCGAGCATATACCAGCCAGACGATTTTCTGAGAAGACGGGAAACGATTTCACGTCGAGTAAAATTTTCTTGGCAATAAGAGTAGCCAATTGCGTTGCGTAAGGCAAAACATGGGTCCGTGGTCCACACGCCGGTATTTTATGCTCTTTTGCCAAAACATTTATCATCGCAAAAACCCTTTTTTCTTTTTTTTCTTTCAAAAAATGATTTCAAAATCATATATTTATTTTATATTAATTTTTATATGAAAACATTTTTTATTTTATTCATTTTTAAATAAAATTTATTTAAAGCAAATAATATATTAGAGTCTATAATAATTTTTTATTTATATTTTAAATAAAAAATAGATTTTAATTGAAGTTTAAACTGTTGAAAAATAATGACCAAAATATAAGTTAGAGAAAAGAGAAAGGAAAAAAAAAAGTGATCAAGAATAAGACATAGTCTGCACGAGCATCAATGATGAGATTGCATATATGAATCGTTTTAAATGCATTCAGTGGTGCATACGTGATTAATATCACGTCAACATTTTAATACAGCCTCACAAAGAGTACATTTAAATGAGAGTATACGCGTAAAATTTAGTATAACAGCCTTCACGTGCCATAGGACACAAAACCGTCTGACGTAAACCAGTTTCATCCATTCATTGGTAATTCAAATATACAAATTGCAATTTATATTCACTTGATGAATATTTATTTTATCTATATATTTAAAATAGGTATAATTTTCAGAATCAGATTTTCGCAAATATGGATAACGTTTTATGTATAATTAATGTTCGCGCAATTATTTATATGCTGTCCGAATGAGCTATTAAGTTCACCTTCAGACCACCCATGAGAATATTTAATCCTCTGGAGCATTTTATTAAGGTTTTTTTTTTTTTTTTTTTCTTTTTTAAATTTTCATATATTTAGAAATGAGAAAGTAATTTCAAATTTTATTGTTGTATTATATAGTTAATAATTTATACTATTTATTGTATAAAGAATCAAGATTCGTTTGAAAAAAAAAAAAAATTTACTCTTGAAAGCTGTGATGTACGTTTTGTTCATCACGTAGCCATATAAATTTCTTAGAAATTAATTGCTTTTTTTATTGTAAAAAAAAAATGGTAGCAAAGGTTATATTATAGAGATCAACTTATGTCAGTTAAAATATGTTACTTTTTTGCAAAATTTTTTTTGGGGATGAAAAATTTTAATATTTAATTTTAATCAAAAATATATATTAGGGTGATTCTCTCAAAAAGGACAAATTACGCTTTTAAGTTATTTTGTTAAAAAAATATGAAAATTAATTGAAATTATTTGAAATTCTGTCAGCCATACGTTATAGGATTTAACAATTTTCAATCGGACCACAAAAGAAAATTTTAAAAAAAGGTAAAATAAACGAAATATTGAATAAAAACTGATGTTACGAAATGGAGTTTTAACACTAGTTTTCATTCAATAATTCAGTTGTTTGCCATTTTTTTTTTGAAATTTTCTTTAGTGATCCCATAAAAATTTGTTGAATTTTATCGTATGGCTGGGAGAATGTTTATTAATTGAAATTAATGTTATTATTTTTTAACAAAAACCTCGTCCAAAAATTGTGCACAAATAATTTGTTCTTTTTGAGAGAATCACCCATTAGCAGAAAATTCTATTAAAATCAAAATGGGATCATTTTAATCGTATTTCTAAAAAACAAAAAAAAAAAAATAAATGCTGAAGCCAAATTTGTTACCTATTTATAGAAAAATTGAAAGATAATTAAAAAAAAAAAAATTCTGATTTTAAGTATTTTTGATTTGGAATGATAAAAATTAGGGATTTATATTGTAAAAGTGTCAAAAAAAAATATTTTTTATATTTGCTGGCATTAAATTGAATTCATCGAAATTTTAAAATCATGTTCTTCAATTTCTGAATATTAATTAAATTACAAAAAATTAATGAAGAACATCTTAAAAATGTTGATTCGCGAATAAAATGAATTATATGTTTTTTGTACCTTTCTTGAAATTTCTTTCTCATTATATGTAAAATTTTATAAATTTTTTAAAATATTTCTTAGATATATAATTATATATATTTTTTTTCAGAGAGCGAGAGAGAGAGAGAGGAGAGAAAATTATTTAGTCGTATATACATTTGGTTCGTCATCATCATCATCGTGTGTGAGGCGTGCGAGACTGATTGGTCTCGGTACGCGGCTCGGGCGCGTGCAACGATAAGGTCGCTTAGGGCAGACAGCGCGACGCCGTTTATTTGCGTCTCGACGGCCAACACACAGGTGTTTGAATCCAGCGTTTATACTGATTCGAGAACTGAAAAAGCCTAACCATTTTCTTTTCTATTTTTTTTTCCTAAAATAAAAATCATCTTTTGTTAAAATCACGAAATTATAATTCATTTCTTACTTAAAATCTTTTATAAAATTATATTTGAAATTATATAAAGTAAAAAATTAGTATAAAAATGTTTAAAAAAAAAAAAAATTATTGTTTATTCAAAAAAAAAAATGTAATAATTTTCTCTCTCTCTCTCTCTCTTTCTTTTAACAAAAAGAATGAGAAAATTATGAATCAGAGACATAATTTACAAGGTCTAGACTCGCGGATGATACACAAAACTTTTATGCACATATTTTATTAGACTATTTTATATTATACGGGGAATGAAAATTTTTATCGACAAACACTTCAATTTCAGATTTCGGCAAATATAATAATTATTTTCGTTTATGCGTTAGCAATATAAATTTATAGAGATTTTTAAAATTATATGTATTTTCAATAAGAATTATAGTTGTTTGTGAAAACAGCAAGATTTTTTTTTTATATATATTTTCTATTTCAAAATCAGAGAAATTTAAAAAAAAAAGTTGTTTTTTAATATAAAATTGAATTTTTTTTGGTAAAGAAATAATTTTGATATTAATATTTATAGACAAAAATATCACTTTTTAATTGACTAAATCGAGAGAATTGTATATATATATATATATATATATATAAAATTTGGAGGTCCAATTAGTGAAAATTGTGAGATAATTAATTCGTGAGCTATTAACGATGATATGTACTCTAGTTTTTGGATTCATGCCAAACGCCAAAGAGAGAAGTAGTTTTGTATAATTTATTTTACACACAACAGATGTTCAGAGCACTTTAATAAATTCAGACAGTATATATGTATATATATTTTATAAATAATATATATATATATATATATATATATATATATATATATTTATATTATACACATATACAATAATTGCAAGATTTGTAAACCATAATTTTGGATTAAAAAAAATTTTTTTTGTGTTTATAATTTAAAAAAAAGAATTAGAAAAAAATCTTTAATTGATATAATTAAGAGGTGATTTTCCGTAAAATTAGACTTGAAAGTGTTACATATACGAAACTAAAAATAATGCAAGACTTAAAGGTGAATGTATCCTAAGTATGACAAACGGAAAAATATAACACACATGAATTTTGGCACAAGTTAAAAGACAACTATCATTTTCTGCGTGTTTAATAATATTATCATGTAAAAACTTTATTGTTTATATATTATTTTTCAAAATGGATTAATTTTCACTTTATTATTGTAAAAAAAAAAATCAAATTTTTTATTCTAACAATTTTCAAATTAAATTGATATAGCAAAAATAATAAATAGGAATATTAAATTCATTTTTTCAAGTATAGAAATTTTTGAAATTGAAATTTATTTTATTTATTTTATTATAGAGAGCGTTTTAAATTGAGATGTATAATAAATAATCGAAAAAGAAAAAAAAATTGTTGGCACAAAAACAAATTATCGGCTGTAATCTAGACTCAACAATATTGTCAGGATAGATAAGTTATAAGTCAAATTTCATCGTTATATATAATTTGATGCGTACAATATATTGCATGAAATAGAGACAGCGGTGTTTCGCGGCGTCAAGGTTTATTTCAAACCAAAAAAGTAAAAAAAGAAACTACAAAATAATAAAGGAGGATATGACATCAGTCTACATTTGGAGTGTTGCGTCGCGTCGGAGGGGATTTTTGCATGCAAAGAAACCGTTTGATTTACGTGTGTTGATGTCGACGTTAACGTTTTACCCTAAAGCTTCTGTTAAAACACCTCTTTACCACGACCACATATAACCCTAAAGCTGTCGCTAAAAATTTTAAAGGTATAACATTTTATTTTTACTTTTCGATTTTTCCTCAAGACCCAAGCGATCTTCAAAGCGAGATTCAAGTGCTCATAATTCGAAACAATATTTAAAAAATAAATAAATAAATTAGATATAGAATTTTTTTTCAAAATTTTCATTTTTCATATTCGAATTTAATAGAAATTGTTATTAAAATAATTTTTATTATTTTTAGGTAATTTTTATTTAAGAGATTCATTTTAGAGAATTTTTTTTTTATTTAAACTGAATTTTAATTTAGATAATATTCTCAAACAAGAAAATTTTATGTGATTAAAATTAATAAAATAAAACTTAAAATTCTGTTGATTGAGAATTTTGCTATTGTAAAATTCGATTACTATTTTTTTTTTTCAATAAAAAATTGGGTAAATTGAAAATTCAGTATCTAATAAAAATTTTGTATAATATAGAAATTCTCGTATGAAAAAATTGAAAATTCAAAAATTCGAATTAAACAAAGAATTTTTCTTTAATTGGAAATTTTGTTAAATAAAAATTTTCATAATTGATAATTTAACTAAATAAGAATTCTGGAGAATGAAAATTTGGTTAAATAGAAATTTAATGAAATAAAAACTAAATTTACCAAAAAAACAAAATCTATTAAATAGGAATTCCGCTTATAAAATTTTACGTTTTCCATTATGCGAAAATTCAGTTTAAAATCCAATTAAATAAAAAAAATAAAAATAAATCAAATAAAAATTTGGTTAATTGGGAAATTTTGTTAAATAAAAATTTTCATAATTGATAATTTAACTAAATAAGAATTCTGGAGAATGAAAATTTGGTTAAATAGAAATTTAATGAAATAAAAACTAAATTTACCAAAAAAACAAAATCTATTAAATAGGAATTCCGCTTATAAAATTTTACGTTTTCCATTATGCGAAAATTCAGTTTAAAATTCAATTAAATAAAAAAAATAAATAAAAATATATCAAATAAAAATTTGGATAATTTGAAAAATTAAAAATTTTGATTCTTTTGACAATAAATTTTTTTTTGAAAAGTCAAAAAAAAATGAAATTTCCTTTTTTAAATAGTGAAAATTATTCCCTCATTTAAAATTTTGGGATTTTGTCTCGCGTGGTTTTGTTTGGTCTGTCCGTGAAATTTATGAAAAGTCGGTAAAATGATGTCCACGTCGTGTGGGTTAGTCTAAATTGGTATCGGTGAATCAACTTTCAAATGTGAGAGAGAGAGAAGAGAAGACGCAAAGAGCAAACGAAATTGTTTTTGGAGAAGAGTTTTGCTGCGTCGCATCGCGAAAAGAGGGCGTGTCTAGACGCACAAATCCTCAAAAGACTCAACTCAATCATCTCTGCATATGGCTTGTCTGTATGTGTGTCTCCTATCATATTTTTTTTTTTTTTTTTTTTTTTGCACAATATTAATAATAATGCTTCCTGTTTTCAAGGAAGCACTCTATTATTCATTCTCCAAGCGCCCCCAAAATCGACAGTATTCATTTGGTTCAAAAAAAAAAAAATTAAATTTTTTATTATTTAGTTCAAGGAAATATTTATCTGATTATTTGTGTGAAATAATTTTTTTTTTTAACCAAAATTTTATTTTGCAGAGTTTTTTTTTTGGAGAGTAACTCGAGGTCACTTCCTTGTTCTTGGGGTACATATTTTTGCGTCTGGTGTACCAAAGGTGCCAACGCGAATTTTGACCGCGGTGGTCATTTGTAAATTGGACAATGCATTTATTATTAGCGCCTAAAACTGGCATCCGGTTTCGAAGCCAAAGTTTCATGGCACTTGTTCGTCTATCGTCATCATCATCATCATCATTTCTTCATGTGGAAATTAGGGATAGGAGACAAGTCGTCTGATGTAATTTCTGTTACGAGTGTCATTCGTCAATTCATAATGTTCCATATGAAGAAGAGGAACAAGAAGAAGAAGAAGAAAAGTAGAGGAAGAAGATAAAGAAAACGATATAAAAGGATGAAGAAGAAAAAAAGGAGAGGAAGCGTGCCAGATGATGATTTTTATTTTTAACGATTTACTTTCAGCCTAGTTAGGCTCAAATTTATTCTGGGATTTACTTACATATACTAAACCACTATATACTTTAATACTTTTCAAACATCAAAGGATTTTGCCTCAATATTTTGTCTTGAAATTTAAATATTTTCTTTTATGAAAATAAAACCATGAATAAGAATAAAATGTCAAGTGTGTAAAAGATAATGACAAAAGTTTTAAATGCACCGTAAAAAAGGCCTGACTAATTTGTCAATATATATATATCAGCTGGGAATTTTTCTTTTTAAACAAGATTTTGAATGAAGCGCAGGTTGAAACTAGTTTAAACACGCCACAGTGGGTCTTATATTCTATTAATCATCTTTTTGAAAAAGATAATACATTTCATCATTTTTTCCATACCGCAGAATTCTCATAAATAAATCATTCTTGCAATGATGGAGAAATTTTCCAAAATTTGTGTTTTCTTTGTTAAAAAATTTTTTTTTTTTTTTTGGAAAATATTTTCAAAGCAAAAAATATTTAGGTTACTTAATAAAATAATATTGTGCCATGTGTGACGCGGCACTTTGATGACTTAATTAAATGACAATCAGTCCTATCAAGTGTGGAATTTGTTTACCGTGCAGATAGTAATATATTATCCGATTCATAACCAATACTATTACTTTTTTATATTAAAAATAATTTTCTTTTTTTAAACTACAAATTTTGTTCTAATAATTTTTCATTCACATAGAAAAAAAAAAACTGATACAAAATACCTTTTGTAGAATATTAAATTTCAAACAAGTAGTAACTACCACTCGTTTGTGGGGAAAAAATTTTTTTTCAAGATATTATACGCAAGTTTAATTCACAACTGCGTATCAGCTGATGTTGCATCAGCTTATAATATGTATATATAAATTTTTCTTGAAAACTGATCAGAGAAAAGTTTATAATATCCTCGAGATTTTTTTTGTAAATATAAAAAAAATCTGTAAAATATTAGTTAACTAATTGAAAAAAATTATTTGCTAAATTTAAAAAAAATACACCTTAAATAATTCGAGGAACAAAAATTTATATTAAGTATCTAATTTGAAAAGTTGAATATATAATTCTTCCTGTTTCTCATATCATTATCCTTGTAAATTTTCTTTGATGGCAAATGAAACATGATAGAAATCAGTGGCTCATGAAATCACTGGCATTTATTATCGCCTCCCCCATTCCTTAACATAAGTATAGATATTATCACTTTTTTTTAAAATTAATAGCAAAATTAGACTTTCAAATTTTTGCCTCTTATTTCGTATAATTCTTGGAAAATAACAATTATTATCAATTATGAAAATTATGATTTTATCATTTTTGTGAATTTCAAGATTTTCAAATTTGAGTTTGACCAAATTACCGAATTTCCACTTCTATAAAATAGAATTTTTATTTTTTAAAAAAATTTCTATTTAACAGAATTTTCATTTAATTTATTATTTTTTTTAATCGAATTTTATTTTTAAACGAATTTTTAATCGCATTTTCATTTTTCAGAGTTTTCATTCAGTCGAATTTGTATCTAATTTGTTCGTGCAAGAAGATTCTGGAAGTGTTATAGCTCTGATAGATTAGAATCTTGAAAGTTTGAAAAATGCATCAATTGATTGAGATTCTTGGTACTGTCAATGATTTATTTTTGCATGTGACGTTTGTGACCGATATGGAACAGATTGGCAACAGATGTTTGAATGTTGGTATGCATGCTATGCGGAGATCATAAGTTGAACATTAATAAGGATCAATCAATGACGATTAGGTTAACGTCTTGGGAGATTGAATAGAAAATCGAGACGTCTTAGACAATTTCCAATAGTCAAATTATATCCGAAATTATAAGATAATTATCTCATATATATATATATATATATCTTATCCCAACATTAAAATCAATTACAATTCAATTTGCTCCTATCGTTTCTGAAAATTAATTTCTGTAAAATTTATATTTAATCTTCTTTAAAATTTCATTTAAAAAATTATCTTCAAATCCATTAGCAAATTTCAAAATGACAAAAAAAAGCATTTTTTTTTTAAATTTAATTTGCCTGCATTATTAAGGAAATTGAATTTTTGAAAAATAATTAATTTCTGATTTTAAATTTTTTGGTATTTAATTACCATAAAAAAAATATATATATATTTTTTTTTAATGTTATATTTGCAAATTTATTATAGAAAAGGGATGAAAAGGGTCATTAAAAAAGAACAAAGATTACAGTTCAAAGAGCAAATATAGTCGAACGAATTGACTTGGAATCAGCCGCACTAAGCGACGAATGAAATGAAAGAATATAATTTGATCCTTTTAAAAAATGTATAAATAAATTTGAGGAAGCAATTTTCAATTTTTGCTATGTGACCATGACATACGAGTCATTAAGTTTTAACGATTTCAAATTAGTCACGGCTAAATGATATTTCGAACGATTCGACACTGTAATTTTTCAGGGTTGTAATTTAGGTTGTCACAAAACTCTTCCTCTTATTCGAAACTATTATAGAATTTACATTTAAAAAATGAATTTGCACAATTTTTTAAAAAAATTAATTCTTAAAAAAAAAATTCTTATTAATATAATTATTTTAATTATAATTATATTATTTCAGTGATTTTTATTTTATCGCTAATTTTTTATTGTTTTTCGGAATTTAATAATCCAATTTTTTATTACCGTTATCGAATCAGGAAATTATTACAAATATAAATTTTTGAATTTTTAGAGCTATTTTGAAAATTTATTTGTTTGGTATACAAAGGAATTTTTTTGATATTTGTCATGCTAATCGTAAAAATTATACTTCAGAAAAGTAATGGTGGTTTTGTTATTCGCGATGTCTTTTAAAGGAACTATTATCGTCTTAAAGGCATCGCTTCCTTTTTATTCCCGGAAAGATCGTAAAGATGTAAAAGTACTCAGACATGTCACTTAGGGGTTTATAATCTTCTCAAGCCGTGAAAGTTCTTTCAAAAATAGAAATAGGAAATAATGACAATCAAAATTCTAATCTTTTTTTTTGCAAGTCAAATAAAATTTTTAACAAAAATTTAATGAAATTAAAGAATTTTTTTTTTTTCTAAATTCTCCAAATTAGAGATTTTTCTCGGCTAAAAATAAATTTAAAGTCAAAAATTGATTTCAAATTAAATGAATTTGAAAAATAAAATTAAAATACGACTAAATAGAAATTTGGCTTTATAAAATTTTAATTAATGAATTTCTGGAAATATTGTTAAATATTTTTTTTTTATTACTCACTTATAGTGTTGATCACTTTAACTTTTTGCATAATTTCTCTGAATTTTTATTGTTGTCGACTGAATAGAATGCAAATATAAATTTTATTAACATTCTGAAATATTAAATTAGAAATTTTTAAAAAATCTTTTTGAAAATTTTTGAAGAAATATTTAATTATTATTTTTATAGAAATATTTACCTACGATGTGAATTACATTCATTAATATATATATATATGTTTATATACGGTGATAGGAATGCCTAGGCGTAGACTGCGAGCCGCCACACTGCCAGTTATAACTGCTTCAAATCAAGAAGGCTACATAAACTAATTTTCCCCGAGGAATTTGCTTTTATACTTTTTAACGCAGATTTTTCCAAATTTTCACGAAAACTTTGCCAAAAAATCTGAAAAAAATCAATAATTCATATAAATAAATAATTAAAAATATTGTTTTCTAAAAAAAAAAAAATGGTATAATTTTTCTAAACAAAAATGTACAATGTACAAAAATATTAAATTTTTATAAATGGAAAAAATTAATGATGCACGAAATCAAGAGATTTCACTATAGAGTCGCATCATATTTAAAGAAAAATAAATGAAAATATAGTTATTCTTATCAAGGGTTGATAAGATTTATATATTCCATTTACTAAAGAATCTCCGAATCTTTCATCATCGGAATTTTTCTCCCTTGAACCGATCGAAATAGGGATTCATATATGCTTACTCATCAAAAATTCTCGGAAGATTAAAAGAATAAAAAAAAAAATTTGTCTGAATACCGGATGCATATATATATATATATATATATATATATATATATATATATATATATATGCGCAACATTTAATATTTAATAAGAAATGTCAATCAATTAATACAATTTATCTAAACATTTTATTGCGATTTACAATGTGTCAGCAAAATTTAAAAAAATATCAAAACTTTGTTAATTCACCCGAAAAGATAAATAGTTTACATAGTTATAAATATGAAAAAAAAAAAAAAAAAATTCGATAGTACGCTAACACACTTGACATGAACAGTTTTAATATTGATTAAAGATTAAAATATAATAAGCACAGTGTGTAATTAAATCACATACAAAAATTAAAGAAAATTTTATTTGTATCTTTTTAATTTAAAAAATTTTTTTAAATAATATATTTTTTTTTATATATTAAAGGTACCAATTATTTTATTTCGATCATTGTGTCACGTAAATGTAAATTAATAATTTTTTTTTATGACTCATGCAACAGTGTGTTGTTAATAATTTGATCATTCAATTATTTCAGTCTAGTATCAACTGGATGAATGAGGGCTAGAAATGACGTCAATAATTCGACAGTTTCTTTTTTGAATTAGAATCGAGGCGATTCGATAATTTTTTCTTTTTTGAGAAATAGGGATTTCAATTTTTTTTGTTTTCCACATAAGTAGAAAAAAGTCTTGAAATTAAAAACAAAATTTGACAAATAATGAAAAAACAAAATATGATTTATTTTGCATAGAAATGATAGATACTCTTTCTAGATAAATAATAATATGGAAATAATGAAAGATTTTTAAATAATAACTATATTATACAAATATTTTAGTTACATCAGTATTTGCAATTCTTTGTCAATTCAAGGTTGCATTGGAAATTGGTGATAAAAGCAAAGCATTGAAAAAGTGATCAATTTCAAAACTGATTTCAATTGGCATGTAAAGTTTATTGCGAAAGATATTATAATATATTTCCGAATGAAAAGTGGGGACTAAACGGCACGCCTCTTTCTCTCTCTCTCTCTCTATATATCACTTTGAAAGTGTGGTGCAAAATCGCAATAGGGTGCGAAAAATCTCAATATTAATATTGCAATGATAATAATATTAAAATGTGGCATGATTTGTGAATGAAAAATATTCTAGTCACCGATCATCATCATCATCATCATCATCATCAATAGCGAGAGGACATTGACCCATTCACGTTTGATTTGTAACGAAGTACTTGATGCAAGCACGTTCTCTTTCTCTCTCCGTTCAACGGAGCAAATTATAAATCAATGTGCGTGGATTATGCGTCTGAGTTTCTGCCAACTATATGTACCGATAAAAAAAAAAAAAAAACAAAAAAAAAAAAAAAAAACCACCGATATGCGTCAATTGACCGCTGACAAAGACCATGGACTTTGATCTCTCTCTCTCTTTCTCTCTCTTTCTCTGCAAATGTAGCTTTTAATTTATAAAATTCCGGTTTTTCTCTCCGCTGCGATTTCTTTTCATCCTCCTCCGTCTATAAAGAAAAAAAGATCACTGAATTAGAGACGCAAATTTCTTAGAAAATAATATATTTCTTCTTCTTCTTCTTCTTCTTCTATAATAAATGTTCCGTAATTTTAGAAAATTGTCTCTTATTTCCTTTCGATGTTTAAAACTGTGATTTGTGTTTTGTCTTCTAATCTCTAAAAAAAAAAAAAATGAAAATTTCAAATTTATTACTAGAAAACATCAAATAAAATAAAAAGTAACTCACCTTTGAAGAAGTTCATTTTCTCGGAACATTCTCTTGTGCGGGGATCAAAAATAATAAATAAATAAATAACTAAAAATAAAAATCTGAAAAAAAAAATTGAGGAAAATAAATCTGAAGTGATGTAAATGAAAATTGGCCAAGTTTAAATATTAACATTTTTTTTTTTTTTTTTTAAATTGATTGTAAATTATTATATTAAAAAAATAGAATGAAATATCATTGTATGAAAAGAAAAAAAAAAGATTCAACTGTGACTTGGCCTCATTTTCATCTAAACTCTTCATTTCCACTTTATCAATTGTGATACACACATATATATTTTAAATGGCATAAAGATGTATACAATTCTATAAACATTCGGTAATAACTTATTTGTATATAATTCATTCAATATGTAATGTTCACATGTCTTAATGATTTCTACATTTTTTATTAATGACATTGTTCTTTATAATAGTAAAATTTCATAAAAAGCACTATTTGCTGAGAACAATATTTTTGTTTTAAATTTATAATTAGATTTTTAAATAGAATCCGAGAAGCACTTTTTGTCAATTAAAATTAGAAAAAAAATTAAAAATTCCATAACTGAATTATGTGAAATATATTTTTTTTTAAATTCACTTTTTCTAAATATTAATGTAATAATTGACTGTCTTTAGCAAAATAATATCTGTCGACTATTTTTGTTTTCTTTTTTTTTTTTGAATCTTAATAATTATTAAGATTTTACTAATTTAATTTTTTTAAAAGTATTTTTCTTTATAATAGGCATAAAAGTCGTTTCCCTTCAGTCATGGTAATAAAGTATTAGTATAAAAAATAATTTAAGTGTAAAATATAATAATATAGATTGACATTATTTCATTTAATGCCAAATTAAATAATATTTTAATATGATATACATTGGTTAAAGAAATTTATTTGATTCAAATATTCGACTACTTGACTATTATCAAATAAATAAAAGTAATCAATTATTTGAATTAATTAAAATTTTCAGTTATATATGTAACTCTACAATCAATCATAAAATATTCGATTCTTGAGTGCGAATTAACAAAAAATTTTTTAGGCAAGAACACTAGAAAATTTTAATTCTGACTATATTTTTTTTTTATAAATGTTTAGAAAAATTGTAATTATTATTCAATTAATTAAAAATGAATAATGAAAGAAGCTATTAAATGAACACATTGAAAATGCACACACATTAAAAAAAATCACTATATGTAACATTAAATTAATTAAAAAATGTTAATAAAAGCATTTAAAAATACATAAATGAGTCTGCAGCATATTGCGCAAAAAAAAAAAAAAATACAAAACCATTTGGAAGCGAAACTTAATTGTTAATGCATAGAGGCAGTGAAACTTTCCGTTAAAAAAAATTTTTAATTAGTAAAATTCTCTAAAATTTCTCTAACAATAAGTTAAATTGAATTTATCATTATAAAAACAAATCAATTAATTTTTTTTACTGTAAATTTTTATATTTGCAATAAAAAAAAAGTTTCTTCAAATTTTCGGAAAGTTTACCTAGAATAATCCGAAATTCTAAATTAATTAATTATCTATTTCAATAGTAAAGAAAAATAAAAATATTTCTAGAACATGGAACGACAATTTTTACAAAAATAAGGAATTTTGAGATTTAAAAATGATTTTTGATCACAAAGACGTTTTTCATATATATATAAATTCATATTGAAAGCAGTTAAGCAAATCGGACTTGCTAATCCAATTTTCTAAAACTTTCATTTAAAGCAAAATACTATTTTTGTTTTTATGAACATGAAAAGACAACATTTGATACATTTCTTTTTTTTTGCGGTATGCACTGCACACATACTTAAAATTCAATGGTTTGTTTCTTTTTTTCTATAAGTTTTATTTACAAATATATTTATATATATATATACCTAAAATTTGGCAACAAGTTTCTCATTCACAATTGATTGTATATAGTCAACAAATTAACGGCACTATTAAACAATTGCATTGTATATATTATGTACATTTAAAAAATTTTTTTTTCTTGCCACCAGCAAAATGTATAAATAGCACAGAATATTTGATATATTTATAATTTAAAATTTAAAGGGATGTCATGAGTTTTTTTTTTTTAATTAAAAATATCTATTATTTCCTTTTTTTTAAGCTCGTAAGAAACTCAATTTTTAGAGTCAAAATTTCAAACTTAAAACTAAAATTGTAAAATAATAAAGAAATAATGGCAAAAATCACAGTTTTTTTTTTTTACTCTGTGATTTAAGGACTCTTGCATTTTCATAAAAGAATATGCTTTTGTCTTAAAAATAATTTAAAAAAAAAGATATTTTATAAATATAATTAAGTATATATAAAAATTAAGATGGTTTAAAATGTTCCATCGTTGAATTAAATTACGTAAGTATGAAGCACAATAATGCAGAATTTTACACGAATGCTTTAAAAGAAAAACAATTTGAAACGCGTAAGATTTTTTTTTTATTAAGGCTTTGGAATGCGATAATAAAATTAATATTATTTACTTTTAGATGACAATTTCGAAGAGAATCTGTCAAATTCAAGTAACTTTTAATATACTATTTTTTTTTGAAAGTTAATTATTCTTTCAAAAGATTACTTTTTTTCCATTTTTTAAAAGTGAAATTTGTATCAAAAATTTTCGAAGCTTCGATCGAAATTTAAATTTGATAGCTGAAATGAATTTCATTTCAAATTTTTGTTTTTTTTTTATATTTATTTTGAGAATCATTTTCTTGAAAATGATTGATTATGCTGGTTTTTTTTTCTTTGAATTATCAATTTCCTATTCAGGTACGAATAAAAAGTATATAGTGAGAAATATTGATGAATTTACCTTTTTTTTGACAAAACTATGTCTCTCATTCTCTCTCTTTCTCTTTCTCTTTTATCTTTAACAACTCGGAGATGGGTGGACTTGTCAATTTGATCATCTTTGCATCCTCCCTCTCTCTCTCTTTATTATCACGCATTCTAATCCTTTGAACGCGCTTCTATTAAAAATTCAAAGACCCTGCGCGGCCAATTCATTGAAAATCATTCTGGAGCATTTGTATTGTTATAATCATTTCTTCGTTGCAATCTCTCTGGATGTGAGCACGCCAACTGACTAAAATCACGAACAACATCATTGAATGTTTCATCACCTGAAACTCCAATTTCAGAATCTTTCATTTCCTCATTCAATAATCCAAGTCGTAATCTGTAAAAAAGAATCCCAATTTTTATTTTTCATAAAATTATTTCAATTATATTAAAATAATTTATATTTCTTTAAAATAAATTTTTAATATATAAAAAAAAAAAACTTACAAAGTGACTATATCTGCATTAGCTTCTTTTACCGCAATGGATAATGGTTTAACACCGCTTTCATCTTCAATATGTTGATCAGCGTGATGTTTTAACAATAAACATACTTGGGCTGTGTGTCCTTTTTAAAAATTAAATAATAAATTATAATTACCATCACAAAAAAACATAAGGAAATTTAAATTAGTATTTTTTTTTTTAATTACCCAATTCTGTAGCCAAATGCAATGGAGTTTTTCCATCAGCATCTTGACAATTTATTCGAGCACCATTCAAAAGTAGATATTCACAAGACATTACGGAACCCTATAGAAATTTAAAAATATAATCTAATTGTAATTAATTAATTTTTTTTTTTTTTTTTTTTGAAAACTTACGCTAATTATCGCTTGATGCAATGCACTTCGTCCTCTGTCATTGACATTATTCCACAATTTATCAGCGCCAACGGCCAATGCAGCACACATAACAGGAAGATTATGTGCCACAGCAGCTTTATAAAGTAACATATCGGGATGTAAATTCACAATATCTTCTTCATCGGCAAATTCTTCTTCTTCGCCAGCTGTTGAATCTTGATCTGAACTTAATTCCAAACTTGATTCTAACATTGGTTTTGGCAAATCACAACCAAACAATAGAATATCGGAATCTTTTGTTATTAATTTTTTATTACATTTCTCCGTACCAATATCTTTACTATCGGAACGATCACAAATATCACCAGTTATTGTTGAATCAATACTTTTAAATGATAAATTACAATCTGAACTACCACTATTATTCACTTTATTATAATTATCCTGAATTTCAATTAAATTTTCATCATTATTTTTTCCAAAAGCTGTTGTATTTTCAATATCATTATCTTGTGATTTATTATGTTGAGAATTACGTGAAAGAATTTTATTATAGAGAGTTGATTCATTTCTTAATTCAGCATTTCCACTATCCTCTGAACTAACTGAATCTCTTTCAATTTTTTTCAATTTCTCCGATGAACATAAACTTTCTGTTGAATTTGTACCCTCTGAACTGCTAACAGATTGCGATGATTCTTTCACTGATTTTAATGTTGGAATTTTATTTCTACTTGTTAAATCCATTTTATCACGACTTCTTGGTCTTCGACGTAATTTTCGTACGCTCCACATTCGAAAATGCATTGATTCACGACTTGTATGTTGTCCCGTTGTTAAAGTTGTTGTAAGTGGTTTCACAAATTTTTTATCTATATATTTGGCCTTTATCCAAGTCTCACGAAAAGTTCTATAAAGAATGGATTTTTTATTTATGTATGTGATTTAAAAAAAAAGAAAAAACAACTTACCCATTGCATTTTGGTGTTGCTCTCATAATATCCGGTGGTATTGGCAATGCTTCGTAAATATTATTCACTACTGTATTTCCTAATTCTGCCATTACTTTCAAAATTTCCGGTTCCCAATCGTCAAGTGTCAAAGATCTCACTTTACTATAATGAACTCCAAGACTTCTATGAGCACCCGAGCATGCAATGCAAAGAGTAATGCCTAGATTAATACTAGCCCATGTTGGATTATCGCCTCCACAATCACAGCAAATATTATTTCCCGGTATTTTGAGCAATTGTTCCCATACTCTGAAAATTTGAAATTTTTTTTTAAATATTTGATTAAAATAAATGAAATATTATTTCTTACCTTGTTTTCGGTTTGGGAGGAGGTCGTATAGGTCCTTTGCTATCGTGTGTTTGAACATAAAAATTGTTAACATTTGAAACTGTTCCCGTTCCCCTTTGAATTGCTGCACCAATTGCTTGTTGCATTGCTGTTTTCCATGCTAAGTACATCTCTTCACTGTCTGCTTGCAACATATGGCTTCTGTCGTAACAAAAAAATATTAAATTAAAAAAAAAAGAATTTACTTTCAAATAATCAAAAACATTAAACTCACTTTGTAGGACTTAGAACTTCAAAACAATTTCTTCTATCAAAATCATTTGCTGGTTTAACAGTGCATAAACGAAGATCCTCTTCCATAATTGTAAAATCTTTATCACCACTTCGTTTACGATAAACAAGTTGATGATTCTTTAAACAAAACCATCTTCTATTCCAAGTTTTAAATGCATTACTTGTTCTTTTAAATAAATAACCTTCCATTTTATTTTTATCAATAATTTGCGATGGTATAATATCACGATTTGTCACATAAATATGACGATTTTCCATTTCTTTTTCCAATTTTGTTGAATCACCTCTCATTCGACTTAAATCATCGCTGAGTGTTTTAAGAAATGGATCTAAATCTTGAGCTAAATCACTGCCCTGATGATAGAATGTAATACAAGCATGCATATAACTCAATAATGTCCCTAATATTTCATGTCGCCTGCGGGCTTGAAGCATTGTTAATGCATGAACATAATCCAATGCAGTATGACGAAAACATGATCTTGTTGCTGATAAAATATTAGATGTCTCTTCATATTCAGCTGGTCGTGATTTTTGAACTTGAGAATTACGATTTAATGCAATATCCAAATCACTTGATATTTTATCAAAATAATGTCGAGATTCCTTGACTTTTTTAATATCACTGCAAATATGATAAAAAAAGGTAAAATTTATTATCAGTTTCAATTTGATTTATTAAACTAGTTTATTACCTTTTCACAAAAGAATTCAGATCTTTAATCACAGTTCTTGACGCTTGATCCAAAAGAATTGTTTGAAATTTGTTCATTTCTTGTAGGGCGTGAATCAATTTGTTTAAAAATGCCATTATCTCTGCATCATCGCTAAAGTAGAGAGATAATTCCCAAAGACTATTTGCAAATTGACTGCAAGGTGGGGGAAAAAAAAGTTCATTTTTTAAAAATTTATTAAATTACATTAATTATATTTTATTTAATACTTATAATTTTATAATTATTTTATTAATTATATATTTTAATAGGAAAATAATAAATTTAAAATAAAAATTTAAATTCAAGTATTGAGATGCATCAAAGTGTGAAGCTTATCATTAAACTTGATTGTATTCTACGCGGGAACTACGGTATGAGTCATATATTGAAGCAGAGAAATAATTTGCCCGCGTTTCCTGCCCCCCTTTTTTTTCCGTATGGTACACAACATAACTATAGCACACATGTCACATTCCTGGGATATTCATCGTTATTATACATACTTGGGAAAAAAAAAAAAAATATAGCTTCAATTAATTTTAATAAAAATTACAATCAACTTTCTTAATTTAAAGGAGAAAAATTTATTTTTTCTTATAGAAAAAATTTATTTATATAAATAATTATATAATTAAAAACACAAAATATTAATCACGAAAAAATAATAATTTCTAATTAATAAAAATTAAATATTTACCTCTGTTGTCCTATAAAATGTTTTCCAGCATCGATCATTGAACTGCAATTTTTTATAACCTAAAAATATAACAATTTTTTTAGAAATATTTTTAATTTTCGCCTTCAAAAAAAAAAAGAGGGAAAATCTACCTTATCTAATTTTTGCTCCAGTTGATCTATATTAGTTTCCATATCTTCAATACACATTCTGTAAACAATCGATATAATCACATTTAAATTAGAATAAAAACACTAAATTTTAAAGTTCAAATAAAAATAAAAAAAAAATGTGAAATAAACTAAAAAATAAATAACAGTAAAATAGTAAATAAAGAAGAAATGATTTCAAAATTTGAAAAAAGAAATTTAAGACAATTGAGGTTAATAACCTGTGAATTAGACATCGCTGAATTTCGAAAAGTATTATGCGATGCGAACAAAGAACCTATATAAATATACAATTTACATATTTCATGTGAACTATTGGAAATAAATACTTTTATGATATTGTGAAACACTTAAAATTGAACATGTAACAGCTGCGAGTGACTCACAATTTAATTATTATAAAAATTAACAAAAAAAAAAATTATAATAACTTACCGGAATTTTGGCGTATCTCGTAGACACTCATCGAATTCGATGAAAGCCTTCATGATGAATTTTTTTTATGTACGTAATGCAGGAGACTCAAGGACTAGTACTCTTCTATCATTCCCGCTCTTTGTTTTATTTTTTTTATGAAAAATGAAACCACATAGTGTATAAAAACAATTGTGTAAACTTTGTCGAAGCACAAAAAACACATTCACTTCTCAACACTTTTTTTTTTATTTGTTGAATTTACTTTAATCTTTACTCACTGACTGCGACTACTGTCAAAATTCATCAGCTGTTTACAAAGTTCAAGTGCTACCAACTTTTTCAAAATAAATATTTAAAGGTTCTCTTTCTATTACCAAACATTGAAAAAGGATAGAAATCAAACTAGTGAGTTTAATAAAATCTCCCACCAGGTGGCGAACAATCGTTTCGCCTTTATGATATTCATTTTCAATGTGAGTTATGCTTTCTATATTATATTATCGATGACAATTATCAAACGATTTTTTTTTGTCAAAAATAAACATTGTAGTTTACATATTTTTAATAATAATAAAAGAATAAATTGAAACTAAAACAAAAAAAATAAAAGTGATCACGTTTTTTCAATACCATATATGTGATAAATTATTAACTGATAATAAAAATAAAATAAGGATTAACCTATAAATATCAGAATTTTTTGAAAGGTAAATATATTTTTAATTTATAAAATTCCATAGGAAATTATAACTAATAATAAAATTAATTTTTTAAATAAATGACAAATAAATTTAAATTTACGAAATTCCTGAATGTGATAACATTTTTTAGAATGACTGATCCTATGATATTAAAGAGACCAAAGGCAAATGAGGATGAAGATGATTTGCTACGAATGCAGGAGGAATTTATTCAAACAAACAGTAAACCATCAGTAAATATTTCTTATTCTAATCAATCTAATAATCAAAATAAATTTCCCAAACCGCGAGCTATATCAAAATTTGTTTTAAATAAAAAATTAAAAACTCAAGATTCCGAGGAATCGCTTAATATCGATAATGTAAAGAAACCTTCGTCTTCTTCTTCTTTTATTCTCGGTAATATTGTTGAAAAAAATACAGCAAAACAATTTAATCCCAAATTTTCCAACGAATTAAACGATGATTCTTTAAAATCTGGTTTTCCCTCTATTTTCATTTTCAATGATTCAACAGCAAATGAAAATGAAAGTTTATTTTTGCAAGCAATTTCAAAAAATAAAAATACCATTTCACATGAGGAAATTGATGTTAAATTTGAAGATTATGGTTTAATTACTGAGGAGGATATTCTTTGTGAAAAAAGAAAATTAGAATCAACTTTAAATCCAAATTTAATAGAATTTATCAAGCGGAGAAAAAAAGAGAAGGATCGTTTAAAAGAAGAAAATAAGAAAAAAATAATTATTGAAGATACTATTGAGAATGAAGAAATTCCAGAAATGATACAAGAAATTTTCACTGAAGCAAAGAAAAATAATTGGATTCATATGGATGTTGTTGAAAAGGAAAAGGGAAAATGGATGATGGATGTGAAGGAAAATAAAAAAGTGAATTTAAACGAATCATATAATGCACGTTTTGATTTTAATGGTATACTTCTTCCGTTTAATGATGAAAATATTACAATTGATAAAGGTTTACATCATCATGGCGATGAGCCTGAACGTCCTGGTTATTCATTACAGGAACTTCTTCAACTTTGTCGTTCTTCATCACTTCAACAACGATCAATTGCACTTCAAACATTATCACATATTATTGAAAAAAGTCGTCGTGGTTGGTATGATTCTGTTCTTAATCCAGCTCCACTTACAGCGTTGAATGAAAAAAATTTATTTCTACTTTTACGTTTTTCAATTGACGATTCATCAACAACTGTTGTCACTGCTGCATTACATGCAATGAGAAATTTTCTCTATAACGAGGAAGATGAAATATGTTTAGATCGTTTATTTGGATTAAATGATTTTGCTGAACCAATTTTAAAACCAAATTTAAAGGATCTTAAGGATGTGAATAGTCTTAAGGATCATGAACTTGCACAATTGGACACTATTGCAACAAGTTTAAGATCGGATATTATAAAGAGAATTAGATATATTTTAAGTGAAATGCAACCACCACCTGATGGTGTTTCAGCGGCTTTAGAAATTTTAATACGTTTATGTAGACACTCGGCATTGCAAATTATTAGTGTGGTAAATTTACTTGATTGTATTGTTAAAAATTTTATTCCATTCACAACTGATAAATTAATTAATGAAAAAAAAATAACTAATGCTTATGGAGTGCCAATAATTAGTGCTTTGCGATTTTGTCGAATTTTTATTACATATGCGGGTAAACCGGCGGCAATAAAACTTTGTCGATTAAATATTATTGGCTCTATTGTATCATATTTGAGCAGTGAAGCTGGAACTCATGGAATTTTTTTACATATTGAATGTTTACGTCTTTGGAAAATTCTTCTTTTACATGATTTTACACACGATGTTTTACAAAATTCTCATATTATTTTAAATACACAATTGAAAATTTTCATAGAAAATTTAAATATTGGTCAATGTTCGGAATTATATTCTGAACATGCAACTGCATTAATTTCTGTATTAAGTCATGAGGTGTCGTTTCGTTCTGATATTGTTTTAGCATTGAAAAAATGGAGTACACAATTGTCGAATATTTCTTTGCCAACATGGGGAAATATGAAATTAATTCTTCAAACTTTATTGGCAGTTGAAGATATTTCCGAAGGTTGCTTTCAAACAAAATGGATTGTAAATTCAAAAATTTTTGAAAATTTAAATTCAACTTCTAATTTATTAAGTGGTTTTTCCATTGCAAAAGAAAGAAATCCTTCTTCATTGCCCAGTCTTGGGGCTTTAACTGAAAATGGACAATTACAACCATTATTATCGCAAAATTCTTGTTTTCCATTTTTATCACAAGCATTGCAGTTCTTTATGCATTTCTCACATAAAAATGAAATTGAAATTTTCTTTAGCCAATTGGAATTTGTTAAATATATTTCTTCACTTTCCAATTGTATTGATTGGTCATTGGAAAATTCATGGTTTACTCGTATTGAATTTAATTTCTTGATTAATGTGATAAAATGTGGAAAAATTATTGAAAATAATCTTTCATCAAAAATGAAAAATATCCTTTCAATTTTAGCAATCAAATTAATATCCACTTTGCCTGGAGATTATTCTAATCAGACGAGAGAAATTTTACATTATATTTTAGATCCTCAAAAATTGAGTGTTGATGAAATTTTAAAAAATCTTGAAGATTTAAAATTGGACAATAAAAATCAAAGTAAATCAATAAATTTATCCAAAGAACTTATAATAATTTATGAAAGTTATATTCCACTCAAGGGAAATTGGGAAGAAACTTCATTGCCCAAAGATTGGATTTTTCTACCATTAATTGATATTTATAGAAATTTAAAAAATTCCCAACAACTTGATATAAAGGATACGGAAAAAATTGTTTTTGTTTTAAATTTATACAAAGGATTGCCTGAACTTGTTGAGAATTTAACACCAAATTTACAATTTAGTCGATTAATTCTTGTTTTTTTGTGTGAAACTGTTTTCAATGAGAAAAATGTCTCTCCACTAATTGAAAATATAGTGTCGAGTTTTTTGAAAAAATATAATAAAAAATTAGATTTAACAAAAGATGTTCCGGGTTTAAGTTCTTTTACTGATATGTTCACTGAATTATGTGAAAATTTTTTCTCACACTCATATGGTAATAATAATTTTGCTTTAATATTATTGACATTTATTTTACAAAGACATGATGTTCATTATAGAAAAATGTTGTGGTCTGAACATGCTGGAACATTGCGATATATAAGAATAACTGTTGATAATTTATTATATTCTATTGATGAATTTTTATATCCCATCGAAATGGACATTTCTTTAATTGAATGTTATATTAGATCATTGATTCATGGAATTGTAAAAAAAGAATGGTGCTCCATTCCGTATATTATTGCATTACATCATAGTGGTATGTTTTTAAAAAATTCGGAAAATCAATTGGCTATACAAATGAAAAATGGTTTAGAGAAATTAAAAACTTGTCAAATTGCAAATGAAATATTAAATTACGATCCGAATAGTAAAATTTGATTTTTATAACAAATGAAAAATAGTTTAAAAAATCTTTTTTGTACAAACTGAATAAATATATATTTTTTTTTAGAGAGAATATTATTTGATTTAATATGCAAAAACAGTAAATTTTTATAAATAAGTTTTATTAAAATCTTATGAGAAAAATTTACATTTGTTTTGCTTCAGTTTGTGTGTTTTTTACTTTTTGCTGTGACGGTAAAAGACCAAGGAGAATGCAATCTGCTTCAAGAATAGTTAAATCTTTAGTTGATCCTAAAAATCTCGTCGATAATTCAAGTTCTTTTATTTTTAAACGTACAATGGAACCTCTTACATAATCGCTGAAAAAAATACAATTTGAGTAAAAAAAAAAAGTAAATTAAATTTATCTTTTTTTTTGAATAAAACTTTATTTAAATAAATTACCTAGCGTTTTGTGAAGGTCTTCTACAAACACAATTAAATTTCCATCCGAAATCAATATGTAAATCATTGTCAACAACGTGAACAACTTTTCCTTTAACAATTTTTCCGTTTGGATCACCAATCTATTAAAAAAAAAAAAATGTTTATTTTCCAAATCAATTAAAATGATAAATAATTTTCTTACATCAATAAGTTTTGAATGACGTAAAAGAGTTGCAAAACTTTTTCCTTTCTTAACTTTTTCATCTGAAAGTGATTTATATTTTTCAACTGATTTTGCAAATCCACTTAGTTCATTATTATTTTGTTGTGTATTGTCATTTGAATTTTCCAACAAATTATCAGTTAGTTGTGAAGATATACTATTATCTTCTGATTTTCCTAATGAATCTTTTATTCCTTGGTCTTTTAATTTTTCTGTACACAAATATCGTGTTAATTTTGGACACATTACAACACTGTTTGTTTGACGAATTTTATTACACAATTTTTCTAATCGGTGCATTTTTAAATAATTACTTATTATTTTAAGAATTGACACTTTTTTTTTAATATTTATACCCCGACATGAAACACGTGAATATAAATAAAACTTTACCAAGGTTGGGAAATTAAGAAAAAAAAAAAACTGGAAAGGTCCAACGTTCCAAATGTGTATACGCATTTTAAAAATGGCGGGAATATATGGTACAGCGCACGCGCTCACCGTCACATTTTGGAGGTTTGTCCAATTGGACAATTGTGAATTTGACTTAATAGTATTCACTTTTGAGATGTATTAATTCAACCCTGGTGTTGTGCAGTTAACTTCAGTTCGTTGTAAACACCACTGCACACCACACCACCTAACCCCAAGTTTTGAGTGTGCAGGTGCAATCATTTAATACATATATATGTTAATCATATATACTTAGTGCTCTTCACACTGTCACACACCCACCACTGCTGCTACTACTGGGGAAAACAGTGTGTGGAACAAAGTGTAATAAGAGCGGGCAAGAGCGCGAGCAAAGAGTTTGACGAGTGTGGACAAGTGGCGAGTTGGATTTTAGGAACTTAGTGGGTGAAGATTGTTCGGTGGTCGGCAGGCGGTTGGATTTGAGAAGTGAAGTTGTGTTGCGAGTGGTGTGTGTGTTGGTTGGTCGTCGCGCTGGTCGTGTCGTCGGGACGGTGTCGAGTTTTTTTCTCATTAAATAAAACTCGAGGGCCCCTCTATTTATCGCTTTCCTGAAAATATCGTACGTGAAAGTGTGAATATCAGAACGTGAATAAAGGAACGTGTTCTGGAGCCATGTCCGAAGAGAGTTTGGATGATCAACAGCAAAGTAAGATATTGAAAGAATTCTCACAATTCTATATGGAATTTTCTGAATCGAGTTTTATAATTCTATTTATTTGTAATATTAAAGGCTTTTAAGAAATTGAAAAACAATAATAGTTGACTATTCAAAGGGAGGTCAAAAATCGGACATTTTAATTTTGGGCATGCATCTTGTATGCGCGTTTTCAAGTTAATTTTAAGTCTTGCGAGCTTTTTAATATATATTCTCATAAGTTGGAGAAAAATCTTGTGAATGGAGATTTTAATCCTCGTGGCGTTCTGTCAGATGCTTGTTGAAAAAAAAATTGCTATTTTTCGCAATCTCCCAGGATCCAAGATGGCTGGCCGCGTATCGGTTAGTGTGATTACTTTTTCTGCCAGCGACTCCCCCGAGTGGTCGTTTCCGACGTTGATTCGTCGCACTGCCGGTTTCCTGCAGTGATCAGTGACCCTTTTTTTTTTTTTTTTTGATCGTATAATTTAGCCTTTTTGGAAAAAAAACTCCATAGGTCGAAGGTCAAAAGGAGATTTTGGAACAGTCCTTTGAATGAATGATGGCAGATGCTTGATCTTTCGGTTTGATTCTATCTCAACACATGCATGATCATAAGGAAGAATTTATTCGCGCGTGCACACAGGAGGTTCCGTTTGATTGGAGTAAATTTTAAATTGCACGTGCCATGAGCTCAGCGGAATTATTGAATTTTTTTTTTTTTCAATTTTCCGATCAGTTCATATACAATTTTTCTTTATATAAGAGAACAATTTTTGTCATTATTTAACGATTTTAATTAAAATTCTAAATTCAAACATGACATCCTTTTGAAGTATCAATATTTTTTAAAAAATATTATTCTAGTGTATAAGAAATTTATTCACGTTCCATTCTAGCTTCCACCCCTTAAATTCACAGTGGAACAATTCCGTTTTTGAAGCGCTGTCGCTAGGTGGATCAAAGTTTTGACAAATTTCCTTGATAAATTAGTGCTGTTCGAGTGTAATTATTTGAGCTTAATTTTCATTGACATACGTCTCTTAATAATTTCAAGTGAACAGCTGATGTCAAACTAACTTTTAATCAATGACATTTTGTCAATATATATATATATATATATTGTAAATAAAAACTAGAAAAAATATAGTGTTGCTAAGCGATTGAAATTTAAATCAGGGGGAGGATTAATGGGGTTGCTATGCAACGAAATTAACGACTTTTTTATAAATTGAAAATTAAATATATGATTTTTTTCTTATATCGTTAAAAGAAAGCATGTTATTGTTATCTTTGTGATAGAATTTTTGCGTAATATAAATAAAAATAACTTTAGTCAAGGTTGAAAAAAAATTTCACAGAATGTTTATCAAATATTTGAAAATTTTTTTCAATTATGCTTAAAATAATTTTTATTGTTTTTCTTAAGATTATCAAGTTTTTACAATGTCCTTTTTTCAAAATAATAACTAGAATAGCTTGGAAAAAAAGAAAAACTCGTTAACACCTACTTATGGACTGTGACAATTATTATTGAATGACATAGTTAAAAACTTCTAAGTTATACAACTTGGATTAATGATAATCTTAACAATTTAGACCTTTTAATAATTAAATACATTTGTTTTTCAATATTGGAACGTGTTGTAAAGAGGTGTTTTTTTTTTCTTTATAAGAAACATTTTATTTTTCTGTAAGAAATTTTTCGATATTTTAGAAGAAAAAAAATAGATTTTTAGTATATTTAATTAGAATTTTTTTTGAATTATTTTACACACAATTCTAATTGTAATTGTTTTTTTTTCAGAATATGGAAATCCAGGAGGTATGGATGCAGGAGGAGCTGATTTTGACTCTGGTAAATAAACAATTTTTCATTTAAAAAAAAAATATAACATTGAATTAATTGACCATTTTTGGTCTTTTAATAATTTAAATAAAATTTTCTTTTTTTTTTAAGTAAAAAAAAAAAAAACAGAATTGCTGAAACAATCTCTAACATTTCGTCGATGATCCAATTTGATATATTGACGTTCTAACAGAAATTGTTTCCACGTAAAATAAATAAATTTTACAAATACAGAAGGCAAACTTATGTAACAAAATTTTCTTCATATTTGAACTAGATTTAAAATATTTTTAATATTAATTAATATAATTTTTTTTGTACTCTAAATATGGGTATAAATTATATATTTTAATAATTTTGTTTCTATTTTTTGAATTTTATATTCATTTTTTGGATTTAAATATTCGCGCCAGAAACTTGTGGCGCCGCCTGTCTCTCAAAATTTCGAACTAATGAAAATTCAATTGTAGAAATCTTCCATTTTATGAAATTAAAGTATATCGAAAATTGTTTATAAAAAAAATTACATTTAGTTTGAGTAAAAATAGTGAGTTAAGAAAAAAAAAAAGGAACTTTTTGTATTGTTTTGAAAGAAAGAATGAAAAAGAGGGAATAAAATTTAAAATGATAGAAATGAAAAAAAAGGAAGGTTTGCGAAAGCTCCAAAAAAGGATATTAGAAAGAAAAGTGTGAGGAAGAAATTAACATCGGTTGAATCAGCTGTCAGTGACGTCACGTGGCGTGAAAAAAAAAGAGAGAGAGAGAGGTGGGGTTATGTCACGTGGTTCATTCGTGACATGTGGCGCGCTTGTTTTATATATATGGAAGTTGAATTCATTTTCTGATTGGTTATCCTGCGCCACCATGATGCGCACATTCTTGGAGCATGACGGCGGGCTCCATGAATGACCGGTACGTCATCAGAGCACCGATTTCATATATTTTACAACACGTACATGTTGTTTGTCTTTATAGTGTTGTGTTCGACTTTGGGATATAGTAATGTACTTTCCTCTATTCGTCATGTCACACTCTTATGTATCCGCGAAACGCGATGTGTCATCGTTGCACTGACTCTCTTCAATCGTGTCGTGGCTTTTTTTCAGCTTCTCAGTTAACCTCTCATCGTGAAACACGATTCTTTCTCTCAGTGACAGAGAATTATCCTTGATCTTCGATACTTGTTTGAATGAAACGGTAATTATTCATCGAGGAAACGTTTCTTTGTTATAAATTTTCTAGTGCAAAATAGTAAATAAAAAAAAAAATGTTACGAAGAGTGAATTTATTTATTGTGAATTATTCAGGTTTATTGACTGAATGAAAGGTAATCGCACGATCTGCCAATGTACACGTGATTTTCAATGAATGTGAGTCATGTCATGAAATTCCAATCTTCTTGTGGTCCATCGTTTCTTTTTACTTTTCTCAAATTAGAGAATTTATTATTGTTTTTTTTTAAATTTTATTTCATAATTTATTTATTTTTTTTTTATTTGCAAACATTTTTCTTTGATAATTATTTTGGACAAATATTGTTTTGAAAATTTATCTGCAATTTTGTATGACGATTGAGGAAGAGGAAAAATTCATTGTTAGCGTGAGAATTTGATATTAAAAGAAATGTCATACATTTATTTTTGAATATTTGTTTTTATAAATAAATGCTAATTTTTTTAAAATAATTAATTATAATTTACACAATTTAAATGAAAATAAAATTTAATTATTCACCTTAGAAAGAGAATATTTATAAAAAATTTTTTTTTATGAAAGAACACTTAAAAAAAAATTATTTTCTTCATTGGCAGGTCGTGTTAAGTAAACTTGTGTCGCTTATCTGTTGTCTGACATTTGTCTCGTGAGTTGTGAGTTGTGCAATGTTGTACGAGAGGATTTAAAAACATTAAAACCTTTAATTTCTTCTCGACCCTTTTCGATGATTTCAAATAAAAAATTAATTTTTTTTCTTCTCTCTTTTTTTTTTATTAGATATTCAAATGTTTCTCAAGGAAAACAAAACATGAACGAACAATTCTAAAAGTATTTTTTTTGTTATTAAAAAAAAAAAAAAAATGAAATGATGATGGAAGTTTAAATAGGTGACTGTTGAAGTGAAAAGATCGACAAGATTTTGCGTCCGGTGTACTTTCTGAGAAGAAATCGTGTCGGTTACTGACGACTTTATTATTTAGTTGTGTATCGATATGGGAGAAATTGTTCAGCTGATTCAAAACGAATGTCCAACAAATATTGAGAGAATTTTGACAAACGGTTGGCAAGACACCATGGATAAAATACAATATTGGAAACCAGAAGGTATTTTCATTATTTCAATAAATTGAAATGACAAAAAAAAATTACACGTTTAAAAATTAATTATTTCAATTAAACTTTAAAAGATTTATTTATATTTAATGAGAGAATGAGATATTAACATTAAAAAAAAATTCAATTATAATAAAGATTAATATTTGGAAAAAAAAAATTTTTTTTGTCTCATGACAAAAGTTTTGCTAATTGTGTACAAAAAATAGAATACAAATCTTAACTCTTTTCATCAAATAAATTCCACGTTCTCCCAACTATTTTCTTTTATTTTTTCTTGTTTCCTCCTTTTCTCTTGGCACTAAGGGAAGTCCCCTGAGATGTCACATTCAGTTCATACTTTTGCCCGCGCACGGTAACGACGATTATTTATAGAAACTCTTTTAGGACTTTGCTCCGAAGTGATTCCTCTTATTTTTTTTTTTATGTTTTTGTATTTTTTTTTTTTTTTTTAATTGATTATTTTAAAATTGAGTATAGCAGGAGAAATGTAAGAAAATGTAAAGGATTTTTTTCCCCAATGTATAATTGAAAAGAGGAAAAAAAAAAATACATACATTGCAAACAAATTCTCAGAAAGAATAAAAATACTTTATGGACTTTCCCGTGATTGCTTCTTGAAAAAGAGAGACATTTTTGTTGCGTGAATTGCATTTTTAAATTAAATTCCCTTTAGAAATAGTCATCACAAAATTTATTTCGAGGATATAATTTGGATGAATCAAATATTTTAATTTTTTGAAACAAAGATTCATACTTTTTTTCAATCTTTGACTGTATTTATTTTTTCTTTTATTTAAGAAAATTTGCATTTAACCAAATTTTAGTTTAATTTTTTATTTCACACAATTTTCATTTTAATTGAATTTTTTCCTTTGATCCAATTTTCATTTTATTGAATCGAATTTTCTTTTGGAAATAATTTTTATTTGACGTAGAAATAATTTTTTTAAAATGAAAATTCGTTTAAAAAAAAAATAATTCATTAAATACAGAAATTCGATTTAATAGAAATTAAAATGAAAATTCAATTGTAAAAATTCCAAATTGAATAAAAATTAAATAGAAATTTGAATTTGAAATAGAAAATATAGAAATTTTGTTTAAAAAAATCTAAATTTTGATAATTTAATATAATTTGGATGAATCAAATATTTTAATTTTTTTGAAACAAAAATTCATACTTTTTTTTCAATCTTTGACTGAATTTATTTTTAATTTTATTTAAGAAAATTTGCATTTAACCAAATTTTAATTTAATTTTTTATTTCACCCAATTTTCATTTTAATTGAATTTTTTCCTTTGATTCAATTTTCATTTTATTGAAACGAATTTTCTTTTGGAAATAATTTTTATTTGACGTAGAAATAATTTTTTTAAAATGAAAATTCGTTTAAAAAAAAAATAATTCATTAAATACAGAAATTCGATTTAATAGAAATTAAAATGAAAATTCAATTGTACAAAATTCCAAATTGAATGAAAATTAAATAGAAATTAAATAAAAATTTGAATTTGAAATAGAAAATATAGAAATTTTGTTTAAAAAAATCTAAATTTTGATAATTTAATATAATTTGGATGAATCAAATATTTTAATTTTTTTGAAACAAAAATTCATACTTTTTTTTCAATCTTTGACTGAATTTATTTTTAATTTTATTTAAGAAAATTTGCATTTAACCAAATTTTAATTTAATTTTTTATTTCACCCAATTTTCATTTTAATTGAATTTTTTCCTTTGATTCAATTTTCATTTTATTGAAACGAATTTTCTTTTGGAAATAATTTTTATTTGACGTAGAAATAATTTTTTAAAAATGAAAATTCGTTTAAAAAAAAAATAATTCATTAAATACAGAAATTCGATTTAATAGAAATTAAAATGAAAATTCAATTGTACAAAATTCCAAATTGAATGAAAATTAAATAGAAATTAAATAAAAATTTGAATTTGAAATAGAAAATATAGAAATTTTGTTAAAAAAAATCTAAATTTTGATAATTTGATTTAAAAGAAATTTTTCTATTTTCTAGAAATGTGGAAAATGTTTTTTTTTTGGTATTTGAATCTTTAATTGAAATTGACATATGTCAGACAAAACATCAGGAGATTATAATGTTTCAAAGAGAATATTATCTCAATGTTTTGACTAACTTTGTCGATTATTGTTGGTACTTTTTTTGAATGTTATAATTAATTTTTTTGTTTAATTTTTCATGAAATCGTCGATTTTTTTTTTTTTGGATGATGTTCCGCGACGACGCATCGTTGACGATCATAGAAACGAGGCTTTATAGTCAACGGGAAAGGGGAATGCAGTTCGCATTGAGGCAGGTCGCGGGCGCGCAGAGATCAATGCACTTGCTCCTTGGAGTACGTGCATACATGTCGTTGCTGTATTCCATCTACGTTTTACGTCCACGTCCAAGTTCGTGAGCCACGGGTTTTTGTAAACGTATATATATATAGTCAAAAATGCGACTATCGATAATGGTCCCCGTTTCATCAACACAGCATCAAAGTGCCAATTATCATACACATTATCATTATAATCATAATCATCATCACCATCATCATCATCATAATTGTTTTTCCATTTCGACAATGACGACAACGACAAGATCGACATTTTATTAGTTTCCAATATTTTATCATAACTTGAGACCGGAAGTGTGACCGGATGATAATCACTCCAGGAAAAAAGGCGTTTATAAAAATTAAATAAATTTCGAACAATTTTTAAAATTGGCCATAAAAATGACAAAAAAGAATGTTTGATTCAATATGTGAATTATTGTGATCATCGTACTAACGCGTTACGTAAGAAGCAGAAAAAAAGGAAGAAAAATATCAAGAATCCATAAGGAGAATTTTTTTTTTCAAAATCCAAGAAATTAAAGTGAAATGAAATTTGAAAAAAGAGATTTTCAAAAAAAATTCTATTTTAATGGAGAACTTTTTTTCTAGTGGAATATTTCAATTTAAATGAATCGGTGATAAATATATAAGGATTCGAATGATTTTTCCTGATATATAAATGGTGACCTAGTGAACTATTCGAGTCTCTCCCTCTTTCACTCTTTCTGGAGGATGGAGGAATGCGAAGTTTATCTCACAACGAGTATAAATTCAAAAAGAGAATCAAAATTCTAAAATTTCACAAACAATGGATATTTATATTAAAAGAAAAGAATTCTTCTTTCACAATTTCTAAATCAAACTTTTGGAAAAATAAGACATATCTTTTAAATAAATAAATATTGAATTTCTTCTTTTAATTACGAAATATTTCATCGATTTTGAAAAAGTGATGCAATTTGCAAAATGAAAAAAAAAGAAATCGCGATTACCATCAATTGTGTTTTTGCGTTGAATTTCTAGTCGTGAAATTTTTGAAGAAAAAAAAACAAGGATCTTGAATAAAATTTTCTTATCGGAGTGACAAAGAAAAAGAAAAAAAGAAATTCAAACGAAATATTGTTTCAATTCCTCGTGACTGTGGAAGAGTATGTTCAGATATACAGATTATCGCAGCATCGACAAGATGTTTAAGAGCAGAATCTTCCAGGGTGACCTCAGCCCTGTCCCCATTCCAGGCAGCCTGCAACAATCCAGTATGTACCGCGATAGAAGCGCCTTATTTTAATTTCATGCAAATTTTTTTAAATTCCCAATTTTTTTTTGTATTATATGTTTCGAATTTAATAAAGACTATTGTTAACAAAATAAATTCATTCAAAATTTTCAATTAAAGAATCTGTAAAAAAAAAACCCAATTAAAAAAAAAATTTATCACGAATTTAAAAAATTTGCACTTAATTTCTATTTAGCCAAATTTTGAAATGAAAAAAAAAATTTCATCGAATTGTGAAAAATAAAAAATTGAAAAATGCACAAATATATGATAAACAAACGAGAAAAATTTCAATCAGTAGGATTCTCTTTTGCTTTTGTACTCTCGGCTCTCCTTCACCTCATTTCACAACGTCCTTGACACAGTGTCAACCTCTCTGTACTTTTCGTGAAAATCGAGCGAATCCTTTAGACTGAAATATAAAGATATTAGGTCGAGTCAGAAGAGGAAGAAAAAACAATTTCTCCCCTCTCAAAAAAAAAAAAAAAAAAATTGAAATTTTAAATGAATGTTGAGATTTTCAGGATAAAGAAAAGGGTGAGGAAAGTGCGAAAAAGAGGTTGTTGACCTGAAGGTGCAGCTGTTATTGATCCTCGAGGACCGGAAACATACTCTATACAACTGTGCATTAATTTTTCCTTTTCGAAAAACTGTTTTTTTTTTTTTTTTTTTTTTTATTAAGTTTCGTATACCAAATCTGGAAAAAAGTTTCCTAAAAAAAAATATTTGGATAAATATTCATTTTCATTGAAATTTGAATTGTTTCCATTTCACTTCCGATTGTTTCGAATGACCCAGTGAGCTTAGTTTGAAAGTAACTCCTTCAACTGATGTAGCCCAATTTTCTATAAAGATCTCTCTCTCTCGGAAGTTAGTGGGATCAATTCACGCGTCTCTCAAACCACCCCTGCAAAGATGAGAATTGTTCTCTTTCACGTGGAAGAGAAATCTTAGCGTCTTGATATAGTTTCCGAATCGCTAAAGATTGTTTTTTTTACCCTCCTTAATTTATTTCGTTCTACATTTTTTTTAAATTTAATTATTTCTATTGAAAAGCAATTTAAATAATTAATGAGAAAATTTTGTTACATATGCAAAAAAAAAGGTATTGTAAATTTTTTTGTAAAATTTTTTGCAAATCAAATTGATTTTAAATTAAATGTTTATAGGTCAGCAAGGTCAGCAAGCTGAGCAGGAGTTGGCGACGAAAATGTTGCAAATACAAAGTAAAAGGTTCTATCTAGATGTGAAACAAAACAAGCGTGGTAGATTTATCAAAGTTGCGGAGGTGATTAAATACACATTTTTTTTCAATATTTATTTTATTGTAAAGTAAAAAAAATGATAATTTACTTAGAAATAACGATGTTTTTTTTTCTAGATCGGAGCTGATGGTAGAAGAAGCCAAATCTTCCTAGCACTTAGTACAGCATCGGAATTTCGAGATCATCTTTCAACTTTTAGTGATTATTACGCATCTTTAGGTAAATTTTTTTTTTTTCGAAAATTTAATCTTTCTTCTGCTTTATTGACTTTTTATTATTTCTTTTATTTTATTATATTTTACTATATGTATTAATAATAAATTAATTTTTTTATTACTTTGCTGCCTGGCATAAAAGATGAATTTTATTTATTAATATATTTTTATGATTAATTAGGTCCACCAAATCCAGATAATGTTCCGGATGATGGGAAACTTAAGTCGGAAATGATGGTTAAGGATAATAGGCGATATTATCTAGACCTTAAGGAGAATTCTCGTGGCCGTTTCCTGCGGGTGAGTTCCGCTGTATGTACCGACCAGCAAATACATAATTTATTAGCATTTCTTTTTCTTTTTTTTTTCTAATGTCACAATAGAATATACGGTAATTTTTTTTGGTCATGTTATTTTTATTTTATATATTAAAAAAAAAATTGTGTATTCTCAATTTGAAAACAGAAGAACAAAATAATTTTTATTTTAAGTTTATTTGGTAAAAAAAATAAATTATTTTATGCTTTCAAATAAGAATATTTATCCTTTTTTTTTTGTCTTTTGCTTTAATGTAAATATTTATACTAATTTATATTTTATTTTTTTCTCTGATATAATATATTTAAATTATGTATTTATATTTTATTCTTTGTAGTAGGTAATTAGTTAGTAAAATAATAGAAAATTTATTAGTATTTCAGTTTGCATTAAATTAATGTGCATTTAGTAATAAATAATTTTTTTTTTAGTGACCGGTAACGAAATCAAATCTGTTTGTAATTAAATTCGAAAATTTTGAATTACAACAGATTTTTCTGTATTTGTAAAATATTTGTTAATTTAAAGTTTGATTTTTTTTTTTTCTTGATTATAGGTGTCGCAAACGATAACACGAGGAGGACCGAGGACACAAATCGCGATACCAGCGCAAGGAATGATCGAGTTTCGCGATGCCTTAACAGATCTTCTTGAGGAATTCGGAACGGATGATGGCGGTTTCAAGGGTGATTTACCCGAGGGACGTTACATGCGTGTCGACAATAAAAATTTCTATTTCGATATTGGACAGAATAATCGAGGCATTTATATGAGAATCTCTGAGGTTTGTTAAAAAAAAAAAAAAGAGAAACTATTTGAATTTATTTAAAAATTGTTTCATCAGCAACAATTGTTTATATTTATTTATCTTTTTAACAGGTGAAGACAAACTTCAGAACGGCCATAACAGTACCGGAGAAATCATGGGCACGATTCCGGGACATATTCGCGGACTATTGTGACAAAATGAAGGAGAGCGGCGTAGGTGCTGGCGGTGGAAGCAGTTCATTATCCGAAGGAAAAGGTTCGGTGATGGCACAGGTACCATCACCATCATCTACTTCTCAACAGCCCAATCCCAATCCGAATCTAGATTCCCCTTTAATCAAGTGAAAAAGGCTTTAACTTAACTCGAACATTGGAATTCTAACCGTAACTCGTTTTCGAATCGTTATAGGCGTTACTAAAAAAATAATTTGTCTCTGAGTCCATATGCCGTCGTCATCATCATCATCATCATCATCATCATCATCATCATCATCATCATCATCATCATAATTCGCCATTTCTTCAATCATCGTTACTCTCCTGTGGCGTTTCTAGCATTCTAATTAAATCTAAATAAAAAGAGCGTCTAGACTCTTTGTCCCAATTTCTCGTTTCAAGATACATATTTTCATCAAAAAAAAAAAAAAAAAAAAAAAAAAAAAAAAAAAAAAAAAAAAAAAGGAGAAAGGCTGGACCAGTTTTATCTATTGACGAATTATTAATTATCAGAGAAACGCGTAAAAAAGCGAGTTTTACGATTTAATTAAAAAGAAAAGAAAAAATTGTAGGTATTTCGAAAGTGAATATTGGAGCGCAATGTCCTATTATTTGGACGGGAGTTGTCGTCGATTAACGTTGTATATACTACCGTTCATTTCCTCGATTTTTTCACCCCCCCCCCCCCCACACCCTCTCCCTTCTACCTTTAATCACACATTTTGATAATTGCACGTTAGATTGTTTATATAATTAAACTTCTTTTTTCTCCACCCCCTTTCCCCATTTTTCTCTTTTCTTTCTATTTCTCTTTTTGAAACTTATCTCTCGTCAAGCACATGTCCAACGAGAAAAAAAAAAAAATTCCTCGCGGGAAATGGACTGTAGTCGAGGTTACGTTTACAATTGAATTTGATCGTTCAGAATTTATGGATAAAATAGTTGTTATATTAACGATTTACGTCGCGGAGGAAAGGATTCAGACGAGAACGTCGACCGTTCCATTTTTTTTTTTTTTTTTTTTTTTTTTTTTTTTTTTTTTGGTGTCGCTTTTCTTTCTGAAAAAGAATTTATTTTTTCGAGTTTTAAATAGTCAATTGAAAAAAAAATTTCATTTACGAAATTAAAATTTCAAATCGTCAAACGGTACACTGCGACATCCTATATATATATACGCATTCACACACATTCACATCCTTCGTTTGCAAATCGATCGACGTCTTTATTGAAAATAATAATAATGAGGTAATATATATATATAGAGAGAGAAAAAAAAAAAATAATAGACGGCAAAAGAGATAATTATTAGCCGATTACGATCCATATAATGTGTATATTATTATAAAATATATTAAATTACAGTTAATCGGGCACACATTTGAACGTAATCGAAAAAAAAAGTCACGTGAATTGTCCCCCTTTTTCGATACACACTTAGTGTATGTACATAAAAAGGGCATAAAGAAAAAAGCAAAGACAAAAAAAAAAAAAAAAAAAAAAAAAAAGATACGTTCACGATGTGTACGTTACGTTTTGAGCTCGACGGCCGACTTCTAATACAATTGCATTTTAGGTATGTATTATACGAATAAACATATTAGGTATTTATATAGAATCTATGTAAACTGTATAATTGTAACGAAATGCCAATGTCAACGGACCCAGGTGGCTGCGAAACCCAACAAACAAAAAAAAAAAACTAAAGAAGTCATATTGATTTTAATTATTATAAAATATTGCACTATTATCTAATTATTGGCTGGCAGTTATTTAGGTCCGTTTCTTTATGTTCGGGCGCAGGAAAATAATTAACGAAAAATGGATTTAAAAAAAAAAAAGATTTCTGTAATTGAAGATCGAGTCGGAGATGGATATACGTTCGAGTTAATTTCCAGAAAGAGAAAAGAAAATGAAATGAAAAAAACAAAAAAAAAAAACAAAAAAAAAAAAAAACCGAAAATCTTATACGCTTTTATTCTGCAACGCTGTGCTAACGATGATGTCGAAAATTTAAAATCCCTCTTTTACGTTCTTAATATTAAATATACGTGTTAAAAGAAGAAGAAGAAGAAGAAAAAGAAAAAGAAGAAAGAAAGAAAAAAAATGAAATACTGTCCGAAAATGGAACGACAAACACTCGTAAGCATTTCGCGCTGGTGCGAAATCAATATTATTAAATAAGCGGCATAGATTATGCATTACACAGATTTACGTGCTATTTAATTGAATATAAAAAAAAAAAAAGAAAACGCGATGACGATTTGTTGCAACAAAATTTGCACGATCCAAATATATGATTCGCGAAAACTTCAAATAATAAGAGATGAAACAAATTTTATTTATTTTTTAGCGATGATCTTATTAATTAATTATATATACATATATATATATATATATATATTTCGATTTAATAGAAATATCGACGCATCAAATGCGATCATTTTTTAAGTGTGATTGATTGTTCATATATTCATATTATTGAATTTAATGTTCATATTATAATTATTAATAATTGTTCTTCTTATTGTTCTCCGTTACATCTTCGGTTTATTATTATTATCTTCTCTTTTTTTGGTCTCTTCTTCTAAATCAACAATTTCGGCTGGTCTGAATTTAACTAGGATATTATAATTCAAGGATAGATTAACGAAATATAAATCACAATTATAGAAAAATCCAAGGAGACTTAATAAAAAAAAAAAAGGAATAAAGTGGAGCCAGGGTCGCCAATTATATAATATGCGTCTCTCTTAAATTTGTCAAGCACTTTTGAAAAAAGAAAATGGCTCGTCAAGTACAATTTTTTATTATTTTTGTTTTTTTTTTTTTTTTTACTTCCTCGAAGGAAGTATTTTATTGTGTTTAAAAATTGTTTAGTTTTCGAAAAATATTATACATATATGTAAATTCGAATTCATGAATTGCAAGTTAATAAACTAATTTTTGAAATTTATTAAAAACAATTTTATATCTATTATAAAATTTTGATGAATTTTATCAAAAATTCATTTAAATTTATTTTTTAACAATTTTAATAAAAAAAAGGGAAAATTTAAGAGCGACTGCGATCCGTGAGTAATAATTAAAAAAAAATAATAATAATAAGAAAATGTTCATATACGAAAGGAAACGAAAAGGCATACAAAAAAAAAAATCGTTCATTGGCGCAGGTGGTTATGACATTGTGATCTATACAAAATACAAATTACAAAGCATCAACAAGTAGTAAATATTTAAGATTATAAAATACATTCACGTGAGAAGAAAAAAAAAATAAACACACATTAACACACCAAAAATTTACACTATTAAACACGTCACGAATACCATTATTTTACAATATTATAATTTTTTTAAAAAAATTATGAATAATACACAGACACAACAGAGAAACAGATTTACAGAAAAAAAAAAAAAAAAAAACGTTCAAACACGTTTAAAGTAAGCAAAGTAATATAAAATAAAAGAAAGAAAAAAAAAAACACAATACTCCTGCCACGCAGTGAGTTCTTAGACAGCTTTAAGATAATAATTATTAAAAAAAAAAAAAAAAAATGATAAATAATAACTATTAAATAATAACGATAAACTTTCTATATGTTGAATCGTGTCTAGTGAGAGAATTACTAGTAAGAATTAACTATTGCCACACACATGAATTAATACAATTTGTATGACTATTAGTTATCATTTTCTCTTTTTATCTCTCTCTCTCTCTCTCTCTCTTATTTTTCAGTCATTCCTCTATTTCTCTTTCTCTATTTTTCACATCTCTCTATCTCTCGTTTCAAAAAAAAAAAATCTCTTTTTAGCTCTAAATCTATCTTCATCGGAAAATCAATTTTTTTTTCGTTTTTTTTTTTTTTTTTTTTTTTAATAGAGAGAAAAAAAGGTGGTTGTTAGAGGATAGTTTGGTGTTCCGTTTGCTGTTTTACAAACGTTGTACGGTTGTTAATCGGCGAGCGTCGATTAACTAATGATTAATAATATTATTGTCGAAAAAAAAAAAAAAAAAAAAAAAGTGTAAAAGCAATAGGCGCAAGAAAAACTTGTACTTGAAGGGATAAATCTTTTACTGTTATCACAATCACTGCTATTAATTATTAATTAATATTATTATACGGTTATTGCATTACCCCACAATCAGTGTTTGTTTAATTTTTTTTTAATTATTGTAAATACACAGCAAAAATTGTTTGCAATTTAATTGAATCGATAATTAATTTTGTATAATATTAAATTTGAAAAAAAAATCAATTAAATTAGACAAATTGGTTAATTTTTTTTTTTAAATTACTTTTTAATTAATTTTAATTATTATTAATTAATGTTTATATTATTAATTAATTGTAATTAATATTAATTATTAATTAATTGTGTACAAAATCTGGTTGTGAGGTAGCTTAAATTCTTTACTGCTGCGATTATTATTATTATTATGATAATTACAATTATATTATGATTATTCAATACGGCGATGATGTTTATTATTATTAATATTATTATTACTGCTATTATTACAATTAGTTTTCTTTATTACAATTTTAAAAAAGATAAATTATCTAGCTGCGTCTTAAAAAAAAATAAACGAATAAAAGTGAACGAAATAAATAAAAAAAAAAAAAAAAAAAATTGTTCAAAAACGAAAGAAAGAGGAACAAAACTATGCAGCATGGATTCGTTGCGACCTATTAGAGCCACTTCGTTTTCAATCGACGTTATATATATAAATATATATTTAGAGAAAAAAAAAAGAAAATTTTTCGATCGAGTCGATCGCTAAAAAAACTTTAACACGTCAACGTGTGTTATTAGGAAAACTGGAGTGCGTATGTTCGTTGCCCTAATGTGCTTGCGTGCTTTGGTATAATCGTGTGTGTGTGTGTGTGTGTGTGTGTGTAGAAAAAATGCAGAAATTTTCTTCTGCTAATTATTATTATTATTAAATTTTTAAGTAGCGGACACTTGGGGTGATATCCAGGAAATTAATTTTTTTTTATTTCCAAGCTCTCCAATCTAATTGGCGAGTTTTATATACAAAAAAAAAAATTAAATTTATTTAATGCTACATAAAATGTATAAAAGAAATTGTAATTTTAATGAATTTTATTACATAAAACTTGTACGAGTTTTTAATCTGTTTTTTTTTCAATTTTATCAAATTCTCTATATCTGATTTTATAAATTTTTTTATCTCACAATAAAATTGTGAGGTTGAATTCTCTATAAAAGACAAAAAAAAAGCTGATTATCGCCCCAAATGATTTAAAGAAAAAAAAAAACAAACAAAAAATTATTGTCACCCTCAGCGATTTAATTGCCGCTATTTTTTTTTTTTTCTTTTCTTTTTTTAGTGGCAAACGAGCGTTTAGTGGTGTGCGATTTTCAACATTTATTACATGGACTTAACGATATCAGCATAATAAACTATTAATTGTTAAACAATTATCAACTTACCGTTCAAAAGAAAGAAAAAAAAAAACATAATAATAAAATAATAATGCGACTTTACGCAGTAGAACCAAATGGGGTTTTTTGAAACTAGTCGAATCCCTAAAGGAATTATTTCTTCGACTAGACGTTTTTCGCCATAGTTTGTAATATTTTAATATAATAAAAAAAAATAAAATTTCAATAGGGCGAAAGCTCGTTTCAACTTAAAAAAAAAAAATTTTCCCAAACCGTCTGAGAGATTTAAAAAAAAAAATGCGATCTTTCGCCCTTTTTCAAGTGAAAATATATAGTTACAGAAATAAACAATTTATATATATATATATTATATATTATTATTATATATAAATATGAAATATATATTATATATTTACACAAATTTACTTGCACACGCATGCGTGTACGTGTGAGCGTGTGTGGGCGTGCGTACGTACGTGTGAATATTAATTAAAAAAAAAAAAAAAAAAAAAAAACACATTCATCCGGAATTGTATGGTCGAAAAAAATCTCTCCTGAAAAAAAATAAATATAAAAGAAATTTACTCGATTTTGGGGGTGAAAAAAAAAATTGAACCAAAATCGGATTTGTAAACATCGCTGTTCTTTTTTAAAAAAAAAAACTATAAATATAATTATTGTGTGTGCAAAATGGAACAAAAAAATTTACAGTAGAGCTCACGTTTTTGGAAATGAAATCAGAAAAAGAAAAAATAACTCATCGCCTCGATGTTAAATGTATAACACATTTTATAAGATAACAGAGCATTTGATTTTATAAAAATTTCTACTGTTTATGCTTTTACCCGGCTTTTGACTCACATGGAAAAAAAGAAAAAAAAAAAGTGAAATAATATAGAAAAAGTGGTGGCTCTCTTTGTATAATTGAAATATTCAGTTATAAAATTCGGATTTTTTTTTTTTTATTTTATTTCGTTCTTTTCTCTCGCTTATACGATAGATGTGCAATTCAGTGAATGTTTAGAGAAATCTTAGGGGCCGGAGAGTTGATCAATATATTAAAAAAAAAAATAAAATAAAATAAAAATCAAAGATTGTCGATCGACGACTCACGATCACATTTTTTTTTTTTAATTATATAGAATTTGTTGAAATTTTACCTATTTTTTGTTTATGCAATTAGTTTCGATGAAGGATTTTTGAGTCCACTTAAATCCGTTCTGTTAATCTCTCTAAGGGTTGTTTGTATAAAAAAAAAAAAAATAAGGCTTTTTTGAATTCTTTTTTTTTCTTTCTATTCCATATAATTATGGAAATTTTACTTGCGATTCTTAGATTTTTGAATTTTCTTCTCAAAATGAAAAAAAAAATGAAAAGAAAAGAAGCAGATAAAAAAAAATAGGAAAGCATTTATATCGTGCCTGATGACTTTATGATATACTTTTAAAAAATAATCATGTCATTTGTTGTTTGCTGAAAATTCTTTTTTGTCGCATTTCAACTGTTGACCTACATTTTTCTTTCACTGTGCCGTTATTTTATCTAGAGATGTACAGTTCCGTGAAATAAAGAATGAATTAAATATTTCCTACATCTTTGGTAGTGTGGTTTTTAAGGGGAAAGTCTTTTTTCAGGCCCTTTTGTTATACTTTTCTTTTTATAAACAGAAAAATTAATTTTTTAGAAAAAAAATTTTTTTTTGAAAATTTGGTTTTTTTTATCTATTATTATTTAATTATAATTAAATTTAAATTTTCTATAATACGAAAACAAAGAAGTTTAATCTCTGCAAAATAATTTTTTTTAAAAAAAAAACTAATTTCGTGGAGATTAAAATTTTTTGAATAATTTTCAAAATTGACATCTCATCCAAAATTTCCTTGAATCCATATTCTTCCTTATTCCTAGTTTTTATAATTACAAAATATTTGTAAATCTTTGTTAATTAATTTTTCAAAAATTTTTTTGTGAAAGTATTTGTTTTCTTTTGAAAATTACAATGTGGATTCAAAAAGAAAAAAAAGAGAAAGATGATTTGTTTATTTCCAGAGAGAATTGAAATTTAAAAATAGAAATTTTTCTTTTTTTAATTTTCAAAATTTGTCATATTAATTGCTTATGGATTTGACAGGTTGTCCAGTCGAAGAATTCAAATGTAAAATTGAAAAAGGAAAAAAAATTGAAAGATCAATGTGATTGTTGTTTAAAAAAACGTAGACCACTTGCAAGACAAATGAATTCATCAACAAATTTCAATTCAACTTCAAAGCAATCTCCAGAAATTGAAAATAGAATCCCATCGGCAGCCGTGTTTATTCCTGTTACTCAAGCTATTCCTAAATCAATTGTTCCAATTGTAGTATCATCAAAAACTAATAATGTCAATGAATTGACAATTTTCACTGATTCAATACAGATACAAGAAATTCCAATAGGACAAAAAATGGAATCCGTTAAAGTTTGAATTCTTTTTTTTTAGTAGATCTCCTGTCTTTTTTTTTTTTTGATTTTCGTTGCGGTTTACTGAATTTTTTGGTTGAATAAAGATTTAGAATACGTTTGAAAAAAAAATAGCGCCTTTAAATTTAAATGATTTTTTTTTGTTTCCAAAATAGAAAGTTTTCAATCATTTTTTTTTGCATGTTTTTTGAAATGAAAATTTTTGGAAAAGACAGGAAAGTTGAAGTCATTTATTTGATTTAAAATGATCATTTTCTAAGGTAATTTAAGAATCTATAATAAAAATAGTTTATTACGATTTGTTAATAAAAACAGTTTTTTAATTTCGATTTTAATTTTTGTTTCACAAGAAATAGTATTCTTTGAATGAAAAAAATTTTTTTTCTATTATATGTACACATAAAATAATGTAATTAAGTTAAATCACATTCATTATCAATCAGAAAGGACGTAAATATTTCCAACCAAATTGGAAAATGAGATACCAATATAATAGCGTCTTGATTATTTGTTAAAAAAATATTTTTCAATTCATTTAATGTATAATTTTTTGATGCTTGTGTATGATCGTTTGGCTCAATTTTTAAAAGTATTATACACGATTGTAAATTAATTGGATAAAGATCGATAATATCTTTTTCACATAATTTACAACGATTATTTATGCAGTCAAGAATTATTTTTATAAAATTAATAGCCTCTTGAGAATGATTGGTTACTAAAAATATTTCATTCAATAAATTGAAAGTTAATTGAAATATTAATGAAGAATTTACTATTCTTGTAATGAGTTTATCTAATTCTTGTTCCAATGATAATTGACAGTCATTTGGATTTGATAATTTGGAAAAATTTCCTATAAATGCATTTTTTAATGGTGTCTCAATAAATTTAATTCTTTGAGAATAATAAATTTTCTCTAAAAGTTGATCGTCAACAGTAAAATTTCCTTTAAATTCCGTAATTGATATCAATAATTTTTCACTATCTTCTGTTAATTCCAATTCAGTGAGCCGAATAATTATTTTGTGTAAAAATTTTAATAATGATGGATTCTTTGGAAGTAAATAAATTAAGGCACGATACAATGTCATTAATGAATCAACAGAATTTGTGATATTCAAAAGATCATCTGATAGATATTTCTCTAAAATATTCACAACAAAATTTCTAACATTTTCTCCATCCAAAAAAGTGGTATTTAATTTTGATAAAGAACCTCTTAATTGACTCCATGCCCTTAGTATTTCCTAAAATTAAAAATAAATTTCATTTTTAATAAAATTAAAAACTATTTTCATTAGTTTTTCAATAATTTTTTTTTTATAATTTTAAAAAATGATCATACAATAACAGATAAACGAACTTCGTATCGCTGTTCAAGAGCATGTGAAACTGTAAAACTTAAAAGATTAACTAGAGATGTTACTAATCCATTTAATAAATTTTCATCAATTATTGGAAAATTATTTTTCTCTCTTAAAATTTTCCATTCATCTTTTGTATTAATATCATTCCAAACTCCATTACAACTGCTTAATATTTTTTGTAAAATGTCTACTTCCAAGGGGTCCATATTTTGTATATAAACATAACCTAAAAATTCGAACAAATATTTCAAAAAACTTATTATCTATTTAAAGAATATTTTTTTTTTTAAATAAAAATAATAATTAATAAATACCTCGTCATTAGATTTTTTATCAGCATAAATAAGCATTTTTATATCAGATAATAATTGATAAAATATCAAATGTCATTGATGTAAACAATTCTATAATCATTAAGGTGCTTTTATACCTCAAATTTCGATCAGATGAACATTATTTCTGGACCGTGAAAATGCGTGAAAAGTCATTTTCACGGCCGGTATTTTTGAATTGTTTTAAACAAAAAATTTTTTTTTTAAGAAATATAATATTAAATAATTGGTTAAATATGTAAGAACACTTTAAAATAGTAATAGAAAGATAATTTGATTGAAAAATTTAGCATATTTTGGTTAAAAACGTTTTCTGCTGCAAGAAAGTGTAAAATGACAATGTTTGTGAAATGGTTTGTACAGTGCTCACAAGGAAGAAGCACTGTACAAACCATTTCACAAACATCGTCATTTTACATTTTCTTGTAGCAGAAAACGTTTTTAAGCAAAATATGCTAAATTTTTCAATCAAATCATCTTTCTATTACTATTTTAAAGTGTTCTTACATATTTAACCAATTATTTAATATTATATTTCTTAAAAAAAAACATTTTTTGTTTAAAACAATTCAAAAATACCCGCCGTGAAAATGACTTTTCACGCATTTTCACGGTCCAGAAATAATGTTCATCTGATCGAAATTTGAGGTATAAAAGCACCTTAAATTATTAAAAAGGAAGATCACGGTCGTATATACAGATCCGGAATCTTGTCTATTTAGGTGGGGTCTCCCGGTGAAGCACGCCGATAGGTGGCTACGTGTCGTAAAGTAATCTCTATCTTTTTTCCACCAATAAAGAAAAACGAAGATAGAGTAGACTTTTCGACACGTAGCCACCTATCGACGGGCTTCACCGCGAGACCCCACCATACCATTGTAGGCATTGAAGAGATTCCGGACCTGTATATACGACCGTGATATATTGTTTTATAGTTCATGCCAGTCCGTGGCAACAGACAACCGCACTAGAGATTGGCAGAATTTCTGCAAATTAGATTTTCTTTATAATTCAGCGTTATTTTATAAGCCTCAAACATCGGGTAATGTCAAACACTCTATTGGATTTAATTATTATTTCAAATTAAAATAATATCTGTGTAATTAGTGCTAGAATTTTGTGTAAAGAAGCAAAAAATATTGTGTCACCAATGATGGCGGTACCCTCAGCCGGTGTAGGTGAGTGTTGTCTCAATATTTCATAATTTAATATTATTTAAATTATTTTCACAGTGTACTTATCTTTTTTACAAAATTTTTTTCATTTTTTTTTTTCAATGAAATAAAATTACTAATATAAATAAAGGGGAAAAAAATTGATTAATTTCTTTTCAATCTACTTGGCCGCACGTCACATTTCTTTTTTCATTTGACACGCTTTATTATTTTACAATAAATATGATTTTACTGTTGATAAGCCTTTTGATTTTATTTAAATGAAGAGGTGAATTGATTTTTAATGGAAAATTTTATATTTTAAAATTGCATGTATATTTTTTGAAAGGTTAATTTTTGCTTAGCGTATGTGTGTATGAGATATTACTTTGGAAGCCATATAATTTTGAAAACTTGTATATATAATGAAATTTTTTTTTCTTGATATTATTTTACAGTTGTTCCTAGAAACTTTCGTTTATTAGAAGAACTTGAACAGGGTCAAAAAGGTGTGGGTGACGGCACGATAAGTTGGGGCTTAGAAAATGACGATGACATGACCCTCACGCATTGGACTGGGATGATTATAGGACCACCCAGAGTACGATATTTTTTTTTTTTTTATTTATGATTTTCTCCTCTTAGAAAAAAATATATTGGTTTGAAAAAGAATAATTTGTTAAACACAATTTTTTTTTTTTTTTAATTAATGTAAAAAAAGTTATTTGTGATGAAATTTCATACTTTTTATAAATATAATTTACATATTTGTAAATGAAGTTGAGCTCATTTCGTTTATTATTCAATATTGTAATATTTTTTTTGTATTTCATTATTAAAAATTCAATTTTTTTATTTTAGAGACACATTGTTTTTATTGGATATTCAAATTTGAATAATATTTCATAATTTCATAAATAATAATTATTATTTGTTTTTTGCAGACTCCTTATGAAAATAGAATGTACAGTTTGAAAATCGATTGTGGAGTAAATTATCCAGATGATGCACCTAGTGTAAGATTTTTGAGCAGAATTAATATGAATTGCATCAATAGTACTACTGGAGCGGTAAGAGTTTATTAAATTCTTTAAATAAATTTTAAAAGAATGAAGTAAATTAATTAAATAATTATCTTTTTTTTAATTTTCATTTTTTTTTCAAGGTGGATAATCGTAGTGTTCCTGTTTTGGCAAAATGGCAACGGGAATATACGATCAAGACTGTTCTCCAGGAACTCCGTCGTCTTATGACCCTCAAGGAAAACATGAAACTTTCTCAGCCGCCCGAGGGCAGCACCTTTTAGCCTAACCATGAACCTCTTTCTTCCTAGTTTGAGGAACAACAAACTTATTAAGGTACCAAATAATATTGCACTGGTGCCCGGAGATGATGTACGTTAAGGAAATACTCACCTTTGCGAGTAATAAAAAAAAAAAAAATAAAAAAAAAGGTGGGACACACACACATACACTGCTTGGAAGGTCGAATCTGTACTTTTTCCTTTAATTCAGGGAAATTTTCTGATTAATTGAAAAAAATAGTTTTCCAACACGGCCTGGTTCTACTAATTCGTTACTTTCGCTTTAAAGGGGTTTTTTTAATTATTACTTTTTTTTTATTGAATTTTCTGCACGTTAACATAAAAAAAAAAATGAATGCAAATTTCTATGATCTGATGATACTTTACAAAGGAGATGAAAATACTGGTTCGACTTAACAAGAAATTGATATATCTAGTTATAAAAATCATATTTTCAATTTTTGAAAAACTTGAAAAAATAATACGAACAATAATTATGAAAAAAAAGAAAGAAGCAATTTTTTTTTCAAACTGGAACTTTTGTCATCTGTGTTGTATTCCAATTAATTGTAGGAGCATTCTGTAAAAAAAAAAAATTCTATATCTTGACTCGTTCTTGGTATATTTCAAAATTATATTTCGTACAATATTCAAATTGATCTTTTATTCTTTAAATTCTGAGTCATTGTCCTTGGGGTCGTAGAGAAAAAGAATCGATTGAAATCCAAAAAAAAAGGCTTTTTCTCTATCAAAAAGAAAAATTAAATTTTTTTAGAATGAATTTTTCCCCTCCTTTTCTTTTTTAATAAAAGATTAGCTTTATCGAAAAAATGTAATCATTTTTTTTTATCTTGTGGTTTCATATATTATAATCATACCCAACCAACGACACATCAATAGCGAAGCATTTCATAGCTTTTTTTTCCATTCCATTTTTCTATATCTTGTTTTATCACTTTTTTTATGTTCCATTTTTTAAATAGTCGAATTAAGTTATTTTTTATGCTTCATAATTGACGTATCGATGGCACTAGATTTATATATATTTAGCAAGATAACAAACCTACACAAGTAGCTTTGTAAACGTCGTAAAGCGATTGTTACCTGTAAACGCTCGTGTTAGTAACGCGACCCAAAAAAAAATGAATTTATGTAAGTTAACAATTATTCCAATGAAAAGCAGTGCAAGGGCGAAGTTCCAATTTTATGTTACACTTTAGCTAAAAGAAAAAAAAAAGAAAATTATAATCGAATAAATTATTTAAAAGACAGAGCTTTTTTTTTTGGGAAACTATTCTTATTTTAGATTTTTTACAATCTTCCCTAATTAACATTATTTTTTGTTAAAGAAGTAAAATTATCTTTTAATATAAGTGAAAATTTAAATAAAGAAAAATGAAGACTACAGACAAAAAAAAGTGGATTTGTTATAAAGGGAGATTTTTTTTTTTTGGTAAAAAAAAGTAACATTGATATTTAATTACGGTGAATTAACGATTTAATTTGACAGGACAATGAGTGTCATTGTTAACTGTTTTTTTTTTTTATGTACATAAATGATATCGCTCGGATATAAATGGGCAGTTTTAGATGATCAGATGACAAAGATCAGCCCGATTAAAAAAAAATTTTTTGTAATCCTTTATTATTATATAAAACTACTGTTTGCACCCGGACATTTTTCGTTCCAAGCAACTTTTTTTTTTGGGCTAACAGTTGAAAATTTAATTATTCGATGACAATTTATTTTATTTTTTTTGCTTTGCAGGAATGAACGCTAATTTTGTATTTTTAATAGTAGTCCACTTGTGCCTCTTGATATAGAAAGCAAGAATTCCCAACATTCCACCAACTGCCAAGACCTTAAAAAATAATTTATTTTTTCAAATATTAATAATATGCAAAAATTTTTAATTAGATAATTATTTTTTTTATTTACCTTTATTGCCAATCTTTGCCTTTCGTCATGTTCGAAATTTGACGTCCACGTGAGAAAAGTGACAACGTCCTTGGCAATTTGTGAAGCAGTCGCTGGAGTTCCGTCTTCAAACTCTAATACTTCATCGTAAATCACCTAGAGAAAATAAATTAATATAATAAAGGTAATTTTTCTTTTTTTTTTTAAATATTTTAACTTACTTGACCCATTCCAATAGCACCGCCCGGGAAATATGGATTAAAATTTTGACCCTCTCTTAAAGTAATGCCAGCCGGTGGATCACAATATCCAGTTAATAGAGAAAAGATGTAATTCTAAAAATAAAAATATTTTTTAAAAATAGATAATTACAAATTTTTGTTCTTTTTGATTAAATAAAAATTACCTCTCCATTGTGTCTTGCATTTTGCATGAAAGAAAGATCTGGCGGATAAGCGCCATTATTTGCTGCTCTGGCAGCTTCTTCATTTGGATAAGGACTTGGTATATAATCGAATAATTTTCCAGGACGCATGAACATTTCGCCAACATCATTAGGTCCATCTTTAATCTATAAAATATATTTATTTACATACAAAAATATTTTTTTTAAAAAAAGTATTAAAAATTGAAAATTTACCATGACTTCTTCTGCTAAAGCTTTAGCCTCTGCTTCGGTATGAGTGTTGTTAACTAAATGTCTATAGGCGACATATTTCAAACTATGGCATGCAGCGCATACATTTTTATACACTTCCCAACCTCGACGCATGCTGAAAAAAAAAATATTAATTTATTTCCGTAAATAAGTTTTTAATCGACAGAAGAAAATTACATATTTTTTTTTTAATTATCTTACCTGGCATGATCTAGAGAATTAAAACCACCATTAAAACTCCATGGGAATTTTGGTGCATGAGCCACTAAATCTTCAGCGTGGACGCTGTTTTCTAAAGCGTACACGAAGGCTCCAACAGTACCTGCTGCAACTCCAATGCATGTCACCAACTGTAATTAAAAAAAAAAAAAAAAAATTGTTTTCTTATCGCATATTTCTTTTCTCGTTAATTGAATCATATAGACATAAGGAAATAAATATAAAAGTAATTAGAAACAATTAAGAAATATTCCAAAATTGAAACTTACTAAATTCACTCGAGGATAAACTACAGGATTACGGGTTTGTACTTAAGGAAGAATGTGAAAGGACTTCTCTAATTGTGAAAAAAAAACAATAAATATGCCATTGTTTTATATTCATAAAAAAAATACCTTTTTAAAAAGATATAATCCTTTTTTAATAATTAAAATATTTAATAATAATTTTAAATCACTTTACTTTTTAAAAAGTAAATAATAATTTTACTTACAATTTTTCTGCCCCTGGACCATTCTTTGGTTGTAGTAAAATTGCAAGTCTAGAAATAGAAAAATTAGTAAATAATAATAATAAACAAAATCTCATTATGCAACATAAGATTTATGAATTTAAGAAAAAAAAATAAATAATCAACTTCCATTCAAATTTGGCGCCTTATGGTTATTTTTAACTTTAAAAAAATAATTAAGAAAAAAATATTCACGAGCCACATATGTAGGAATTAAATTTTAAAATAATAAACAGAAATGTGATTTTTGTTATTCAAAATTTAAAAATAAAGATCTCCCTAATGGCCATAGAAATGTTGCTGATGGCAGCATCACAATTTTTACCCCTTACCTATCATACTTATTACATAACATGTGTGAATGTATTTTCAAAACTTATCATATATGTCTCTATTAATGTTGCACAATTTATAAATACAATTAGCACCACGTGGAATTTGAAAAAGGGATGAATAAAATAATTATATATAAAAAATGTCATAGCAGCCGACAAGTCACTAGTCGGAGTAGTAAGCAGAAGAATCGGAACACCCAGTTTATCACATTGACATGAAGAAAAATTTAATGAGACATGATATTTTTATTAAAAATGAAAAAGATTTATCATTAAGTAAGTAATAAATCTTTAATTACTTACCTGGTTGTATAAAGTTCCGTTATTTGCTTTTAAAAAACCCGATCGGCAAATACGTCCCAACGAGGCCGCCATGTTGGCTAAAGGTGCACTATTGTAGTATAACACTCACTAGTCAATCTAGATAATAATTAAAGAAAATTATAAAAGAAATCAATTCAAATCATTATTATTTTTACAAGAAATATTTAATTTTCGATTTTATTTTATATTTCCTTTTTATGATTTACACGTATTTGTTCTATTAGCATTAATTTCTAGATTTATTCTGACTAGAGTAGTTTTCAGTGGTACCACTATAAACATATTTCCGGCTTTCTTTTTATTAATGAAAATTTGTTATTTTATAAAAATGTATTAAAGAAAAATAAAAAAGTACATGAAACTAAAGATAAAATTTACTTTAAAATATAAAATAATATAAAGAAAAAAGTTTTATTTAAAATTTTATTTTTGAATTTTTAAATTTCACTTCAAAATGGCGGTGAAAATTAATGCGCATGCGTCAATTTATCAATGTTGTCAACAGTGTCAGTGCGTTCGTCCATCGTTATCAGCTGTAGTTCTCGTCAGATGGTGTCGTGTATCCTTTAAAATCAGATCAATCGCTGTGCGAAGAATAAAGTTTTAAGATGGATTCTGGAATGCCGGAGTTAGGCTCCAAAATAAGCCTAATATCAAAAGCGGATATTCGTTATGAGGGCCGACTTTTTACTGTTGATCCGCAAGAATGTACCATCGCTTTGGCCAACGGTAAGTTTGCAATCAAGATGGACTCCAAAAAATTGCTTCCCCGCCGCTCCATATCCCGGCTCTTTAAAACCTTAACTCTGCATTTATTGTTCTCAACTTTAATAACTTCTTCATCTTTTCCCTTAAACTTTTCATTAATTCATTTTAAAATACTTCCGGTTAAATAACAATTGTTTTTTTTTTTTTTTTACTTTCATTTCTATACTAACTTTGCATGTTGAGTTTTAGTACAAAACAACTGAGGTCATTTGATCATTGCCTTTAGTAACGAATTTACTGCCTCAGGAATATTCTAGAATTCAATTAATTTAATTAAAACACTTGATTTTAAATTTAGTCTACATTATTTTCACATAACTTGTAAAAAAAAGCGTTACTTGTATTTTTAATTTAAGTGTAAAAAAAGGATTATTCTATTATAATTAAAGCAATTAATTATATTTAAAATATAATTTTCTTTTGATAATTGCTACTTTTTTTTTATTCATAAAAATATAATTATTTCTTTGACGTTGAATTAATTTCGTTAAAAACTAAAATAATGCATGATAACGCGTAGTTTTAATTTGTAATTTATTAAAGGCAATGATAAAAAAAAAAAATTGCTACAACACGTGTTATTTAATGAATTTTTCCAATTATTTTCCTAGTTGTTATTGTTCAATGCTCAGATGTTTACATTTATATGTCCTCTTTGATACTTTTCCCTTTTGTTTTCACTTTAGGTCGAAATATAAATACACACGTATTTTCATATACATACATATAATCGAGATTTTCTAAAGTGTTTTTAAGTTTTATTACATGAAATCACTATTAATGAGTAATTTGAAAAATTTTTTACAATAAAATTTTCCTAACGAATTATAATTTCATTTTATCATTCTAATTCACAGTATTTTTCCCCTTTCAAAGTTTTGTAAATAAAAATTTCTTTAATTAGTTTTGTTTGTGATATGAACTGTCAAATTTTGATATTTTTTTTTTTTTTAATAATATATTATTGTGTTATCGGATTTTTTTTTTACAATTTAGAAAAAAAATTTGTACTTTTTATTGCAGTAAGGTCATTTGGTACTGAAGATCGAGATACTCAGATTCCAGTTGCACCTCAAAATCAAATTTATGAATACATTCTTTTCCGTGGAACGGACATAAAGGATATACGAGTAGTTAGCAATGTCAGCTCTATACCTAATGATCCAGCAATCGTTCAGGTATGTGATATTAAATTTCTTTAAAATTTAATAAATTTGTCTCAAATTTCATTGTTAAATAAATAAATCTTTGAAACAAAATGTAAATAATATTTAATGAGATTTAATTTTATGTAAAAATATTTTTGATTAATTAATTATAATACAGGGAATAATGTAATTTTTGTATTTTATTGCAATAATGAAAAAAAAAAAAAAATGGTTTTAGATGACAGTTCCATCGACAATGGGCCAACAATCATATCAACCGCAGCCAGGCTATGGACATCCAATGATGGGTCAAATGGGTCCAATGACAGGACAATATGGAACACCATACGGTATGCCCATGGGATCTATGGGGCCTGTAATGGGTATGCCAACCAGAGATCTACGCGCACCAATGAACAAACAGCCAAGTGAGTTGGGCTTGGGCCCTGCCGATCCCAACGCCATCTCTATACCAAACTCACAACCGGTGGCCAATGTTGACCCAATATCAAAAGACCGTTCTGTGGAAGATGGTAAAACTGTTTTTGCTATGAATTATTATTGGCCAATGGCATGCCTGCTGCTTGTTCCTTGGTAACGCTTGACAAGTACTTTCTATTTTTGCAATTATTTTTTTTTTATTATTATTATTATTACTATTGTCCGCTAAAATACTTTCGTAATATTCGTATTTTTACCTATAAAAAAAAGGGGACGCATAATTATGTTGTAAAAATCATTAGTCATAATTTACATTTTATCGAATTTCATTTGTCATAATTAGTTATGAGCCTAATTTTTATTTAACCGAAAAATCATTTAATTGAATTTCTAATTGATTTCGGCGCGATTTTTAAAATTATCCATAAAATTGTGATTGGTTGATTTTAAAAATCGCGCTGAATTCTTTCTGACGATTGTTTGTTCGGTCATTTGAAACATCGGACAAATGAAAATTGTATCAATTAGAAATTCTATTAAATGATTTTTCGGTTAAGTAAAAATTTTGTAGTATGAAAAATCGATTATATGGAAATTATATCAAAATTAATAATTCGAACAAATGAAAATTCATCTGAATGAAAATTCTATTCAATGAAATTCCACCCAATAAAAATTCTTTAAAATGTCTATTATGTTAAATGAAAATTCGAGGAAATAAAAATTCTGACAAATAAAAATTGGAAGAAATAAAAATTCTGTGAAGTGAATTTTCGGTTATATAAAAATTCTGTAATATAGAAAATCGCTTTCATGAAAATTATGCAAAATACTATTTCGAACAAAAAAAATTTGGCTCAACTAACTAATTAGGACAAATAAAATTCGATAAAATGTAAATTATAACTAATGATTTTTAGAACATAATCATGCGTCCCATAAAAAAATGGTATATTCTTTAAAACCAAATTTCTATTTCATTTACAATTATTTGTATGTTTATTAACAATTTTTAATGAAACATTAAATATGCAATTACGAAAGCGTTATAGTGCGGCGATATCTATTTTTTTTTGCGTGCTTTGAAGTTTTTTGGGTTTATTTTTTTCTTGAGAAAACTCTACTTTATATATTTTATTATATATATATATAAAAAAATATATAGACAGTTGAAAATAAAAGGGAAAAAGTAAAAAGTAACTTTTACTATTCACAAAATAAAATCTAAATTGTTCGGAATTTCTTGTAATTTTTGCACCGAAAATAGAAAAAAATTACTACTGAAATAGTAGTTTTTACTATTTACGAAGAAAAAGTTAACAGAAATGCAAAGAAATTCCGAGCAGCTTAGGATTTACTAAGAAATCAGTAAAATTTACTTTATGTTTTCCATTTTTTTCCATTTAACAAAATTACTGGAAAGTACATCAGTTTTTTTTTTAGTTTTTCAAATGTTTAACAATTTTATAATTCCAGGGTGTCTAACAATCAGGGAAAGTCAGTGTAACGTCAGGGAATTTCAGAAAATTTCATTTAAAGTCAGGGAAATTTCTGTAAATTTCTACAAAAATTAAAATTTTTTGTAAATTTAAAAATTTTTTAATCTAAAAAAACTTGAATGGTATTTATTACCATTACCATTGTTACTGCCATTAGAAATTAATTTATTGTTGTTGTTTATGTTAGTAATAATATTTTTGTTCAAAGAAAGCAAAATTAAGGTTATTAAAAAATCAGGGAAAAATCAAAAAATGTCAGGGAAAAGTCAGGGAATTTTTTCTCAATTCTTGTTAGACACCCTGAATTTGATAACAGTAAGTTTATTGATTTTTTTTTCACTGTGACATGTAATTATAATTTGTTTCATTTAATTACATTTTAATTGAAGAATTATACAAATTTTTTTTTTTTTATTATTTTTGATTTTATTATTGTGATATGAAATTTTTTTTAAAAATATTTTTTGATAAAAAAACAAATGCTACGCATTGCTGTGTAAATTTTGACTACTGCTTTTATTTTTTTTTATTGCTTAAAAATAATATTTGCTTGCTTTTATTAACAATTAGTTTTAGTATTTTATTTTCTATTTGGGTTTGAAATGTAATTATTATATTTTATATAATTATATTGTTATTAGTTTATATACGTATATTATTTTATTGTAATATTTTTACAATATGAGTTACTGGAAAGTAAAATTACAAGGTCTTTTAAGTTGGTTCATGACTCAAACTCAAAAAAAAATTAAGTACTAATTTGTAGTAATGTAAAATAATTTTAAAATTGATTTTGTAGTTATTACCAATTCAATCAAATTTTGTTTTACTTTCCGGTGGCTTTATCTATTTATATTTTTTATATTTACTATTTTCTCTATTTCAAAATTAAAATTTGAAAATTAACTGTTTCATTTATCTCATTTCTATATATATATATATGTATCTAGAAAATTATTTTCTACTTATCTAATTGTAAATTTTTGTTTAATTTGAATATATTTTGCTTCTTAGGTTAATTTTCTATTATTTTCAATTTTCTTTATAAACAATTTCTTTGTCGTTTGTATCCTTCTTATTTAATATGTATACACATGTCACACGACGATGTAAATTTTATCTATATTCACAATTTTTTTTTTTTTGCTAAATATTTGCTTTACATCTGCTTCCCTTAAAGTTGCCATGAGCAAAATGCAGTTAAACAAGTGATATGAAATAGCAAGAACAGTTAAAATTTAGCGTGTAGTCCATTATAGCCATTGATTGTAGACTGCGGATTGTTTTTTTTTTCTTTTTTTTAAATCGATATTAAAACTTAAAGATTAAAATTTTCGTGTAATATTAAAAAAAATTAATAAAAATATTTTTTTTTGTTGGAAAACAAGATTTTAATAGGATTTTTTGGAATTTTTTTTTATATTTAGGCGTTTTAGATTTAATAAGCGGAGGATCTCGATCAACAACTCCAACAGCTTCTTTAATGGTGAGGAAAAGTCCAACGGCAGATAAAGATACACAGGTTGGTCATCAGCAACAACATTCTGGAAATGTTGGTAAAATCGGAGATAAGACCAATGTTCAACGGATGCAACAAACGCACCGTGATCGTGAAAGGTATTTTTGTTTTTTTGTAATGATTGAAAATAAAGAAATTAAATTATTTGAAGGAAAAATTAATTATTTTCTCAGCCATGGAAGCGGTAGAGTTGGAAGTGGAATGTCGCAGTATAGCGAGGGAAAACGAGATAAACAAGATGGAATGGGACATGGACACGCAGGACATATGCAAGGATCCAGAGGAAATCGAGGTGGTTGGATGAATAGAGGAACTATGCGCGGTAGAGGAAGAGGTCGCGGTAATTTTCGGAGTAATCAACCTGGAAATACTGGAGCAAAGCCCAAGAGCACTTTGAAGTTTGATAATGATTACGATTTTGATAAAGCCAATACCGAATTCGAAGAACTTAGGTAAGTTTCTCTTTTTGTTCTCAAAAAAAAAACAAACAAAAAAAATGCATGGAATGTGCCGGGTTGATTTCAAGTATTTCTTTTGAAAATCACGAATGTGGAAACCATGCAAAATAAAATTGATACAAATTTTAAAATTATTGTGAGGTCTCTTCTCCTTTGATTTACGCATTGTATCAACAATTACTTTTTTTTTTAACCATTTTTTTTTTGTTTTTATTATTACGAATTATATTAATATGATTTGATTTTTAGATCACAATTAGCAAAGACTAAAATCGATGGTGCAGCTACGGATAATGAAAAGAAAGATGACAGTGGAAATGAAACAGGAGCAGGTGAAGGAGAACCTGAGGAGGAATCTGATATTGTACATTACGATAAGTCGAAATCATTTTTTGATAATATCAGTTGCGAGGCTGTTGAGAGAAGTAAAGGGTAAGTTTAATTTTTCTTAAATTTTATTTATTAAATCAGGGTTTGTCAGGGGTATTGGAAAAATATCAAATTTCTTAAAATGCAACTAACAATTTTTGAAATTTTCTATTCAAAATATTTTTTTGGAATAAAGGGAAAAATAAAATTTTTTTATGACAGCCCTGTAAATTTAATTTTACGGACATAAAATATAATTTAAAAAAAAAATATATTATTTATATCTTAAGACGTTCACAACGTACGGATTGGCGAACGGAGCGTAAATTGAATTCGGAAACATTTGGCGTTTCATCGATGCGTCGTGGACATTTCCGTGGACGTGGTTATTACAATAATCGTGGAATGGGAAATAGTATGTATCGCGGTGGTGGTGCACCGGGTGGTGGTGGACCAGGTTCAGGATATCGTGGTGCATTCCGAGGTAATCGTGGATCAAATCGCAAACCTGGAAATCAAATACATAACAGTAATTCGGCCAATCAGAATCGTGCAACCAACGAACAATCCAGTGCAACTCAACCACAACAAAATAATCGACTCGTCACTGGTACTGCGTAAAGAATGAAAGGAAAAGAAAAAAAAATACCTAGCGTCCCAATGAATACAACGTGAGTGATGCTAACAAAAAAAAAAATAAGTATTCTCTTTAGCCAGTAAGATTTTTACGATACGCGCTTTGTCGAGAACTGATATTTGTATCGAAATTGGCTGTCGACGGCGAAATATGTAGTATAACGGATTGATTAATCTAGATTTATTGTGTTAAAAAAAAATGAAAATGAAAAGCGCTCCCCCGCTAATTCTAGATTATTTAGAAAGAAAGAAAGAAAAAGCAATGCGATTGAATCGCGATAACACGGGACTCTACTGGCGCACAGGACTCAAATTTTAGTGCGCGGCGCGCATTTTCAGTTGCGGTCAACGACACTGCAAAAAATTATTAATTAATACGGACAGAAAAAAAAATAGCAATGATTACAAAAAACGAAGCAAATTATTAATTTTCATTAAATTGAATACAAACTGTGATTTTCTATGCCAAGTTTATTGTAGGAAATTCAATAATCTTTTCTTTGCAATTGTCGTGGATCGCACAATTTTCGAATTCGAAAATAAATAAAAATTGAACCGACAAGAGAGTTCATAATTTAAAAAAAAAAAAAAAGAAGGGGAATTTATAAATGTTTTTTTATACCACGCTCGGGTCAAGTGGTATTTCTAATAAATTGGTACACATGAGTCCTGCGCGTAAATAAAACGAAAAAAAAAATAAATAATAATAATAGAAGTAGATTAAAATTTGTTACTGTAAGTAGCCAATTTTCTCATTCGTGTTATCAATTTCACGAACGAGAAAATACTTCGAGTGCTTATGAAAAAAAAAATATATATATATATGTATAGATTAATAAAAATAAAAAAAACGTGCCTCAAAAATATCAAGAGGAACGTTTAGTTTATTGCCTAAAATGTAGTTCCAGCAGTCTGGTAAAAATTTGATAAACGTATCATTAAAAAAAAAAAATTTCATACAGAGTTCGTTATAGAGTGAATAGATTGTGCCTGATACTGCCTCTAAACTCTTTAAAAAATAAAAACAAACAAAGAAAAAACGAACTAGAAGCACTTGATTTCGAGCGAATTACGAATCCGCCCCCAAAAAAGATTCGTATTGATTGGTGGAGTCACGCCAATTTCTTTTTTTTTTTTTTTTTTTTTTTTACAGGTCATAATGACCTTTTGACTTAATTAGAAAAAAAAAGAAAAAATTGGTAGCGGTAAAAAAAATATATGGGAATGTGCATCCTGTCGCCAGTAGACTAGGACAATACGTTTAGGATTTTTTAAATTCCAAACATTTATTGACATATGTAAAGTTTAGAATTTAAAAAATAATTACGTTATGCGTTAGATGGAAATTAATTATATATTTTACTTTTATACATTTACTAGAAGAATTTTGATTTTTGAACGGGACGCATATCGAGTCGTTCCTAATTTATACGCCGCTTTTTTTCACACACAGATCGGTTACCATGAGAAGAGGATTCAGCTCTGAATCTCAAAAGAGGGAAGAGAAGAACAAAAAAAAAAAAAAAAATACAAAACGAAAAAAAATAAGAAGGAACTTGTTTTATAGAGATGAAAAAAATAATAATAATTTATATATCGAATAATGCCGGACGCATTAAATGTGACTCGTGTAATTTTTGACTTTAATGATAATAATATTAATAATTTTCCCTCTTTTTTATGCAAAACATCCGAAAAGCTTCCTTTTTCTCATGGTACTCGACTTTAAAAAAAAAAGAAAAAAAAAAAAAAAAGGATTTAAAAGTGAATTAATGCATGATTATTCCGCGTAATGAGCAGAAATAAAAAATAAAAGAAAAAAATAAAAAGGCGTAATTCGCCAATCATTCACGACTGTTATTTTTGTATTGGCTCTTGCAGAAAGAGAAAAAGAGAGAGAAAGAAAGAGAGTCGCACCAATATACATACAATACATATTTAGATATTTAGTTGAAATAATACATAATAATAATTATTATAGGAGCGAAATCCTTCCTAGGCTACGTGCGTAATAAAAAAAAAAAAAAAGATAAATAATAAAAATAAAAAACAATCATTAAAAAATGAAGAACGCAAGGAATGGTGAAAGAAAAAGCGCATATTTTATGTTTGATTACACATGCACTCACATATTAAATTAAAAATAAATAAATAAATAAATAAAAACGAGAGAAAAAAGAAAAATTAAATGAATGCAATGAGCGCGATTTCTGACAGTGTATGTTTTTTGATTTTGTACAGCGAATATTGTGATTCCCAATCGAATAATATATGAAAATATCAAGAAACTTGGAATTTTTTTTTTCTCTTTTTCCTTGATAATCGTAAAGTTAAAAAATTTCTATATATTAAAAATTCAGTTTGTTGAATAAATTCAAAAATTTAATTAAACTATTATTGTACAAAAAATATAATTAGATTACAAAATATTTATTTAAAAAAAAATATAATTTCTAATCAAGCGCAACTCATTAGGCCAGTTCTTGTATTGTCACAAACTTCTCTTATTGGTCGTCCTTTTGTTACTTTAACAGTGTCAACAACTGTGAAATTATTTTTATATATACGTCGCAAATCACGATAATACGGTACAAAAACTTCGTGTGGTGAACTTCCATTTTCTATTACCCATATACTTCCACTTTCTCCAAACCTGAGAATTGTCATTAAACCTTGAGCAACGATAAATGGTCTGAAAAAAGAATTTAATTTGCATTTTATAATTATTATAAATAGACTAAATTTTTATTTTATTTTATTTTTAATATTCTTACGTTTGAATTGGAAGTTGTTCAAGATTTTTAACAAAATCTGCTTTCATAACTCTGGATAATAATTTATTTGGACTATCTATCGTTAATGCCGTTTCTGTTAATCCTGGTGATAGAGTTAATATTCGAATACCAGTTTTGTTAAAATCACATTTGACCTGGAATTTTTTTTTTATCTTTCATTACTCTCTATTAAAAATTGAGTAGTTTATAGTTTCAATTAAAAATACTCACTGCTAATGATTGTGATAATCCAAGAATTGCATATTTTGTTGCCGTATAAACTGGAAGTTGTGCTGTCCATCGGAAGTCTATATTTTGGCCAATATTTACTAGTATTCCACCTCGTCCTCCTTTTTCTTTAGACATGTATTCCACGGCTAGAGTAGCAATTGACATCATACCACTCTAAAAAAAAATTAATATTTCAAAATTGAAAATTTTCTAAATTTACCTGTATTATAATTAAAAATAAATAATTCTACTTACGAGATTAACAGCTATTTCCTTCTCCCATCTTCTTTCATCTAAAATGCCTGCATTATTTATCACAATATCTATATTTCCCATAGCTGATATTGCTTCTTTAAATGCATCTAAAAAAAAAAATAATAATTATCGTCTAATGAAATTATTGATATTAAATTAATATTTTTATACCTGCATTTGATTCATGTTTAGATACATCTGTATGAATAAAAATCAATTTTTTCTTTCCATGCGATTTATCCATTGCAGATGCTATTCTCATTCCTGATATTTTGTCGATATCCAAAATTGTAATTTTCTGCAAAAAAAAAAATTATTAAAAAAATTTTTTTTTAAATTTAATATAGTCACGTGAATTTTATATTTTACTAACGTTTACACCGTGTTGCAAAAAATGATTAACAAACGCTTGTCCAAGTCCACCAACTCCACCGGTAATTAAAATATTCTTTCCAGCAACAATACTGTTAATTTCTTCTAATTCTTTAATTTTCTCTGAACCAGATGATCGTCGACTTCTTGTTCCTGAATCAGTCATTTTAAAATCGGGTGCACCTATATAAAAGAAAATTAATATTTTCTAACATAAAAATTGATAAAGAAATTAATTAACTAGAGAAATTAAATTTAACGCCATTTTTTTTTTTTTTTATTATTATTAACTTACCCATATTTTTTTTTTTTTTTTTAATAACTAGATGAAGTAAATATTAATAATTAAAAAAAAAGTTGAATATAAAATGTGATTTGTGAAATAATTCAATATCACGCGTTGAGATGAAATGAACTTTCATACTAAACGCAGAATCGTATTTATACTTGGCTGAGTTTGATTGTGATTAACCGCTCGCTTCCTGATTATGTTTTACGTTTATAATTTTATGCACTCGTGGTAAAAGTTGTAATCTAATAATTTTTTTTTATGATTCTAAACGCGTGGCGCATTTGCGTGATTAATATTTATCATCAATAAATTAATGAATACAGTAGAAATTACTTTCTTGTTTTATATTCTATCTTCTAGAAGAATCTAAAGACGATTGTTTTTTTTATTTAATCAATGATGCAGTCATTTTTTTTTATATATTTTTCACAATTTACACTTTTTATTTTTGAAAAAAAACGATTTTTTAATTTACTATTTTCATTTACCTTTTCATAATATTGCACAATTTTTTAAATCTTATCTTTCCCAGACAGTCGGAAATTGATAGAATAAAACAATAAAATATTGAGTACTTAAAAAAAAAAAACTGAAATTGCGGAAATTATTATTTTTTAAAAACATTAAATTTAATTATGATAATTGAAATTTATATTCTTTCCCAATAAAAAAAATATAGTAAAATATAAAATAAATTTTTTTAAATAATTATATTAGAATATTATAAATAGAAATGTAGAAATATAGTTCTGATTATTGTATTGCAATTTTCGAAGAATTATTGCAAATAGTGTGATGTAAAAAAATTTTAATTTTTTCTATTCTTGTCACTATTATTGCGCATGTTTGTAAATTTTTTTTTAATCTTTTGTCTGATCTGGTATAATTTTTCAAAAAGACATAGTATATTGTAAGATGAAGGTCAATTTCAGTTGTGTATATGATTTGTAATCTTTCTCTCATCTTTTGTTTACATTTATTCGATGAGTTGAATACGCTCATTGATGTTTATAATATGTAATTAATTTTTTTTTTTTTTTAACCCACAACTTCAAAATTAATAGAAAAGAAATAAATATTAAGACAGTTTTTCTATTAAATAGAAAATTATGTTATTGACGAAACTTTTTCGTTAATTAATTAACGTTAGTAAGAAATATAATAATTATTGCTGTGATATAATCAGGAGACTCTTAATTACTTTCATAATAATTTAATATAAATACTTAACAATTATTTTATTCTTAAAATTTTTTTTTTATTCAATTATTTACGTAATTTATCAGGTAAAAATAGATATTTTGTTATTCATATAAATTTCCATAAAAACAGGATTTTCCAAAATAAATTCGCATTTAGTAAATGTAAAAACCAAATAAGATATTTTTTATAAATATAAAATTATTCCCAAAACTCTTAAAATATTTCGTATGTTATAAACTTGATGTCGTTGGGGTTATCTTCAATTTGACCTGATTCTAAGAAATTATGAGGATAAAATGACTTGTCGATTTTCTTTTCATTTTATTTAATTTGGAAATTAAATTTAAAGATATATTGCAAAGAAAATTGCAATTTTTTGTTTGCTTTCGCACGATACTTCTATATAGAATATATATGTATATATATATATAATATAATCGAAAGAAAAAAGTAAAAAAAAAATCTAATTAAATAAAATATGACAGTAATATATGTGGACTATATCAGTCGAGTAAAGTTCAATAAGGAACCAGTTTAAACCAATCGTGGAAATTGTTAAATGACCATTGACTTATAACGTATTTATTAATCGTGAATTATTTCACCCTTTCTTTGCGTTTTATTGTTTCATGGCAAGGGGAAAATCTTTTGTATTTTTGCCACATATTTGAAAAGACCAATAAAACATAAATGTACAAGAGTCGTGTGCATATCGCTGTCTGACACACGACACGGATGTTATAAATTTTCATCTCAAGACGAATACGACAGACATTGTTAATTTTATATGATAACGGTGTATAATTACGTTGATTAAAATAATAATTATTAAAAAAAAAAATAAAAAATATAAACATTAAGTAGAGGAATGAACTGCCATCAACTTATGGACTCATGAAAAAGTTATAAACTAAGATCAAATCGTACAATTTCAAATAATTAATGTTTTTTAATTAATTTAATTCAATAATATCTATTTTAATTCAGTTTCTGTCTACAAATTGTCCAATATTTTTTTATTTTGAAATTCGATTTAAAAAAATTATCAAAGAAAATTATAATTTGTTGTGTTATAAAAAAAAAAATGTATATATTTTTTTTTTCTATGGAAAATATATTCTTAAGAGTTAAACACAATAATAAATTGAGGTGAGTCGACTGATAATATGCAGGTTGAAGATGTGAATCTCTTCTCAATAATATATAATTATAAAATCTGTGTATATTCTCCAAGGTTATTTATAAAAAGGGCACATATATAAATACATCATCTGAAACTTTCAAAAGTATCAGTCAGAAATCATTATTATCATCAGAAACATGATTAAAGTGTTATTTCTTTTTTTAATTATTTTTTGTTTAAAATTATTATTAGCAATGTCATTAGACACTTGTTTGCCGGAGGGTATTTTTTGTTATACTGACAATTTAAATAAAATATTTCCAAAATGTTGTGGATCATGTATAGAAGATATTGAGAGATTATATTTTAATGGAATTTGTCGTTCTGATTAATATCGCAGGTATATTATAATTCTTTTATATTTAAAATTCATAAATTTTGTATAATTGAAAAAAAATTAATTTTTTTTTTTTATTTACAGAGTGATAAATAATTTTAAGACTGGATTTTAATTTGGACTTGGGATAGATTATAAAAAAAAAATGTTTAAAAATTAATATTAAATTCATATAAAGATCGTTAATAAAAATAAGTCTATTAATGTAATTGTTAACTTTATTAAAAATTAATAGTTTTTTTTTGATAATAAAATAAGAAAATTAAAAAACAAAGTATAAAATAAAATTATAGTAACAAAAATAATATTTATATAATTTTTTTTTTTTTTTTAAATATTATCAACTTTTGACTTCATTGGTAATGCATCAGGAATTTGAATTTCATATACAGGTTTTCCTTCTTCACTAACCCAAATGCTGCCATTTTGGGCACATCTTATGACATAAACCAATCCGTGAGCTATATTTTTCACTCTGAAAAAATGTAATTTTATTTAAATTTCCATCATTTAAATTTTTTAAAAAAAATTACTATTTTATATGATTTTGTTTTATTTAAAAGATAATTACTTTTGAGAATGAATATCTTTTTCCGAGTCGAAAAAATCAGGACACTCGAGATTTTCCAAATCTATTGAATCTTTGGAAGTCGTTGACTCAAAAGTATTTGTTATTTCAGGACAAAGGACTATTATACGAACACCTGTTCGCTGATAATGGTAAGGTTGCTAAAAAAAAAGAAGTATTTTCAAAAATTCGTGAAAATAATTGTTTGTACCAAAACAAAAAATAGAGATAAATTCTAAAGTCAATTTGTTTTTGAAAATAACGATTTTTTTTAAATAGTTTTTATTTTTAAATTATTGAATAAAAAAATTGCTTCGTAAAAAAAATAAATAACTTACTCCGAATGAACGACTAAATCCAACAATTGCATGTTTCGTAGCTGAATAAATTGGATAATTAGGCAATGCTTGAAGACCAGCAACTGATGAGACATTAATAATTACACCACCTTTTCCACCAGTATCTCTGCCCATTTGTTGAGTCGCTAATAAACTTCCTCTAATGACTGCAGTCTATTTTTAAATCGAAATATAAATTCTCGAAATTGCCTTTTATTTTTTTAATTGTTTAAATTATTTTTTAAATACTTACAACATTAATATCAACAGCCTTGACAAAATTCTCTTCACTTGTAACTTCGGCATTATTTATTAAAATATCCAATCCACCAAGAATTGAAATTGCTTTTTTAAAAGTTGCTAAAAAAAAAAACATGCGATTTAAATTAAAGAAATTAAAATAATTTAAATAATTAAAAATTAAAATAATATATTTAAAAGTATAAATAAAAATATCGTATACCATCGAATTCTGAATTTTTTGTCACGTCACATTGCAAAAATATAGTTCGATTTTTTCCAAATTCTAAATTGAGCTTATCCACAATTGATTTTCCTATTGATTCCTCAACATCCACAAGAATTACAATCTGTAAATAAAATAAATGTAGAATTTGTATTTAGAGAAAGCACAAATGTGAAAATATTTTTTTAAAAAAAAATCCAAATACCGCTGCACCATTTCGTAAAAGTTCTCTACTAAAAGCCAAACCTAAACTACTAGCTGCTCCAATAACAATAGTTTTCTTATCTTTTATTTGCATTTTTTAATTTTAATTCTAACACTTTTTTTTTTGCAAAAAAATTTATCATAATATTGTAACATAAACACAGTGCATTATTAAATAATTAACGAAAACTTGACCTCATTACAAAAATAAAATTAAAAAATAATTTAGAAATATATCTTTGCAATTTAATAACTGAAATCAAGAAAGACTCTCGCAAAACTGATACAAGAATCGTATGTTTTTGTGAGTTACCCTCTGATCCATGTCGTCATAAATGATTTTCAGTTAATTAAATATATTTATAGATTAATAATTAATTTTAATTAAATATATATATATATATATATACTTTTTATTTATACATATTTTTCAAATTCTAAATTCAAAAATAGATTTATAATTTTTACTCAAATATGAAATTAAATTTTAATTTTTTTTTGTCTTTTTAAATAATAAACTAATTAAGAATATAAAAAGAAATTATTCCTTATTTAAAATATACAAAAATCATATATAATTGTCATTTAAAAATTGTATGATCCAAGGAAAATGTCAAAAGTATTTTTTTTTTTGTAAAATAATTATAATTATAGATAAGAAATTATCCCAATATATATGATTTGTCTAAAAACAGACGCATGTGGGTCGTGAAGTTCAATATTAATTTATATCAACAAACAACGTCAATGTTCGACATGTTATCAATGAATTGTACTTGAAAATAATTTTTTAAATAATAGTTAATAAATTAAAAATATCTACATCTAAAATTTTTCTATTCGAAAATGACGTTCAATGTCTTTGTTGCATCAAAGTGAAACGTCATTAATATTTAAAAAAAAAAAAATTTCAAAACTAAATTTCGGAAAATTACTTTCTATACACTGGGTATATACTTGCATACCGGGTGTAACTTTTCAGAAAATAATTATATTTAAAGAATATAATAGTAATTATAGCTAAGAAGAAATTGAATAAATTAATAAATACTTACCAAAAAGCGAAATAGTTATTTCGAAAAAAAACGCAATTACAATTTTGACATTTTTTATCTTGTCTTTAATTATACTTTATATGTAAGACAGATATAAAATTACAATATAATCTTGTATTTTAATTATTAAAATCACTTTCTTTATAATTTTATAAGGATTTGACAGCTGTCAAATTTTAGGTTATAAACAAATATTTCATTTTATTAGTTGCAATAAACTTGGGTTTTCCTCTCAAGTATTTAACGATTAATTAATTAAACAACTAATTACTTTGTTACAAATAATTGACTACAACAATTAGTCTTTTATATTTATTTAATTTTTCAAAACAGTACTGTCAATTAGCACCACTAACCTATTCTAAGATGGCGAACAACTGGTGTCTCACTAAGAACGTCCGAAATGTGAAATTTTTGGAATGAGTCATTAATTATGGACGTTCTACAATTCTATTTAATCAGAGTTTTTCATGCACGGTTGGGTAAGTAAAATACCTTGAGCTGTTATTTGATTATTACATTAAATAATTTGTTTACTTTTATTTCTTCGTATTTTTAGTAATATATTACTTTTCTACAGTGTGTGAATTTCAAATTTTACAAATAAAACTGTTTTTTGTCCATAAATACAAAAATGAACTATGTGTCCTAACATTGTGTACTAGACTTTAAACTCTGTGATGTGAATGAACTTAATAAACTTTAGAAATATTATGTTTTTAATGAACTATTTTTACTTTTATTTATTTTTAAATTGAATGGCTAACAAATAGTCTCAAGTTTTGAAAGAATAATCATGTTTTTATGCATAAAAATAAATTGAAATTAAAAAAAAAAAGGAAAACTGACGCCATTGTGAAAAATAGTGATTAAATGCCCAACCCTGGTGATGTGGAAAACCAGAGGAAAATTCTTCTGGAATTTAGGAACACGCGAAGTTAATTTTCGGTAGCATCGCTGCTTCGCTTTTGCCGCTAAAAATATTTCATGAAATTTAGGCGCAGAAAGTGCTTTAAGTTTGAAAAGAGGAAAATTTATTTCAAAAGTGGTAATTAATGAGAATAATTGAAATATCTAATTGCGTTTATCAAGTGAAATATTCGTTGAAAAAAATTACGTTGTTTCTGTTCCAGACCAATGTCAGGCATTGCAATAGCTAGACTCGCAGAGGAAAGGAAGGCGTGGAGGAAGGATCATCCTTTCGTATGTGTTTATTTATTATTATCTAAATATTTATTTCTTTTATTTTCTCAAATGTTGAATATTTTCTTTTTTTTTTTTTGAATATCTTTTATTTTTGTAACATATTTCATTTTGTACAATTCACAGGTGGGAATGTTGTAAAGCATGTCCTTTATTAATGCACATGCTTGTAAACACAAATTATTATCTTCTTTTTACTATTTTTATCTATTTAGAATAATTCTCGAATATTTAAATACAATTTTATTCTTTATTTTATAATTTCTGTTGTAATTTTATTAGAAATAGTTTAAAGAATTTAAAAATTTGTCAATATAACCTCTTTGACACTTGCGCGAAATTCCTCTTGGTAACGTTTTACACTTGTTTGAATATTCAAATGAAAATTTTAAATTTATGTAATATGGAATAAATTTCATTTGTAAATGACTAATTGAGAACTATTAGATTCTTTTTTTTCGATTCTAGTGTATTGTAATTTTTATTAATTTTTTTTTTTTTTCTCTTTTTTTCACAGGGATTTGTTGCACGTCCGACAAAAAATCCAGATGGCACACTCAATCTAATGAGTTGGGAATGTGCAATACCTGGAAAAAAATCGGTAAGTTTTCTCTTTTTAAAAAAAAAATTTTAGAAATAGAAATGTATTAAACAAAATCAATAACAGTTACTTTGTATTAAATCCTTGTGAAAGTTTGTATTTATTTTCATTTAAACGTCGATTGTATACAAAGTAAAAATAAATGTTAAAATTAAATGTAAATAAACGATTTACTATTCAAATAATATTCAAAACAATTCATTAGTTTCGAATCATACAAATGATTTATTGTTTTAATTTTTAATAAATTTTTAAAATTATTTATTTTAGACACCATGGGAAGGTGGACTATATAAATTACGAATGATTTTCAAAGATGATTATCCATCAAGTCCACCAAAATGTAAATTTGAACCACCTCTCTTCCATCCAAATGTATATCCATCGGGAACAGTTTGCTTGTCACTTTTAGATGAAGAAAAAGATTGGAGGCCAGCGATTACGATTAAACAAATTCTTTTGGGTATTCAAGATCTTCTCAATGAACCTAATGTAAAAGATCCAGCTCAAGCAGAAGCTTATACAATTTATTGGTAAATAATTTTTTTTCACTATTTATTATTTTTTAAAACAAAATTTCGTTTCATTAAATTAATGTTTCTTTTTTTAAAAAATTTTCAGTCAAAATCGACTTGAATACGAAAAACGAGTAAGAGCTCAAGCGCGAGCGATGGCACCGCAAGAGTAGCTAGTCTACTAAAAAAATATCGATATACATTTCAGCTTTACAGGAATATAAAATTCTCGGGTCTCATTTCTTCTTGTACTTTTTTTTTTCTTTCATTTTTTTTTTTTATTAACAATTATTTTTTATGTTTGTGATATTATCCAATTTGATGAAGCAATATTGTTTATTCAAGTATCAATTATTTTTTATTTATGATAACGGAAAAAAAAGAATTTGTAAAATTCCCTCGAAATAATTTTTTTTTAAAACTGATTCACACAAAAAATAAGCTGAAAATGACAAATTTTTTCCTGTCTAGAGAAAAAAGAATAAAACTTGGGAATTTGACGAATTGCTTTTGTTCTTATAAGTGTAAATCAGAGAAAAATGTATGACATCTAATCGATATCTATTAAATTAATTTTTTTTTACAAGTTGCCTTTCACTTTACTTGTTTTTTTTTTTCTTTTTAAATGGAAATTTCGTTTTGAAGGACATTCTTTTATTATTAAATATAACAATGTTTGTAAGATCAGTATTTTCACATAATGAATAATGCGAATTCATTATTGTCGATTTTATTGACAACGAATTTATAGGCTTTTTTTTTTTCTTTTTTTGTGAAAATATAAACAGAACAAAGAAAAGCGATGAATCGTAATGATAAAATAAATAAATACTGATTACTCGGATGTGTAGTTATAGAGATCAGAATTTAGTATAGACATGATAAAACTAGTGTAAGCGATTATTCCATATTGTCAAATAATAGTCCTTTAAGAATGATGTTTTTAAAAGAAATCTTTACTCTGTTCTATGGAGTAAATATTTTTCCTACGTTTATATAAATGTAAGTTAAAGGCATTTTCTTTATAAATATTGGTTGAAATGATATTGGTCCATTGAATGAGACAAAGAAAATAAAGAGGAATTCGAAATGATGAGGAAAATTAGAAACCTAAGAAATCTTTTTTTTTTATATATATATATAAATATTAATATTTTGCATTTGACAAAAAAAAAAAAAACACAAACTACGATCGAAAGTGTTTATTTTTAAGAAAAATTATTTAAATGTCTGTTAAGTACCATAAAAATCTTAAGCAATTTAATAAACTCTCTATATAAAATATTGTTCTTTTTTTTAAATTAAGACTAAATCGTAAAAAAATCGAAAAAATTAAAATATAATTATAATAAAGAAAGACAATGTCAACTCAAAAAATATATTTTTGTCTAGTTTCAATTACATAGCATTGCTTGTGTGCTTTACATCAAATGAGCAATGATAACAATTCGAAAAATGTAATATTACAATACATAATTTTTGAAACCATTAAAAATGCAAACATTCAGAAAAAAAATTGATTTTTTTTTTTTTTTTTTTTATTGCATCAGTTCTTTTTCAACGTGAAACTATCAAATTATCACTTTATTATGGAAGCAATAAATAAATTTTTAAAATTTATTTTTACGCATTATATTTTAAAAATAATTTACCAATTTTTGTTGATTTTATATAATTTCATCAAAAGAAACTTAATTGGAAAAATTATTCAAATTTGTTTTAGAAAACAAAATACTTAGAAATTTTATTGTATTTTAAAATTATAAAAAAAAATCCAATGAGAAGTCTTTAAATATTTAATTATTTATAAATATGTATATCTACAATTTTCATTGCTCCCAAATCTTAAAAGCTCATGCTCAAATCTTCGCTTCACGTCGGCTATATATGAAATTTTCCAAATACAAAAGTCATATTGATATAATTATAAAATAACCAGTCTTCCTAAAAATAATAACTATTTAGATTTAAAGAAAACAACTATTTTTTTCTCTTCTACAAGTACAAAATAATATATAAATGTAAAATTAAAAAAAAAACAAATGTATAATAAATAGTATCACAAAAAAAAAATCGCAATTCACAAGAAGCAGTGTCATAGGTATATATAGCAAAAGATTTTTTTTCAATAAATTATTATTTACGCCTGCATAGCTAGACGTATTTCTCAAAGTAGCGGATTTCTTAAGTAATTATTAACTATTTTTTTTTTTTTTTTTTTTTTTTTTCATTTTTTTCCCTTTTTTTTAATGACTAGCGTCAACAACATGATAGTCTACATTATCGCTCGATTAATTATTATAAAATAATTAACGAGCGCAACACCAAAAAATCAAGTCAATTCTTGATAATTCAACTCTCTTTACTCAAATCAAAGTTTTCATTTTTATAGAAACTTCGAATAATTTTAATTTCAAAATTTTTCTATATAATTTTTTAATATATAAATACTGTTTTTTGTTTCCTTCCTAACGAATTCATTTTTACAATTTTGATTCTATAATAATAAATTTCCAAAAAAAAGATGACACCAATTAATTATTATAATTTTTATATAAATTATTTTGATCAATTAAAAATTGATTTTATAAAAAAAGTTTCTACAGAAAATTCAAAAAAAAAAAGCAAAGATTTTTTTTTCTCTTTAAATTTGATTTAAATTTGAAAAAAAATCTTTTTAATTTTTTTTTTTTCAATTTTCATTCATCAATATTTTCCAATTGATTGAAAATTCTTTTAGAATTTATTTTTCAATAAAAATTAATTTTAAGATATTCTGAATTTCTGTATTCGCATGTATAAAAGAAAAATTTGTTTTTTTTTCACAGAAATTTGGAAAAAAAAATTATTTTTTTGAGTATATTTTCTCGGAAAATATATATGTATATGTATTTATATATAGACAATCTCTATCGACGCTGTAAATACACAATTTCTTGAATCGTTAGCTATTAAAACGACCCATGTCAAGTGCATGTTTTTCTGCGTGATATGTCTTAAAAATTTGACTAAGAACTGGCGAAACTTCAGGATCGTTAATCCATAAATTTGTCGATGATGGTGTTTCCAAAATTGATAAATAAGCTAAAAAAAAAAAGAAATATTTAATTTAATTCTCTTTAAAAAATTGTATTTTAAAAACAAAAATCATTTTATCGAAAGAAATAATTAAATTAGAGAAATAATAATTCTACTGTAATTCTATTTGAAAAGAAAAATTTTAATTTTAAAAAATACTTTAAAAGAAAACTTTACCGTGTAAAAATTTTGGATTCGTGAGACTAAGTTGAATATGAGGATTGCTCATAATTGCTTTATAAATTGGCTCTTCTGGCTTAATTCCTTCGTCTAAATCCTGTAAACTTCGTCTCCTTTCGCCAAGCAACCATTCACACTAAAAAAAAAAATGAAAATTATTTAATTTTTATGATTCTATTCTAGGATTATTTTTCCTAGAAGAATTTCAAATAAATATTTCGCTTTCTTTTATTTATATAGAAATTTCCCTTACAGCGTTTGCTTGATTGTTTCCTGTGACTTTAAGTGCTTCAATAATTTTTTTCTCCTCAAATCCCATTTCCTGAAGTGACTGTACTATTTTTGGAGTTGGTTTAAATTCCAATTTTTTATATTGTCGGAAGCTCTCCAAGGTTAATGCAACAATGTTAATAAGATTTGGCTCAACTGACCCTGTTTTGTCTGAAAATAGAAAAAAAAGGATAAAATTAAATTTTAAGCAAAATTGAAAATATAATTTTGATTTTGAAATTTAATATAAACCTGATGTACTGGGATTAGCCATTAATGAATCTAAATCGAGAACAGGAAATTGTAAATCCTCATCGTCAGAGTCATCTTCATGTTCTATTAACCATTCAAGTGCTTCAGCAGTATTCATTCTAAACAGAAAAACGATATAAATTCTTTGTCGAAATATATTTGGTAAATTTACATTTCTTTTTGGAAAAAAAAAAATAATTTAAATTTAAAAATTCTAACTTTCGTAAGCGTAACGCTTTGATGACTTTATTTTCCGAGAAACCCATGTCCATGAGATATTTAACAGCTTTCTGATCGCTTGGCGGCTTATATCTTGTCTCTAATCTCTCTTTAATATTTTTATAAAATTTATCCGCATCTGGACTGTACATGAGAATTTTGGCCGATGCTTGTACAAGAGTTATTAAAATTTTGTGAATCTCTTGCTGAAACTAAAAAAAAAAAGAATTAAATAATGAATATTAAAAAATACATTTCAAAAATAGATATTTACATCAACTGGACAACTTGTATTTGGCATAGGTCGGGAAGGATTTTTTATTGGTAAATTTGCAGTTGCATTCATTATTTCGTCTTCGGTAGGTCCTTTTAAATTTTCTTTGGATAAATTTTCTTTACTTTCAAGTGGTCTGACTTCCGACAATAGAAGCTCATCTAAATAACAAATCTATTTTTAAAAATTCTTTAAAAAATTTTAAAAAAAGAGAGAATTTAACTTACCAAAATTTTGGCAGTCTTCTTCAGTTAATTTATGATCATCAGCAAGTGTTTTTAAATTATTTGCATGTATGAGACGAAAATTGGAAGCAGATTTAGAATCATCTTGTTCGTAAAAATGTTTCATTGCAATTGTTTTCACTTTTTCAATTGTAAAATCTGGTTTTACTGTTGTTTCAAAAACAGATCCTTCCAAACTAAATGTGAAATTTTTTACAATATTATTAAGTCATTATTTAATTCAAAATTATTTTATCAAGAAAAAGTGGAACCTTATTATTTTAATGGTAAAAGTTTCAAGTGTTGAGGACGATGCCAGGTGCATTGCGTTGTTACGATTGTCAGGAACCCCTGATCTGATGGAAGAAAGAATCAAGGACCTCCTCTGGGCCCTTGAACTCTTTCTGCTATGCCAGGCGTCCACAATGTGCTCCCGTATCCATGGCAACATTAAAGAATTCTGCAAAAAAAATTGCAAAATTCAACATTAATATTTACATATAATTTTTTGGTAAAAAAAAAAACTCTTACTAATTTGGAATAAAAAATTAGAATCATTTGGATTAATATTCCTCTAAATATTTTAATTTGATTCTATATTTATATTTATTTCCCTAACTGAAATTTATTTAAAAACAAATTTTTTTTCGTATATATTTAAAATATTCTTATTGGAGTAATAAAAAGTTATTCAATACAAAAACAAATACATTTTAAATTAAACCCCTTAAAAGAAAAGAAAAATTAACAATTTCTCTAAAGATAAATATTTGATAAAAGAGAAAAGTATACCTTTTTTTTGAGAGAGAGAGATAGATAGAATATGTGAATAATTAATTGTACCTTGTTATAAAGACTACAGGCAAAAATTTATTGTTGTATTTGACCATAATTTGGTCATAGTTAACCTTTAAAATATTTTGAAATAAATTACTAAAACGTGAAAAACTTTCATAATTGTTATAGACAAATATCACAAAAGGTCAATTTTTGCTTCATTTTTGGTTATGTTTTAATCTTCTTGTCAGAAATGAGAATTTTTGACAGAAAATTGACGAAATGACATGACAGCTGACTGCAGCTGACATATTTTTTTTTTTTTTTTGTTACACAAAATGTGGTTCAAAAAAATTCCTATAGATTTCGCTGAATAAAAATATTAATCCTTAGGGTACATTTAAGGTGCTTTTATACCTCAAATTTCGATCAGATGTCTGGACCGTGAAAATGCGTGAAAAGTCATTTTCACGGCGGGTATTTTTGAATTGTTTTAAACAAAAAATGTTTTTTTTAAGAAATATAATATTAAATAATTGGTTAAATATGTAAGAACACTTTAAAATAGTAATAGAAAGATGATTTGATTGAAAAATTTAGCATATTTTGCTTAAAAACGTTTTCTGCTACAAGAAAATGTAAAATGACGATGTTTGTGAAATGGTTTGTACAGTGCTTCTTCCTTGTGAGCACTGTACAAACCATTTCACAAACATTGTCATTTTACACTTTCTTGCAGCAGAAAACGTTTTTAAGCAAAATATGCTAAATTTTTCAATCAAATCATCTTTCTGTTACTATTTTAAAGTGTTCTTACATATTTAACCAATTATTTAATATTATATTTCTTAAAAAAAAACATTTTTTGTTTAAAACAATTCAAAAATACCCGCCGTGAAAATGACTTTTCACGCATTTTCACGGTCCAGAAATAATGTTCATCTGATCGAAATTTGAGGTATATAAGCACCTTTACATTTGTGTTCGTGAATAATGAGTTAGAAAGAAATGGAATATTATTTGTCCTTTACTATCACCTATACGATTGTGGCGCTGTGGACAATTATAGAAACAAAATTATAATCAAAAAATAATTCCACTCCTACCACTGTAGTTTATTTTTTTTAACAACCGTGGCGTAAAAAAATGATCACGTGATCATTTCTTAATGTGTTTATATATGTGTGTGTATATATACATATGAGAGAAAAAGAAAATATTTTCCCAAAGAATCGTTGATCATTGTTTCTAACCTTTTTAAATAAATTGAATTGACAATTTAAATTAACGAACAGCTTGTAAAAAATTTACTTTGTTATTTACCTATGAATATTGAATTCTGCACGCAATGGAGTATCAAGGTTTATAATTTTTATATAATTATTATATATTTGTTAATATAATAAAAATGTTTTAAATCATTTCAATTGTCTAAACTATTTTTATCATATTATTGACATTTATGCATGTATTTACAATAGTTTATAATTTATTAATTTTTTTAATTAGTTTTCAATTAGGAATTCTACAATTTTTTTTTCTTTACTTATTTGAGACTTGAAAGAATCGATTGACTATTCTTTGTATGTAAAAATGTTATATTTTAAAAAATAAGAGAAAGAAAAGTGTTGTCATACTATATAACCTAAAGTTTTTCAATTTTTTTTTACCTTTTTCAAAAATAAATTTTTTATTGTTAAAATAAACAATTTTCTACTTTTAGATACGACCAAGAGTGATACTAATGACAATTGTAATTCAAGTCCCTCTTCTGAAGTAATAACAAATGAAAAAACTAATGACAATTCGTCAAATAATACATTTGACACGTGTATTGATAATACAATAAAAGCACAAGATGCTACTGCAACTACCTCAGATAATAAATCGGAAGAGAACATAGACTTCAAAGTTATTTATAACAAGCAAAAGATTAATGTCAATTTTCAACCGGATGGTACAGTATTGGAATTGAAACACTATCTTCAAAATATAATATCCGTACCTGAAGCTATGCAAAAAGTGATGTTCAAAGGTTTAGCCAAGGACAATCAAACATTGAAAAGTTTAGGAATAGTTAAAGGTAAAAAAGAAAATAAAAGAAAATAAGGTTTATTAAATTAAAAATTAATTTTTTTTTTAACAGGTGCTAAAGTTATGATAGTTGGTTCTAAATTGGACGATGTTTTGGCTGTGACAATTCCAACAAAACATGAATTTGCTGATGAATCTACAAGTGCTTCAAGTAAAGAACCATTGTCGCAACAAAAATTACATCGAAAAGTTTTAGATAAGGGTATTCCTGAGGATGCAATGCCCGGAATTTTAGATTCTAAGGTTTACATTTAAAAAATAATTTTTTTTTGTTAATTAATTTTTTCACGCTTATTTAATTGAATTTATTAATGTTTTACAGGAGCCTTTGCCTGATGTCCCATTGGCTGGAATGCTTAATAAATCAGGCGGTAAAGTAAGATTGACATTTAAATTAGAAAATGACCAATTATGGATTGGCACAAAAGAAAGGACTGAAAAAATTTCAATGAATTCGATAAAAGGTGTTCACAGTGAACCAATTCACGATCATCCAGAATATCACATAATGGTATTTAAAATTTTCACTCAAAATTGATTAAAAAAATGGTTTTTAAAATTTATCCAAAAAATTAATTTAAAATTATTAATTATTGTTTCCTACAGGCTATTCAACTAGGTCCTACCGAAGCATCAAGGTACTGGATATATTGGGTTCCCGCACAATACATATCAGCTATCAAAGATGCAATTCTTGGTAAATGGTGCTATTTTTGATTGAATTTTCATAAATATTTCATATCGTAACATATTAAGGGTAAAAAAAAAAAAAAAAGATGTATACATCGAGATAAAGGACTGTCCTAGTCATGCATAAAACGATAATTGAAATATTAACTTATTGCGTATTAAATTTATATTATGTAGAATCGGTTGCGATTTATTTCTATTTTATCGATCTATACCTGAAAAATGTACTAAAAAAAAAAGAATCAGTACATTTTAAGGTAAAATTGATTTATATTGTACCGTTTTGTTTTTGAAACAAAAAAAAATTATTTTAAAAAATATTCACGTTTCTTTTGTTTTTGCAAAAAACTGTTTTGTCAACTATAAAAAGAAACAGTCTTGTTTATGATTATAGTTTGAAACTAATCTGACTAAGAAACGTAATCTAATCTACAATAAATTATTTGTAATTATTTGTATAATTAATAAATTATAAAAAAAAAGTAACTGCCTTTTTTTAACATAAAAAAAAAAATCCAGATTTAAGGAAATTAAATATTTTTTTTGTGAATTTGAAGTCAGTTTTCTATTTTCAACAGTAACAGTTGAAATTGATATAAAAATATAAATAAATTTTTCACATTATTATGTACTAAATGCTTAACACATGAAATTAATTGTTCTAAATTTGTACATGTTGAATATGTTGATAATAATGGTAATTTTTCCGTTGTTATATGAGGATAAAATGTTTTAACTAAAGTATAATTTAATTTAAAGCTATTATTTTTGTTTTTATATTCTTCCAATTCATTTAACATATTTTTTGGAAGAGCATAATAAATTCTACAGGGGATATTTTTAGTTTTTAAAATTTCTTTACATTCATTAAGTTTTGAGAAAATTTTCTCATAAACATAATCAATATTTTTATTACCCATTTCATAAAGATAAAAATCTTGTTTTAATTTATATTTATATTTTTCACCACTTATATATGTTTTATGTGTATTTTTCAAATGTAATAATCCAGTTGGTATTGGATATGTTGAAGTTGTAAATACATGAATATGTGTTAATTGTGGTTTAACTTTTAATTCAAATGCAAAATGTGATGTTAATGGCAAAACACCGGCTTGATGAACAAAACCATAAAATATCGTAAATATAATATTAAATATATACCAAATTAATTCCAATTTTCCAATACCATTTCTATGTTTTTTTATCTCTTTCTGTTTTCCATAATTATTCTGTCTGGAAGGCACTTTATCTAAATTATTTTTTAAATATGGTGTACATAGAAACACTAGTGGTAATAATATTGGAATTATAAATCGTGGCTCTTGATGGGGAAAAATTGACAACAGTAAAACAGGAACGATAAAAGATGACATCATTAAGCCATTGATGTTATTAACACGAGGAAGCTCCAACCATCGACCTTTTAGAGCTCTAAAATAGAAAAAATACTATTCTTAACTAATTCTTTCCATATTAATGAAAAAAATAAAATATATATAAATATACCTGTACAACATTTTTCCAAACAAGAAAAGTCCCATAATTCCAAGAACATTAAACAATAATGGTATATTTATTAAAACATGTAAAAATCTTGAATGTAATCCATGTTGTTCGAGATTTTTAACAATGGCATTATATTTAATGAAATTAACTGGTGTTACTACAAAATTATTCATACTAATATCAATATTTAATATTTCGCCAATTGTCCAATAGCCATAATAAAAGCTATCGATAAATATACAAAATAAAACAGTTGGAATTCCATAAATAATGAATATAAAAATTCTAATGTGAAAATCTAAAAAACCAATACTCTTTGAACCAAGTCCTCTATTAAGCCAAAAAAATATTGGTGATAATGCAAATGCAATAAATGTCGGCCGATTGAAAATACCAAGAACAGTTAATGTTGCAATTATAAAACAATCATTCAATGAATGTAATGGCAATGATGAACGTAATTTATAATATTTTGTACGTTCAGCACCTGTTTTTGCTGCATCATAATATTCTGACAAATGATCGTCTTCAATAATTACCTAAAAAAAATTAATATTAATTAATGTAATTAATTTTCGAAATAAAATTTTTATCAAATATAATTTTTCTTACTCTTTTAGAAAATTCCATACAACGAGCCACGTAGAATAATAGTAAAGAGATAAGCGTAAGTTCAATTGAATTTGAAAATGTACGTGACATGTAACACATCATAATATAGGAACTTGCGTGAATTATCAAACGTGCTTTATAAGGCTGATTCCATATACGACAAATTTTATAAAGACAATAATCAGATATAAATGAAATGCTGCACATTAAAAGACGAGGAAATAGTAAAAGATAATATGGCGTTCTTAATGATATTCCAAATAGATAAAAAATAAAAGGAGCTAGAATTTTGAAAATTAAGTACGAAATTCCTACAGTAATTTGAGGAAATACAATACTGCGTACAGGAAAAGATACATTGTATTCCCATGGTTTATATACATCGATGTCAAAATGATCACCTACAAATGGAAACCAGTTATTAAAATACATAAAAAAAAATTGAAAATTATTTTAAAAAACCATTTTATTTAATAAAAAAATATATTTTTAATATATAAAAATAATAAATTGCAATAGAAAATACCTGATACAATTTCTATACTTTGGAAAAATTCATCAGGATGAATATAACCAGTTTGAGGTATTATATTTAATAAAATGCGTATACTAGCTAATATCCAATAAACTGTTATTGCATCATCATATGATAAAATATTTTTATAATATTTATTAAATAGTAACTTTGTTTGCCATATATTTGATTGTTTTTCTATTGTTTTCTTATTTCTTGTCATTTTTAGCCGGCCACCAAACAAAACAACATTAGGGGTTAAGATAGCAAGAAAGGTTGTGACGTGAAAATATCAGACTTGTCCACTACAATTTCTGGACAAAATTGCAGAGCAATGAGATAGAAAGAGACGGATATATTTTTATCCATTGAAAATCACCTTTATGATTATGTGACATTTCAGATCATTTACTGCAATTATTTTGAACCAACAATCCTATTAATCAGTGTTGGGAAACGTAATATAAGATACAAAATATAATCATTTTTTACTTGAAATTTTTAAAAAATGATATCAAACTCTTTGTGTATAATGAATTTTCATATTGTATATTAATTGTTTTTCATAATTAACATATGCATATTAAGAATTTAATGTAAATATTATTAAAATCAATTACATGACGCGCCCTACTTTTTAATCAGGGTTCAGAAACAATAAACAAAGTTTCATTTCATCTGTTTTTGTGATTATAATACCAGATTCAATATTGAAATATACAAATATTTATTTGTTGGTACAAAAAGAAATATACATTAATAAATAGTTGCGTAAAAATAAGCAATTGACATTTGACAGGGTTGAGTTGCAACATTTGAATAAAATCTATTTTTACGTGGAAAACTTAATTTAAATTATAAAAAGTAAATATATTTACTTATTTTATAATTTAAAATTTAAACAATAGTAGAATCTATCATAAAAATTTGATGGTAAGTTGTAAAAATTAAAATTTTAATAAATATGATATTGATAATTACTTCCCATCCCTGATTAATCGTCCGCAGCGCCATTTATATACTTTCGCTACAGTGTTGCGGAGCACAGTTTGAGAATTTGTAGTCTATTTGACGAGTGTTGGAGTGTGAAAGCTGTGGCTTGGTAGCGAGTGTTGAGTTTCAAAGTGGTGTTCAAAATTTAAGAGTTTTTTTTTTTTAATATTCTTATCTTTTCCTTAAAGAAAAGTTAAATCAACGGAGAAATGGTATTAGCGGAAAGAAATTCAGAAAGTCTACGAAATGGACGAAGATCAAGAGGTCCTAGTCCTAATGGGCAAACTGATTCTTCCAGCGATGAAGACGGAGGTTTGTATTTGAAAATTTAAGTTCTATGCTTGTGTACATTATCTTTAGATTACAAAAATTCTTAATAGTTTCATTACTTTTATTATACTGCAACATGAAATATTATATAAAATTATATCTTACAATAGCAATATATTTTTCAAAAATCCAATATTATGAAATTTTCAAGTTTTTAGTATATACTACAGAATTTGAAAAAAATATCACATCACATTCACTTGTAGTAAGATATTAATTTTAATATTACTTTTCCCTTTATTTCATTTTAAAAATTATTTTCTTTTTCAAACAAAAATTAAGACAGTTATTTTTAGTTAATTTATTTTTTTTTTTTTTTGAAATATATTTTTTAACAAATAATTGTTATGTAATTTTGCGCTATAAATTTTTTTTTAAATAAACAAAAACAATTTTAAAATATTTAATATTAATAAATTTTGTTCGTTTTGGTAAAAAATGGATTTTTATTGATTCTTTATTTTAGCTCATCTGGAATGTGTTGCGATTCAAACTGTTGTTACGCACATGAACTAGATGACAAACTCAAAACGTTCTCGATAAATCCATTGTATGCTTTATAATATCTACAGGTTATAATTTCTATTTTTAAGAAAATATATCACAAAGATGAACATTTCTATCAAAAATTATAAGAATAATATGAATTTGAATGTTATAATTAAAAAAAAAAAAAAAATAATTAACAGTAACAGCAAAATATTTCATCAGTAAATATAGTAAATTTACTATCAAAATTAGAGACAATATTCATTGTTCATTTTTTTTTAGAGATATAAAACATAAAGAAATTCATTTGATAATTAACAAAAATATTTATGGGGAAATTTATTACTGAATTGAAATCAAATTTTTTTTCCAGCGTAAAATTCTATTATTCAAGCAAAAAAAAAAAAAAAAAATACAACTCATATCCTTAGATATGAAAATTTCATTTAAATGTATATAATCTTAAAATACACGTATTTTATTGTGCGTAAAATCAACATTAATATTCTAAAGGCCCCTCATAAAAAATATTTTTAATTAAATTTAACTATTTTAACAAAGACAAGATTAAATAATTTTAAAATAGTAAATCACAGTGAAAAATGTAATAGTTTTTATCAAAACAATTTGCATTCAAGTTGTATAGAACATTATTTTATTTATTAATTAAAAATTATATATAAAATATTTATTCTTTTATTTTAAATCAATTTTTCTCTACAGTTCCTGCGGAAAAAATTCGCGTTGGTCGAGATTATCAAGTTATAGTTCCGGAATTTATTCCACTCAATGGTAATTAATGACTAAATTTTCTTAACAATTTCTTATTAAATATAATTTTTTTTCTTAATTATAATCTTTTAATATAATTATTTCGATTAAAGAGAGATCAAACAAAATAAAAACATAAAGGATATTAGAATTTAAATATTTGTCAATTAACAAAAAACCGTTTAATAAGATGAAAATTTAAAATAATTTTTTTTTTTTATTAATAATAAGATAAAATAATTCAAATATTCGCGCGCTTCATGTTGAAGAAATGGCGGCGCTCCCGTTTTTTCATGAACGATTATACAAAATTTATAATCATTCACAAATAATAATTTCAAATAAAATTTTGTTAGAAATTTATTTTGCATTTTTTTTTTTTTTTTTTTTTTTTTTTTTTTTTTTTTTTAATCATCTGCTATGATATTTTGGTTGATTCTCTTTAAATTTTATTTACTTGAATTTAATTAATTAATTAATGTTTAATAAATTTATTAATAAATTGAGAAATAAAATGCGTTTTTTTTTTAGAGAGACGATTAGATCAATGTCCTGATAGAGCCTTACTTGTTTGGTCACCGACTGCCGAAATACCCGATCATAAATGTAATTATCAAAAGATTTAAAAAATTTAATGTTCTATAAATAATAATAATAATATATTATTTTTCTTTTTGCTTTTAGTGGATGAATATATAATATTAGCAAAAGAAAAATATGGTTATAATGGAGAGCAAGCTTTAGGTATGCTATTCTGGCATAAACATAATTTAGAACGTGCAGTGTTGGACTTAGCAAATTTTACTCCATTTCCTGATGAATGGACAGTTGAGGATAAAGTTTTATTTGAACAGGCTTTTCAATTTCATGGTAAAAGTTTTCATCGCATTCGACAAATGGTGAGATATAATTTTTTTTTTTTTCTTTTATTTTTTGCGTACAACTATTTTAATTTTTAAAAACATTTATTGAAAACTAATTTAAATTAATTTTTTTTTCTATGTAAATCAATTAATTTTGATATTTTAAAATATTAAAAAATATTAGTAAAATTGTAATAATTATAATATGTAATTAATTCAGTTAATATTTCTATAATTTAGAAGAGATTAAAAAAAAAAAAATTCTCAAATTTTAATCCATTGTTACAGCTTCCTGACAAATCAATTGCAAGTTTAGTAAAGTATTACTACAGTTGGAAGAAAACACGAACTAGGACATCGTTGATGGATAGACAAGCACGAAAACTAACAAATAGTGGTAAAGAAGGAGAAAATGGTAGTGAAAATGGCAGTGAACTTGGTTCCAACACGGATAGTGAGTCTGAAGAAAAAGTAAGATCATTACATATTATTTAGTGTCTAATAAGATTTATTCTAATTTTTGTTCACAAAATATATTTGCCTTTGACACGTAAAAAAGGTGAATAAAACAAATAAATAAATAAATTTATATATATATATATATATATATATATATTTATTTATTTATTTTGTACGTTAAAGACTGCGAGAAAAATTTATGAAAAAAAAAATATTTTTGTCATTAATTTTGTTACACAATTTAGATCTGTGATTTTTTTTAAAATCATACATGTATATATAATTACTGACATTTTTATTTAGTTGAGATACTATCAATTATTTATATAATTGACTATTATATAGAAATACTTTGATAATCATAAGAATGACCATTTTTAATTTTGACACACGATTATTTAAGACAAAACAAAATTGCAAATATTGCTCTGAAATCAATTCTTTTAAAACAAAAATTATTATTTCGATATTTATAATAATGCATAGACAAAGACAAATAGAAATAAAAAAATTTCATTTAAATGCAAATTTTTAAATAAACATTGGTCTTATTCACGATATTGAAAGGTCACGATAGGAAAAAAAAAGAGAATATAGAAAATTATGTCGCGCCCTATATTCAGCAATAGTAGATTTTATTGTTTTATTAATAAAAATATGACAAATAATAATAGCAATGAGTAAATGTTAAGAAATATTTTGTAAATTATATATATTATTATTATTATTATTATTTGATTTATTATTTTTGTTCTACGTCACAAAATAAAACTTCACAGAAAGTTTCTTATAAATGTTTCGTTTGCAATTAATAATTTTTTCTTTTTTTAAAGTCTCCTTAATTTCCTATGCGATTTAAGGGTTTTACTTTTTATTTATTTAGCCACCAATAAATAATAATTAATCGTGTTTCACGCGATAAACAAAAATAACGAGGCAAATTATATTTGGAAAAAAAGCGATTAAATTTATTTTTTTTAATCGATTTTTCCATTGGTAAATTAATTTAACGAATCCCTGACTTTTATATAATTTAACGAAATCCTAAAAACACATTAATATGGCCATTTTTCCTCTTATTACACTTGGGGTGTCAATAAGGCCATTCTTGGTCTCAAAAACGGATTTCGTTTTTCTTTTATATCATATAAATATTTTATAATTTTTTTTTTATTATTATTTTAAAATATAAGAAAAAATGGTACAAAAAAAAATTCGTAGTTAAAATTTGACGTTTCGTGTGATTATATAAAAATGTCGTTTATTAGGAGAGAGGAAAATTTAAATATAGTCTCTGGGAGTTGAATGGAGTCCGCATAATACCCTTATTGACACCCATCCTTTTTTATTTCATTTCGTTAACAAATATTTCATTAAAAAAAAAAAAGCGATTACAATTAATTTTAATTTATATATGTAGATTTAAAAAAAAAATCGTTCAGAATTATACTAGCCTTGAAAATAATTTTTTTTTATTGCACTTGTTTAGAATGCTTTATATAATTAAAAATCATAATAAAATTTTTTTTTAAATTATTTTTTACTGTGAAATTTTTTTTTATTCCCTTTATTTATTGTAATTTTGTTAAATATAAAATGTTAACAAAATGAGGTAAAAAAAGCGAGTTAAAAATAAAGGGTGTTATGTGTTATAGGGGTCGTGTAGCAACTGCGGCGTTGCTTGTCATAGCGTTCGTTCTACACCCAAGGGACACGCGTGTCATAGCTGCTATCTGCACTGGAGGTCAGTGAATTTAACTAAATCTTTGTTAATAAGAAAAAAAAATTTTTGTTCATTTCTTTTTTTAATTAATATGTGGGTCTTTTTCAAGTAATTTGAAATTTTTCTTTTTTTTTTTTGGTAAAAATTATCGTCAATTTTGTATAAATTGGAGAAAAAAAGTTAATTAATAAAAAAAAAGAGACTTTAATTTTTCCAAGTTAATTAACAGAAAATGTTTACAAATTACTTTTTTTTTTTCAAAATTTAATTGAAAAATATTTGATAATGTAGAAATATAATTTTTATGAGCTTTGATATTTTATTTTTACATAATTTTTTTTCGATATTTTTTTAGTTATTTGAAAATGACTCATAAAATAGGGAGAAAATTTTTGTTATTTATTTATTTTTCTTTTTTTTATTTTTTTTTTTGTAAAAGGCGAAATTGATGGAGAATAACTTACTTGATAATTTAGGCGCACCGGTGTCGCAAGGCCATTGAGTTCTATGCCAGGTCGTACAAACAAAAGAAAACCTCCACGTGGACTGGTAGTTAATCATGACGATTTGGCAGCATTAGCAGGTCAACCGAATCAAACCAACAACAGTCTGCAAGCAATTGAAACAGAAATCGTTAGTCTCAAACGACAAGTACGTTATAATATGTGTAAACGGTTGTTTTTTTTTTATATATATAAAAGTCACGGGGATTAATTTTTTCGCAATAAAGAAAGCAATTCTTTGAAATATTTTAAATTAAAGAAATTAATTTTTAAAAATTAATAATTTTAAAAAACAAAAATTGTGAAATTTGAAAAAAAAGACATTCAATATCGGTGGACAAAAATGGGATATCAGAGCAATATTATTATTAAGGTCTAAATATAAGTCTTAAAAAAAAAAAATTATAAAATAATTCAGTATTTTTTGCACAAAAATTAATAAAAGATAAATAATTGTATTTACAAAACAGATTCAGTCAAATAAACAGCAAGTCAGTGCATTGAAACGTAAAACAACAGACGGAATTGATGATTTACGACCACCAGAAGTTACAAATCGCATAAATGCACGATGGACAAATGATGAATTATTATTGGCCGTTCAAGGTGTTAGGAAATATGGCAAAGATTTTGCAGCAATTGCAGATGTAATTGGAACGAAAAATGAATCACATTTAAGATCCTTTTTTGTAAACTATAAGAGAAGGTATAATCTTGATACAGTGCTTAAAGAATATGAGGCAGAAAATGGTCCAATTTTAATCGATGACGAAAAAGAGGAGAAGGTGAATTTTTCATGTTGTTTTTTTTTTTTTTTTATAAAAATTTTGTAACTGAAAAAAAAATTGTTTTATTTTTATACTAAAATTTTCTTTTTATTTACAGATGGAAGTCGATCAATTTTCAAATAATGAAACAGCAGAAACATCCCAAAAAGCAAAATCTTCTAGTGGAGTAAATCCATCAACAAAATAACAAATAAATTATATTTCGAATTCTTTTAAATATGAGAAATCGATTTAAATTTAAGTATATAAAATAATTATTTTATCTGAGAGCTTCTGCTGTGCATGTAAGTCTACTTTTGAATTTTTATGTAGCACCACGTGGAAAGCTATTTATGAAAGATTACCTTTCACATAAATGTAGCTATTATTGTCATCTTTATTGTTTTTTTTTTTCTTTAAATTTGGAAACATCATATAATTGACTACAATTACAACTCTTATATTATGATTGAAGAAATGTTACAAGAATTTTTAATCTTAATAAAAGAAGAAAAAATATTACAATTATGATAGAGAATTTATATTCAAATTGATGCAATATAATTTTCTAATATTTCTGAATATCACATTTAAGATCCATTTTTTTAAAAAAGCAATTTGAATATATTCTTTTATTTATGTTATAATAATCTTTATATTTAACTTGTTTAAATACCTGTTTCTATTTCAAGATAGTTAAAATTTTTATCTTCTGTAAAATTATTATGAAACATTAAAATTTGAGATTGCAAGAGATAATTTAAAGTATTTTTTTAAGAGGCCACTCCATTTTGTACAAAAATCTAGAATTTCATTTTCTTGGATTTTTTTCTATTAGCATTGACTTATTTAATATTATTTCTTATTTTTGTGATATTATCAAAAATTATTGTAATATTACAATTATATTATTATTAATATAGTAATTAACTATAAAAAAAGAATAATAAATTTTATAAAATTTGACGAATATAAAAAAATTATTTTTCAAAATTCATAATGACGAATTATATTGGTGTGTCCTCTTAAAATGTATATTCTACAAGATTTTAAGAATTATGAACGAGATTGTCATAAAACATACTCAAAAATTACTTCTAACGCAGTGATGTTTAACAAAGAGAAAAAAAAATGTAATCGACTAGTATAATTTTTTGGCATAACCTTTAAAAAACAAAAAAAAAAAAAAACCAAAAGTTTAGAAATTTAATGGAGATAAAATATTATATATTAGTGGTTCAACATGATTGTTTTTTAATGTGTGAGAATCATCAATCGTAAAAAAAAAATGATAATGTATCATTTAGCCTCAAATTATTTTTCAGATCCCTTTATTTTTTTTTGCAATATATAGAAGAAATTTTATTATGTAAGTTAGAGGATGCAAAAATTTTTGTTAATTTCACATTCTATATAAATATATATTTATGTGTAGATTTTGGCAAAAATAAAAATAAAAGGGGGAATTAAATGTGAAAAATCTGAAAATTTTGAGGAGAAATGAACAAATATCGAAAGTAAACCTTGTGAATATAAGTAGAATTACTTTTTAAGTCGTGTAATAAAATTACAAAAAGTATATTATTCCTTCTAAGTGTTGTTTGAGGTGCAAAATTGTACCCAATTCTGCTCCTCCCCTCTCCCCTTAAAAATAAGTATCTTTAGCATGTAATATTTTATATCTCATTAATACCTAAAATGGATTCCAAAAATTGTAAGCTACTGTTTCATTTGCAATAGATAATACATCTACTTTTCTCGTAAGGTAGAATTTTTGTTTTTTTTTATCTATCAAATATATATATATATATAAAAAAATATTTTTAAAAATAATCTTTTTTCAATATTGTATTCAACAATTGAAACAATAGCATTTATTGAATCCATGCGAATAAAGGGTGTTTGCCTCAAATGGGTACATCTATGTCTTTAAAAGTTAAATAGAAAAAAAAAAGAAAACTATTCTTTAGGCATTTGTCGATTATTACAATAATTATATCTATTTCTCGATAAAACAAATGTTTATCGATGAAAACAATTTTTTTTTATACCTAATTGTTGATAAAATATTTTTATCAATTTTTCGGTTAATTTTTTTAAAACTGTTTCTCTTTTTTTTTTATTGATAAAAATTTTTTTATCCTTTGTTGTAAATATTTTTTTTACTCATGGTGATAAAATATTTTTATCGGTACAATTTTTTTTAACTATTTTTTTTTGTTCAATTTTATTATAAAAAAAGAAAAGATAAATTTGCACATTTCATTGACAAATGAGAATTTTTCAGAAATAAGTAAATTTGAGTGACAAAGGAGAAATTCATCAATTTTCTTTCGTTATCAGCAAATAGTAAAAATAATATTTGATTCTTTCGACAGTAAAAAAATTAAACACTGTTAATTATTTCAAAGAGATTATTCCAGTTAATTTGATATTAAAATTAAAATATATTTTTTTTTATTAATTTAATTCGAAATTTAATTGATGAACAATCCTTTATTATTATTTATAATTGAGCGTTAATTTTCTTTTTTTTTTTTTTTTGGGAAAATGTTTGAAAATTGTAGTGAGTTAATTAATTAATACGCATTTTTGTAAAAAAAAAAATTATAAACTTCTAAAATATAATAACTTAATATAATTGAAATGTCTTTTTTTTTTATTAATATCACTGATTCTTGTTCAATCATTTAAATAACTAAACCAAACTCGAAAAATACTAAAAAATTATTTTTTACCAATTTTATTTAATGGCAATTTAAAAAAAAATATATTTCAAGTTTTAATAATTATTTACTTAAACTATGGTAATAATTAATTAATTAATAAAATAGTCGAAAAAAAATCGTTTTTACAATTTTTTTGGATTTTTTATAAGTTTCTTCCAATTTTAAGAAATTATTTTGAAAAATAATTGTAAATTTTTACAAAATGTAAATTTTGAATTTAATGTAACAAAAATTGCCAACTTTAAACGTTTTATTGAGAAGAAAAAAATAATTTCTTTTTTCAGAAATATTTTAAAATCAATCATTCGAAATTATTATTTTCAATGCAGTACAAAATATGATTTACATATGTCATAATATAAATATAAATATATATGCATTTATATTTATATATAGTGCATTTTGTGTCTCATGTACGATAGATTCTTTCGCAGAGGGTTTGCAACATGAGAATGTGCAACCCCTTTGAACTACGAGTTTTCGGTAGCAATCTTCTATTATATATACATATATATATATATCTCAAAAAGCATCATATGTAACTTGGGGGTGTGCGCATTCGCGAAGAATGGATCGATTCTGGAAATAGCACGGGGCGGAGAAGTAAGTCGGGTTAGCTTTCGACTGACAGGTCCTGTGAGATTCGACAAATTCTATCTAAACGTTAAAGAATAAAAGAAAAAACGGTCCATTTCTTATTATCATTAAAAAAAATAATAATAATAATTTACTAGAGGTTCGTGTTAATTTCAATTAACAATTTTTATTTTACTTTTTCGCTCTTAAAACTGTCTGTGTTATATATTTGAAACTTAATTTTCTTTCATTCTTTTTTTTTTCTTTTAAATTATAGTTGAAATAACGATATGTCACGGAAAAAATGTTTACAAATCAAATGTGGCTGATGAAGCTCAAATTGTAAGTAATAATTTTTAAAAAATTTTCCACTCAACCTTGACTTTTTAGCCGGGTTTATATAGTATATGTTAGGTGACCATCACTGATTTTAAACGGAATCTTTTTGAAGTTATAAAATTAGGTCATAAGGGTCGAATGACGAAAATCAGATGTTCTAATTGATTAAATATTAATAAAATTTGTAAAACAAAAATAAAAAAAAATCAAATTTTCTTTGTCCTTTCAATTAATTTTCATTTTTAATTGATGAATCTTTGTCTCAAAAATTATTACGCTGAAACATTTCAAAAGATTTTTTGAGTCGCCACTGCGGAAGTTCAATAATTATTGAGTATAAAAGGAAGAGAAGAGTCAATCTTTAGAATTAAATTTACAGGTGTTTTATAAAAGTGTTAAATTATTGATCATTGTAATTATGTAATAATTGTGTAAAATTAAATAAAAATCAATAAGTATCTACTAATATATAATACAATCATAATTATTATGTAATAATAAATTATTATATTAAATTTTTTAATTAAAAATTATAAATATAACAAAAATTTGATTATTAATATTCCGTTTGAAAAAGTAAGGGTTGACAATTTTGAAAAAATTACACAATCATCCCAACAAAGATGATAGAGAAAATTTTCAAATTTATTACATCTTATTAATAATTAATAAGTTATTTTTCCACTTTTTAACTTGATTTTCTTTCTATTCTTCTATATTTTTAAATATATTTCTAAAAAAAAATTTATAAATTACAATTTTTTTTTTTTTAAATGAAAATGCGGAATTTGATTCTTCAGTTTGATTAATCAATTTTGTTTTGAATTTAATATTTAAGATATACTTGATTTAATATTTAAACGCTGATATTATACATTAATATACTCAAAATTAAAATAAAATAATAATTAAACTGAAGAATAAAATTTTTGATTTCCAGTCATCACAGGTCGTCACTTTATTCACTTTTTTTCTATTCTTATTTTTAATTTTATCACTTATTTAACACTCAATTTCTACAAATTTCTCACCTTTTTATCATTATTTTTTGAATAAAAAAACTTTAAAAAATTTTTTTAATATTTAAAATATTATTAGAAATATTTTAACTATTTTATTTATTAATTTAATTTTTTAAAATTTTACTTTCATATTTTGAAATTAATATACAAATTATTATTGAAATTTTATTATAATTTACTAAAAAAAAAATTCCCTTTTCATTTGTATTTTGAATAGGAAATCAATACTGTGATGTGACTGGATTTCAAATATTTTCTCCCCCGTAATCTAACAAGTATACAACCGTTAATAGGGATTATAAAAAAAAATCTTTTTTGGGGAAAAAAGAAACACATTCTTTTTGGGTAAGTAAAAAAAAAAAAAAAAAAATGTTGAAGATTTGAATTTACAAATTTTGATTTCAGAAGCCCCCAAACCACTGTAGCTACTAGAGGATGCACAAGTTAGCTAAGGGTCTGAAGAAAAAGAAAAAGCAGAAGAAGGGAAAAAAGGGAACTGAAGAAGACGAGTTTAATCCAGAAGAACTTGAACGTTATAGACGTGAAAGGGCCGAGGCCCAACAAAAATTAGCCGAGGAATCTACTGATGCAAACGCTTCTTCATCGGACGAGTGGAGAAAATTTGAAGCATTAACAGCTGGTGTTGATTCAATTCTTAAAAAATCACAAGGTGATCTTGATCGTATTAAATCAACTTCATTTTTTCAACGTAAAGCTCCACCTGAGGAGAAAAAACCTGACAATAAAGAATTAGAAGAAACAAAAAATCAATCAAAAAAGTGGATTGGTTTTGATAAAGACGGAAATCCCATTGAAGAAATACAAGAAGATAAAGTAATAAATGAAATTAATGAAGATGGTTTTGTCAATATTCCCGACGATGAAGATGAACAAGAAGATTCATCAGAGGAAGATATTTTTGACACAACCTACATTGATGTTTTACAAAATACAGAAGTTCAATTAGCCTATATACCAGAGAGTCCAACTGAAGAAGACGCTGGTGACGATCCATTCGATACAACTAGTGCTGAAAAAGTTTTAAAAACAGTTGATAAGAAAGGAAAAAAATTAGTGAGTCTTGGCAATGCTGTTGAAGTTTTAGCTGGTCGTATCGATTACGTGAGCACTTGTAAACTCCAATCAACTGAACCACAAAAACCACAGAATTTACTATTGGATGACGACGTTTTTTCCGAGACTGATAAAATTCTCACTATCAATTCAGATCCAATTGAAATAAATAAAACACTTTTGGATGATGACACTGACATACAAGATTTACCAGAAATTGACATAACTAATTTACCAACAATAATACCAATTGTCTGTTCAAGTGAGGATAAAACAACAAAAATAAACGAAAACAATAATAAAACTGAGATTGATATTTCCGAATTTGAAATACTCAAAGAAAGTACAATTCTCGAAGAAATTCCCGATTTAGATGACAGTGAATTTGATTTAAACGCCACTGACGAGGTAATTATTCTCCAAGAGGCTGAGGATCCATTTAGCTCAAAAGAATGTCCAACTGAATTTCAAGATGAAATAGTTGAAGCAAGTTTTGAAGTTGCCACATTTGTTAATGAAGAAGATCCATTTGACACTGCATTCGCTGATAATATTTTACCTGGTAAAACAGAATTAAAATTTATTGAAAAAGAATTGGAAGAATTACCCGAATCAATTGTATCAATATCATTAACTGATTCAACGGGACATAATAAAGAACGTGAAATTAAATTATTAACAAAAAATTCTGTACCATTATTAAATAATTCTCTAGAAGCAGCGAGAAATAATTTACTCGATAGTTCGGCAACAGATTTAAATCAATTAGCTGACGAACCAATAAAACCATCCGAGGAATTAACATACGTTGATCCATTTGATACATCAGGTGTTCAAGAACTTCCACCAGGTAAAACTGAATTGAAATTTCTCGAAAAAGAATTATTGGGCGAACCTCATGAATCACTTGATGATGATGATTTTGATCCAAGAAAAGATGAAATAAATCCAATTGACAATAATCAATCTCAAAATCGTAAAACTTCGAGGCCAGAAGTTCTTGAGGTGACTCAACAAAAAGCAGTTGCTTTTGAAATTCCCACACCATCAGGTCGATTAGATCTTTTATCAACGAGTAAAGAGGAAAAAATATTACCATCAAAACCATTGACACCTTATTATTGTCAAAAATCATTTGAGGAAACATTTGAAAGTGACATTGAACAAGAAGTTGATCCATTTGATACAAGTTTTGTCGTTAAGGTTGCACCAAGTAAAGTAGAATTAAAATTAATTGAATCTGAATTACTGAAAGCAGAGACACAATTACCAAATAATAATCAACGATCAACCGAAGAAGTTATAAGCCAATATACAAAACAAAATTCAGTGACAAAAGTTATTGAAAGACAAGAGAGTATACTTGATTCTGAAATAACAGTTGATATTAAACCTTTAACACCTTGTATTGAGAAAAAAAATTTAGAAGAAGAAATCACATATTCTGATCCTTTTGACACGTCAATTGCTTCCAGTATTTTACCAGGTAAAGCCGAATTAAAATTATTGGAAAACGAACTCAGTCAAGTTCCTGAGAATCGTTTTATTCCACTTAATCTCGCACAAGTATCTTCTAGTATCATCGAAGGAACTAATAGTAATTTAAAGGAATCCACTGACTTCCTTTGCTTAGACGCCAATGATACTGGCGATAAAATACTAACACCTTTACAAGAGGAACAAATTTTCGCCCAAGAAGAAGAAGAAATAGATCCATTTGACACCAGTTTCGCATCAGTTGGACTTGGCAAAACAGAAATCAAGCTATTAGAGTCAGAACTGATTAACAAATAAAAAATAATATATTAATTCTCAAACTAAAAAAAAAAAGGAAAAAAATAATTTAAGAATTAAATTTAAGAAAATTAAATAATCGAACAATAATTTTAAGAGAATTGATTAGAAAAAGCCTATCCTAAAATAAAAATGGAGTCCAAAGGTGGAAATCCTTTCTTAATTGATGACCAATCAACTGTGCAGGACACAGGTTTATTTCAACAGACATCAAATCCTTTCCTTCAAGAATTTACCGAGCCAACCACAACAGTTGGCGAAAATCCATTTTTAAATTTCACCGCTGATCAATCATATCAGCCACCATCATTGGATTCAACAAATCCATTTGCAAATCCATTTGCCGCTGAATCAACGAGCATTGAATTGGATTTAATTAATAACATACCTACCTCTGATGTATTAACTAGTCAAATAGATGTTACAACTACAAATATTTTTCAAGATGATACAAAACCAGATATATTTGTCCCTATTGATGATACAGATAAGCCTATTGTCAAAACATCACCATCACTCCCATCAAGACCACCACCACCAAAACCACCGGCAAGAAATACAAAAGATCTTATACTTTCTGTTACCGGTGCAATGGATGCAACATCAAGTCAAATGTTGGATCGTCTACAACAAACGAGAACACCAAGTCCAACATTAATGCATTCACCATCGCCTACACCCGAGCATAGTGTTGCTGATCTTTTAGATGTTGATTGTAGTGTACCCGACATATCTTCTGATGATAGAAAACAAATTGATGATACAAAAAATCGTGATATTATGGACATCTTTGATGTTACAAATACAGAAACAAATTCTGTTAATCCATTATTGTCAGATGATACAACATTCCCTGAGATGATACAAGAGAATATATTTACCAATAATATTCCAATAAATGAAACACTAATTGATGATTCAAGTATCGCTAGTTCTGTGGAACATATTCCAACAACCGAGGTCACTGTCACTGATACCAGTCTATCCGGAGAATCTGCAAATTTATTTTCAGGTAAAAAAAATTCAAATACATAATAAACTTGGTAAATTATAATAATGTTTTTTGAAAAAATTGATTAACATAATTAATAATTAATTTACACAGAAAAAAGGGTTTGGTATTGACAACCAAACGTTTGGTTGGTATTTAAGTAACCAAAATTTTTTTTGTTGAATCAACAAAATTTTAATTGTCTCAATCAAAATTTTGAAAAAAAGGATTTTTGTTGTCCTAATTAAAGTTTGATTGGGACAACCAAAATTTTGTTGATTCAACAAAAAAAAATTTTGGTTGCTTAAATACCAACCAAACGTTTGGTTGTCAATACCAAAACCTTTTTTTCAGTGTAGCTAAAAATTTTAGAAATTGAATTTTTAGAGATCATTAATTAATTTAATATTATATAATAATAAAATGCTTGGTCTGTCCTTCTGTCCTAACTTGAAGTTGGCCTTTTCTGATTTCACGTGTTTTTTTTTAATAGTAATCTTATGACGTGTCAAATTTTGACAATTCTTTTTCTCATTTTTGCCAAAGTTGTATAATTGTGTTTCCAAATTTCGGAATAAGTTTCTTTAAAATTCCAAATTCGAAAATTCAATTCACGAAGCTGAAGTACACAACGTTTACCAACGAAATTTTTTTAAAAGTTGTATATTGATTCAAAAATTGTACAAAAAATTTATGATGAGAAAAAAGATGCGCCAGGAAATTTCGTATAAGATAGTAATTTGAAAAAAATTTATTTTTAAAAATTAATTTTTAAGGTACCAGTGGCCAATGAATACCTATAAAAAATTAATTATAAAAACACAGGCCTCGAATCAACTTAAAGACACAAAAAAGTCGATTTATATTCCAAAAAAAAGTGGATTTGTATTTTATTTTAACAAAAATATTTTACAGATTTTTAAATAAAAAAAAATTTTTTTTTAATAATAATCCTTTTCGAAGGGTTAAAGTTGAAATTTTTAGAAATAATTAAATTTCAAAAGATATTGTTAATTTTCAAACAATTATTAAATTTTACAGAAATGAAAATAATTTATCAAACAATTTTTGGAAAACATTTTTTTAAATTTAATTGAATTTTCAAAGATTTAAAATTAAGATTTTTGAAAATAATTGAAACTTTAAGTGTTTTGTAATTAAAATTTTAGATGATTTCACTAAAAATTTATTAGAAAATGCGGACAAAATACAGTAATTTGAAAATCATTTTTAATTGAAAAATGGTTTCAGATGGTTGAATTTTCAAAGAATATTATTAAAATAGTTAAAAATAATTGAATTTCCTTAGAGTTATAATTAAAATTATTAAATTTCAAAAAAAAAATTTTCGATGGAAAATTTTAGAAATAATTAAATTTTAGATGCTTTTAAATTCAAATTATTGAAAATTCAATTAATTTTGAATTCCAATTTTTGAGAATAATGAAATCATATTTAATTTTAAAATTGAAAATTTTTGGGAAATAATTGAATTTTAATTGAAATAATAATAATAATTATAATTGGATAATAATAATTGGATAATAATTTAATTGAAGTTCATTTTTGATTGAAAATTTGGATAATTAATTTTGAATAGAAATTTTAGAAAATAATTGAATTTTATTTCATTTTAAATTGAAAACTTGGTGAATAATTAAATTTTAAATTGAAAATTTTGGATAATTATTGGATTTTTAATTGATTTTTAATTAAAATTTCAGGTAATAATTGAATTTTAGTTTATTTTGAATTGAAATTTTTAAAAAATAATTCAATTTTATTGTGATATTTTTTTTTTAATTATAAACAATTGTTAAATTTCATAAAAATTTTAATTGAAAAATAATTTTGATATAATTAAATTTGTGATGTATTTCATTAAAATTATTAAAAATAATTAATTTAGTGAAGAATCATTTTAGTTCAAAATTTGTTAAATAATTGAATTGAAGAAGATCTGAAGAAGATCTACATTTTATACTAAAAAAATGTATTTTACTTACATTTTTTTTCAAATGTAAAAAAAAATGTCGCATTTTATTAAAATAAGTCGATAAAAATCGTATTTTTGAAAAAAGTCGTATAATCCGAGGCCTGTAAACATATAATTTTCATTATTATCATTTAATATGTAATAATATTCTAATAAATTAAATTATTATTGATAATATTAATCGCGCGTTTAATTTTGCTAGTTTTGTAATAAACTCGAAAATAAAACTTTCTCTTTGTCAACAGGTACGGAATCAACAATGCCTGATTATTTAGAATCAACGACGCTACCATTAAATTTGAATGCAAATGAACAACCTGTAATTGACGAAAAGCCCATGTCACCTGGATCTGATATATTATCATCGTCCGATGTAAATTTGTCTTCCGTGACTGAAAAAACAACTTTTGGAGTTCCCGAAATGGGAACAGCAATGTTTTCAGCAATATCACCAACAAATACCAGTGAAGGTTCATTTTTCACTTCAATTGAAAGTGTTTATACACGTGACAATATAAACGATGCAACATCAATAAATATTACAGCTACTGATTCATCAAATGCAATCAATGATTTGGATTTTAAAACAACACCAACATCAGATTTTGCAAAAAATGAAAGTTACTTTACAAATGAAATAAATAATTTTCCAAATGTCATGGAAGAAACGGCTGATTCTTTCGATGCATTTGCATCGAAATTTGATAAAGCCGCTGAACCAAGTTCAAATAGTATTTACGATCCTTTCTCCGGTGGTTCAATGGGAATGGATACTTCCGACGATGGTTAATTTCTCTACTATAATTTTACTAATTAATTAATTAATTAGTTAATTAATTAATTAATTAGTTAATTAATTAATTAATTCTAATGAAACTTTTTTCTGCAGTATGGGGTGATTCAACAGTTGGAAGTACAGATGCTGCATTCACTGGATTTGATGAATCAGATGGATTTGATTCTTTCTTGAGTATGACGGCACCACCTCAAGAAACTAAAATGAAACGAACTGAATCTGCTGAATCAGACGAGGCTCCTGATTTTAGTGTTTATATCAAGTAAGTGTTACTTTTATTATTACTAATTTGAAAAATTACACAATTTTCCATTGTTTTTTTTTTTTAGACCTAAAGAAGGAGAGCAATTGAGACAAAGTGAAGAGGGTCCAGTTCCAATTCTTGCACCACCACCAAAAAGTCCACAAAATTCTGCTTATTCCGATGCAACATTGCGCTTTAATCCATTTGATAAATCCGCTGGTTTTGCTCAAGAGGCTTATGTACCATCAGACATTCCACAAGCTGAAGTCAAACGTACCGATTCACAGGTAAACATTTTTTTTTTTCCATCAAGAAAAAAAATGGAAATAATTTTTTTTTTTTTGAAATTAACAGGAAACACCGCCGACACCGCTTTTCGATGAAGATGTAAGTCAGCCATTGGAAGATTTTCCACGTGTTACATATACAGGCGATGGTTGGGAAATGCAACTTCGTCAACCAAATAAAAAGAAAATAACAGGACAAAGATTTTGGAAGAAAATATTTGTACGACTTGTTTATCAAGGTGATAATCCGGCTGTTCAATTGTTTCAAAGTAAAGATGATAAGGATCCATTTCAAGAGTTACCATTATTACCATGTTATTCCGTATCGGAAATTGGTGCCCAACAATTTGATCATTATGGTAAAATATTTACGGTTAAACTTCAATATATTGTCTATAAGGAGAGACCAGGCGTTCGTCCCGGTCAAGTGACAAAAGCTGAAAGATTAACAAATAAATTGAGTCAATTTGCTGCATATGCGATTCAAGGTGATTATCAAGGCGTTAAGGAATTTGGTAGTGATTTGAAGAAATTAGGTCTTCCTGTGGAACATGCACCTCAGGTAAAAATTGACAAATCTAATGAGGATGAAATTTTTTTTTGTAAATTCAATTTTAAAATGAAAATTATTTTTCTGTATAGATATCACAACTTTTTAAAATAGGATCTCACAATTATGAGGATATGAAAGAATTTTCTTCGGCAATTGAAGAAGCACTTTTTAGATTATCAGCTCACAGAGATCGTGCATTGCAATATAAAATGGAGGAAGTTCAAATATCGGTTGTTGATGAACTTTATGTTGAACAACATGCAGACGGTCATGTAGAAAAGCAAATAGCTCGCGTTCGACTATTTTTCTTAGGTTTTCTCTCAGGTATGTTATCGAACAATTTTCCAATTATATATGTAAATTAAAAAAAAAAAAATATTCTATTTCAGGAATGCCTGACGTTGAATTGGGTGTGAACGATATGAGAAGACAAGGAAAAGAAGTGGTTGGTCGACATGATATTATTCCAGTTGTCACTGAAGAATGGATACGATTTGAAAATGTTGAATTTCACTCTTGCATTCAACAAGATGAATTTGAAGATTCAAAAATTATAAGGTACTTTTTTCAAATATATATATATATATATTTTTAAATTAATTAATTTCAAAATAAAAATAAAAAATTCTAAATCTCTGTGAAAATTATTTTTCTTCTTTAAGATTTAAACCACCTGATGCGTGTTATATTGAATTGTTGAGATTTCGAGTAAGGCCGCCAAAAAATCGTGAATTGCCTCTTCAATTGAAATGCGTTTTTTGCGTCACGGGAAATAAGGTAAAAAATAAATTTTATTTATTCAAAATTTTAATTCTAATTAATTGAAATTGAGTTAATGTTTCTTTTTTTTCAAAATAGGTTGAAATAAAAGCGGACATATTGGTCCCGGGTTTTACATCGAGAAAATTGGGTCAAATTCCCTGCGAAGATGTTATGGTACGAATACCAATTCCTGAATGTTGGATTTATTTATTTAGAGTTGAGAAACATTTTCGTTATGGTTCAGTAAAATCAGCTCATCGACGAACGGGTAAAATTAAAGGCATTGAAAGATTTCTTGGCGCTGTTGATAATCTTGAACCACAACTTATGGAAGCAACATCGGGTCAAGCGAAATATGAACATCAACATAAGGCTATTGTATGGAGAATGCCACGATTGCCTAAAGAAGGACAGGGTGAGTCTCGTTTCGAATATTTTATAATCGAAAAAAAAAATGTCTAAAAATAAAATTGAAAAATCGAATCGAGATGGTAAAACAAAGAATTTCTATAGAAGACATAATTTTTTTTTTTTACAGGAGCTTATACAACGCATCAATTAGTTTGCCGTTTAGCATTAACGTCATATGACCAAATTCCTCCAAATTTAGCACAGTATTGTTATGTTGAATTTACAATGCCAGCAACACAAGTATCACACACAACTGCTAGAAGTGTTAGCTTCAGAAATCATGACAGTGATGATCCACCGGAAAAATATGTACGAAATTTATCTCGACACGAATACAGGTAATTAAATATAAATTTAATATTTCCAAATATTTTTAATTAATTCAATTTTCATAAACACAATTTGCCAGATAAATATTTATAATTGAATTCACATTAGATATAATTTTTATTCATAATTCCTATCACTAAAAATAACTAAGTCAATATTCAATTTTGTTAGCTAATGATATTATTGATTTAAAGGGTTGGTATTGAGCATACAAAAGGTGAAGGTCCGGGCGCTTATTTAACTGCAACGATAGCTAAACCAATTCCCGAATCAACAGCAGAAACACATGAACCAGCACCAGCTGAATCCGACTCTGATTCCTCAGAATAGTGCAATAAAATGTAAGATTATGATTTTTTTTTATTTTTCAAATTTGCGAGAAGAAACAAAAAAAAAAAAGTGAAGAAAATATAAATGCGTATAGTAAAATAATATGAGTTTTAATGATGAAAATATAAGTTATAGAGAGATGTACCTAGCTATATATATAATATATGTTGCAAATTAATGTAAAATGTTGAAACTATTCTATATAATAATTTATAAAAGAAAAGGCTTGGTTTTCCGCTTTTGTGTTTGCAAATAATTGGATTGAGATTGATTGTATACTGAATCTATTTAAATTATAGGATATATATATATATATATATTTAAAAAAATGTACAAGAGTTCCATTTGTGAATTATTATAAAAAAAATGAAGGCAAAATTTATATGCGGGCGTTAAAGACGAAGTATCGTATCAATGTAACAAAATAGAAATTATAAACAAGATAAAAGGCGTGTTAAAGTATATTGATAATCTCGATTTTTTTGTGTGTTGTATATTCAATATTTCACTTCAATTCAATTATCTTTAGGAGTAACGAAAAAGTTAAAAAAAAAATACTAACAATTTTTGATTAATTAATAGTAGTTTTAAAAAACAATACAAATTTTAAAGATCTTAAAAAATTCAACATCAATGAAAATTATAAAAAACCGAAATTTTAAAGATCAATTTTGAGGATAATGAAAATTTCAATTAATTCAAAGAATTTGCACACAATTTTTAAAATAATAATGATTAATAAAAATTTTGAGATTTGAGTAATAATAATAATAATGGATAATAAGAAAATTACACCTCAAAATTGTTAATTTTTATATTATATAATATTGGATGAATAAAAATCAATCCCATTTTTGGTAAAATATATTTCAAATGAGGAATTCTAAGTAAATAATATATATATATTTTACTTATAACATTAAAATAAATAGAAAACAAATGGCATGAAAATTATATTTGTCGCATCAATTAAAGAATGATGTCAACAATTAAATTTAGATTTTATTCTTTTCAAGATTCACACGAGACATTTAAATTCATATCACATGCACTGACAATAAAAAAATCTGTTTTATTTATTTTTATATTTTTAAAAAGACAATAAAAAAATGATTATTTAAAAGCTATTTACAGGTTTATCGACGCTATATTATTATATTATATTAATCGTCAAGAAGAAGAAGATTTTTATTTAAAAAGAAAAAAAGATTAATATCCCTAATGAAGTTATTTTTTAAAAATCTTTACTTTTTTCTATTTAAATGTATTTCTTTAATTATAATTTTATCTTTTTTTTAAATTTGATTTGATTTGAATATTTAAAATGAATAAACAAAATTTTCTAAATGATTTTTGCATCAACAATAACTTAATTAAAAACATCACGCATATATAAAATTGAATTCCAATATATCTTTCATTGTATAAATTTAAAAATTAATTAATAACGAAACTCTTTAATTGTTTGCAAGCGGAATGAATTTCCCATTTTTTTTTTTTTTGAATTATAATTGTTTTTTTGTTAACAATTAATTATAAATCTAAATTAATCGAGGACGTTCAATTTTACTAATTTAAATTTGTATGTTGATTAAAACGTACTTTATTTATTTATAATTAAATCAATAATTAATTTCCTTTATACAATAATAATATTGAATTAATTGTATATTTAATTACTGTTATGAAAATTTTCACAAATTTCTCTTATATAATTTTCAAAAATCAAATACTAAAATCTTAATATTTGATATATAGAAAATTCATTCTATATACAACTTGTATAATCAATAATAAACCTAAAGAAAAAAAAATTGTTTTCGATACAAAATTCAAAAATCTCTATTTCATCCCTTAAATATATATATATATCATTCATTTATTTTCAAATACTTTCTCAATAAAAAGAAAAAAAATTTAATAAAAAAAATCTTAAATCTTACTGAATAAAATACTCAATAAAATCAATCTCTAAGATTCGTGATTTTTCAAAGATTCAGCTAATGGTGAAATTCGCGTACGCATTTTTATATGTGCGATAGACCTACATCTCTTCTGTTTTATCGACCCCCATGTACCAAGTATTTCCACCCTTCTACTGAGATGTGAGATTGTGTAAAATGACGCATGCTCATAGCTTTGTGCGTGATCTTTTTGCTTATATACGCTAGTTTATCGGGGGTCAAAGTAAAGGGTATAACATTTTGATTCTAAGTCAAAATTCAAGAATCTCAATACCTCTTTTTTTTTTAATCATGGAAGAAACTTGAAAAATAAGTTATACTCTCTCTTTTTCGCTATACCTTCTCTAAAAAAATGAGTTATAAATTCAAAATTCTCTAAAATGTCATCTGGTGGTGCTAGTTCTATGTTAGTGATTAATAAACAATTAAACGAAATGACAGAACGCTTGATCTCTTTATCTTCTCGGTTAATATAAAAAAAATTCACACAAAATGTAAATTTTCTCTGTAAATTTACTATACAATACCAACAAAAAAAAAAAAATAGACTCTAAAAAAAGAGCAACTCTTTCCTTTGATGAAACGAGGAATTGTTTTACAATGAAAGTTATGTGATAATAAACACTCAATTACGCGTGAAATTGAATATTTTAAAAGAAGATTCGTGATTACAGTGTTTCAAATTATAATAAAAATATAAGTTCTAAATTGAAAATCAAGTTGGAAAATTTATAAAAAAAAAAAAAAAAAAGAATTAAAATATCCAAATTTTAGAAATGTTTAGAAGAAAAAAAAAACTTTCAATCGTTAATAAGATTATATAAAGAAAAAACTTAATAAATAATGAACGTTAATTACATTGAAAGAATATATATATATATATAAATATTATTATATCGTAGAGAATGTGCTAATAGATTTTAAAAAAGAACAAATTTATCTTCAAATAAAACAAAAGGCAACGCCCGAGGATTGTATGAAGCTTCATCAATTTCCATAATATAGAGGAACAAAAATATATAAATAGAGAAAACAAATTTTCCTTCCTTTCAAAAAAAAAAAAATAATAATTTTTCTCAAGAAAAATATTACGATGATAATGTCAAGAAAAGAACACGAAAAATACATCATTAGACAACAATACAAAGTGTCAACATTAAAATTAATTATAATAAAAATATAAAAAGAAAAAATGATGAGGAAACAATTATCGAAGATACAATATATGATTAGACAAAGTGTAATTTTTGTAAAAAAATCGAAATGATCGTTTCATTATATTTAGAATTATTCATCGTTTCGATGACATTTTATGTAAATGCAAATTTAAGTTCAAGAATTGTTAAAACAAACAATGGTGAATTATCAGGTGTTATTATTTCACTTGGTCGTAATATGGAAAGTGTTGAAGTGTTTCGCGGTGTTCCCTATGCATCGCCACCAATTGGTTCACTTCGTTTTATGCCACCTGTCAGTGGTGCAATTTGGCAAGGTGTTAAAATTGCCGAGGAATTTGGACCTGTTTGTCCACAAAAGTTACCATCATTATCAGACAAAATTCCTAAAGGAAGACTTGACTATCTTCGTCGACTTCTTCCATATTTAAAAAATCAAAGTGAAGATTGTCTTTATCTTAATATTTATGCTCCAGTTCAAGGTAAGAGTGAAAAATTAATTTTTAAAAAATATTTTCACATCTCAAGTTGAAAAATATTTTTTTTTTTCCAGCTGGTTCCAGAGATATTGCAAGCAAACGATATCCTGTAATTGTATTTATTCATGGAGAAAGCTACGAATGGAGTAGTGGTAATCCTTATGATGGAAGTGTATTAGCTAGCTATGGAGGTGTAGTTGTTGTCACAATAAACTACAGATTAGGAATTTTAGGTAAAACAAATTACAATATGAAAACTAACGATGAAAAGAAAAATATTTTACGTTTTCACAATTTAAAGTCCTTCACGAATTTTCTATATATTTTTAATTCTTTAATTTATTATCATTTTAATTTTTTTTTCATTTTTAATTATAATTTATTATTGCAATTTTAAATGAATAATAAAATTATAAATAAATATTAAATTAGAAATAAATTTTTGGAAAATTTCTTAATTTATAGGATTTTTAAATGTTAATATGGATTCAAACTCACGTTCACCAGCAAATTATGGTCTTATGGATCAAATTGCTGCCTTACATTGGGTTCATGAAAATATTGTTTATTTTGGTGGCGATCCTGGTAATGTTACTTTGGTTGGACATGGAACTGGAGCAGCTTGCGTTAATTTCCTTATGACCAGCCACGCTGTTCCGGAAGGTAATTTTCAAAATTTATTCCAATCCTAAAAAAAAAGAAATCCTCAGTTTCTATTTTCTTATCATAATGCTACGTTTTTTTATTTTTATTTTAAATAAGTAATTTAAAATTTTTTTTAGAATTAAAAGAAAAAACGTAATTTTTTTTTTGAAAAGAACTGAAAAAAATTATTTTCTTTAGGTTTATTGTTTCATCGAAGTGTTTTAATGTCAGGAAGTGCATTATCTCCATGGGCACTAATAAGAGGAGCAGCTAAATACGCTACACATATTTCTAAATATTTAAATTGTTCCGAGGTTAGTAATTGAAAATTTTTAAAAAATAGATGAGAATTGTAAAATTATTTATTTTTCTATATATATATAGGCTGGCACAGATTCTCAATCATTGCTTCAGTGCTTGAGAAATGTTCCATTGGACACATTACTCTCGGCTCCAATACAAGAACTTAAATTTGCACCAGCATTTGGACCCAGTATAGACGGAGTTGTTATAACTTCCGGTGAATCAGAGGATCAATCTTGGAATTCAGAAATCGATACAATAAATACTTTATATAATATTTTATTTAGAAAAGATGTAGTGACAAAACTCTCCAGGTAAATAATTCGCTCAATTTTTTTTTCGATATTTCAATTAAAAAATTTTTTATTTTTTTTATTTTTAGATACGATTTGATGGTTGGTGTCGTCAGAACTGAGGCATATTTGTCACTGACTGCTGATGATGCTCAATATGGAATTGAGGCTGATAGAAGAATTAAAATGCTACGTGAATTTGTTCATAATACATACACTTATCATCAGACAGAAATTTTAGCTACTATTATTAATGAATATACAGATTGGGAGAAACCCGTTCAACATCCCGTGAATATTAGGTAAATTTTTGTCTCAACAAATTTTTAATTACGAATTTTATTCAAAAAAAATTTTTTTTTAGGGACGAAACATTGGAAGCTTTAGGTGATGCCAATGTTGTAGCGCCAACAACAAAAACAGCTGATTTACACAGTCAAACACATAGAAATTCATATCTTTATGTTTTTGATTATCAGACAAAATTTGGAGACTATCCTCAAGTAAATATTAAAAAATAATAATTAATTCAAAAATTAAGAAACAAAATTTACAAAATATTTCTTATTTTTTTAGAGACAGGGTTGTATTCATGGTGAAGAATTGCCATACTTTTTTGGAGCACCATTAATTGGTGGATTGGCTCATTGGCCGAAAAATTATACTCGAGCTGAGGTTGCACTTTCGGAAAGTGTAATTTTATATTTAACAAATTTTGCACGAACTGGGTAGGTAAAAAATTATATTTTTAAAAGAATTATTAAAACTTCATACATTTTTTCCTTCTCATTTTTTTTTTTAGAAATCCAAATGAGGGCACAGTAGATTATGGACCACAAAACTCCCGACCTGAACGCACAAAATTGAAAAACATTGACTGGACAGCTTATGAAGCAGTGCACAAAAAATATCTCAGTATAGGTAAAAATTCATTTGTTTTAATTTTTTCACCAAAAATAATTTTTGCAATAAAAAAAAAAAATCGTTACAGATTTAAAATCAAAACTTAAAAATCATTATCGCGCACATCGATTGTCATTTTGGTTGAATTTGGTACCCGATCTTCACAAACCGGGCACAGATGATGTACCAAAATCTCATCATTTATTAAATATGGACCAGGTAAATTTATAATTTTCAAATAAACAAAAAAAAAAAAAAAATGCAAAACACTTTTATTTTTTCAGATACCACCAAAGATTGTTCAAAAAATACCAATAATATTAACATCGCCAAGTTTAGAATTAACATCAGAGAAACATGAAAATTTATCATCAGCAATACCAAGTGAATTAGCATTTGGTGAATCAACATCACAACCAGAAGATGGTTTTGCGGCATATTCCACTGCCTTAAGTGTCACAATAGCAATTGGCTGTAGTTTATTAATTTTAAATGTTTTAATATTTGCCGGTGTTTATTATCAACGTGATAAACATACTTATCATAGTGAAGAGAAAAAATTTCAAGAAAATGGACAAATGCCAAATAATATTTGTGGTGAACTTGAGGCAAAAGTAACGTCCGAAAGAAATTATGTGAAACATATGTCATTACCGGAATTGACAAATATGCAAAATAATTCATGTCACGTTCCAATACCACCGCCACCACCAAAAAATATAAAACCAAATAAATCGATTAAAAATTTAATTATTAGTCCTAATCATTTACAGCAAGAGAACGTGATAATGGCTACCTCAACTACTGGAAGAAAAAAGGATGCCCACACTTATCAACAAATTATGGAAGAATTAAGAGTTTGATTTCTGTAAAATTCTTTTTTTTTTTTTATGTGCAAAATGTTAAAAACGACGAAATTCGAACACATTATAAAAGACACATTTATATTTTGTGACAGCATTTGATAAAAGTTACTATATATATATATATATATATGTTTTTAATATATAGTTGAGTTTGATTTTACAACTAAATATATATATATATAAGATAAACAATGTGATTAAGAGCCACAGAGCTCTGCGTCCTCGGGTAATTGCATTTCCAATAATATATATATAAATATTACATTTTATATAGAAGTGTGAATAAAGAAATTGTGTAGCGATCTATGCAAATAAAAAATTTGGGAGACAACAAAATAATCGACTTAATTTTAATATTAGTATACATAAACGTTTTTACCTTTTTCTCTCCATCAAAATAATATCTGAAGATATATCTAACCTTAAATTATTGCATGATTTGCATGAAAGAATATCTTTATATGTACTTATAATTCGTAACATTTTTGCTTTAGAATGAACAAACAATACTCTAGTTTGTGCTTTGTATTAATTTTCCTCATTAATTATTATTCACTAAAGATTTTAGGGTTAATTTCTTTTTTATATTTATAGTTGTTCTTTTTCTTTTATACTTACTATTAATATAAAATTAATTAATATCTTTATCATCTATGTTTATCCACAGGGTATATGAAACAATAATAAATTATTGTGCCATCTATGAAGTAATCTCTCAAACTTAATGAAGCAAGTAGTTTAATAATAAGCGCCATCAAAGATTATGATGAATAATAAATAATTGTTGAAATAATTTTTTTTGAAGAAGTACAGATACTGCTCATAACATTGTTCAAGTGAAACTGAGTGGGGGATGCTAAAGCTCTCGGTTTTTACTAGACGTCCCTATCAGTATATTATAAAGCTCTGCTGGGCGCCTTGTGATTGGTTGGCAGTGAATGCCCGAACCAATCACGAAGCGCCTGGCAGAGTCAGCATACTGCAGTGGTGGTGGGGAGGTCTGGTATAAAACCGGACGGTTTTAGTAACCCCCACTCAGTTCCACTTGGACAATGTTATGAGGAGGATCTGTGCTTCTTCAAAAAAAATTTTTTCAAAAATTTTTTATTATACACCGTACATAAGAAGAAGGATTTGAGCTTGAACCCCCCACTCAGTTCCGCTTGGACAATGTGATGAATAAGATTTGCACTTCTTGAAGAAAAATTATTTCAACAATTTTTTATTATTCACCGTATATATGAAGAAGGATATGAACTTGAACCCCCACTCAGTTCCGCTTCGACAATGTGATGAATAAGATCTGCGCTTCTTCAAGAAAAATTATTTCAACAATTTTTTTATTATTCGGCGTACATAAGAAGAAGGATTTGTACATCTTCAATCAAAATGATTTCAGCTGTTCTCCTTTATGGTAAATTTGTATTAATTAATATAACCTATCTATACATAAGAAATATTAGTTTCGCGTTTTTTTGCATTTAGAATCACTTGTTTTTTTATAACAATATGCTAAAAGCATATTATAGTTTCGATTATTGAATTTAATTATTACATATATATATAAATATTTATTTTTTATGAAGCGAATACTGCCGTTTCAGATTTATATAATAATTATTAGATAATGAGAATTGCTTATCTTAATTATTCCATTATATTTGTAAAATATTAATATTGAATGTTCGTTTCGTTATGTTGGTGAAACTGAAAGATTTTTTATTCTTGTATTGGCATGCCTGCGCTAGAAAGAAGGAATAGATCGCGTTGCAGGTGTTGGAATTAAGAAGTATATCATATCAAATTATTTTAATCTTAGCTTTAATTATTAGTATTCTTTAGTAATTAAATACAAGTTTACATAAATAATCGACATTTTATATAAGTTTATTGTGAACTAGTTGCAAAATAATTATATTTCGATAAACTTTTTTTGACAAGAAGGTAACCTTAAAATTTTACGATTCAAAAAGGTAAAATACAATTTAAAGTAGAAATACATAATTTTTTATGAGAATAAAGTTCATTTTTCATTTATTTAAATATAATACAAGAAAAGATTAAATGAATTCAGTAAAAAATAACTTCTACATTATTAGTTAAATAAATAGTTTGAAAGTTTTTTGCTGTCAGGTTGGTAGAAATGTATAAAAAAAAAGTATGGCGCTTATTTATAGTATACAGTAAACATTGTTGGGAGAAACTAAATTTTTTGTTAAGGAAAGTTGATATTAATGGCTATTTACACATGTTTACATTAATTATAAATATTTTTCAATAATTGGATTCAACTATAATTTTATTATTTTAAGTGAATTGTGCCAGTGAATATAAAAATACTATTTATTTTTACAAAGATAAAATTGAACAAGTATAACCTCAAAATATTCTTGACACAGATAATTTCATGTCAAATTTAGTTTGAAAGCTGGACTTTTGTCCATTATATTTAAAAAGAAAATTTATCAATTGTTAATTTTTCTTTTTATTTACAGAATTGAACAATGGAACGAACAAAAAAGGATGTTGCTATGTTGGTCCAAAAGAATAATATATTGCTTGTGATCGGTAAGTGTTTTTTATTTTTTAATTAATTTTTTTTTTTTTGAAAACGTATAAATGAAGATTAAAATAATTTTATTAATTATAATTAATATTCTAATTATTTTCTTTATTAGAAATATTTTATGTTTGATTTTTAAAAGGATTTATATTATTAGTTATAGCGGCGTTAAACAATTATCTAATTGTTTAAATAATTTCAACATTTTTTTTTTAAATTATAGGAAAATAAATTAGTCTCGGTTTATTCAGGTTCGACTGTAGTATAAAAATTATTATTTAATTGTTTATAAAAATTCAAAAAGAAATTCAAAATTTTTTTCAAAAATCAATATAGGTTTTTTTTAATTAAAAAAGTATTTTAATTTATATCAGGACTATTTCTTCACACATACGTTTCTTATTAAAAAAAAAAAAAAAAGTTTAGGTATCGGTTTTCTTTTACAACTCTGCCGACGTCAACACCGTCAAACATATATATATGCAAACATTTAGCAAGTGTGATTGATATTTTTATTAATCAGTTCGTAAAATGTGACAGTCAAAAATAAAATAAAGATTAAAGAGAAATGTACGAATTAGTTGCGTATATATATGAGAAAATGAATGAACAACCTTGTCCTTGGTTATACAGCAACAAGTGCGTGTATAACGTATAGATTTTAGCTCTTGGTATTATATGTATATATGTATATATACAAAATCCCTGTATGTGACTGCGGTTATATGATTCAGTCGACGAATTTTGTAAACATACTCTTTTCTCCAACGCACGTGTAATGTACAGCCAGTCGTTTCAGATTCATAATGGCTCGTAATTTAAGAGCATGAACGCTTCAAGGTATATATATGCCTTATATACGCGGATATAGTATATAGAAATCGAGTCTTTAGTTCCACGAATATAAATATTAAACTCGGTCGTTGTTCTTAAAAAAAAAAAAAAAAAAAATTCATTAAAATTTTAATGTATTATTTAATTTAATTGAATCTTCAAATATTCTCTTATTTTTTCCATTTAAATAAATTTTTGACAATCGACTAAGAAAAAAATTGTTAAATCAACATTTTGCTCAATAAAATTTTTTATTCGTTCGAAAAGTGTATTAAAATAAACTAAAAATGAAATAAATATTTATGTTTGAATTAAACAATTTTTGTTTGAAATAATCAAAAAATTGTGTTAAGAGAAAAAAATGTTATAATATATTTGATTCAAACAAAACTTTTTTCCCCCTACGTTTGAATAAAAAAATAAAATAAATAATTTTTTTTTAGTTTATTCCGATGTAACCTGAAGGACAAGAAGAATGTGGACGAAAAAAGTGTCTTTCCATCTACAAGTAAAAGGAATGATTCTTCAAGAGTGATCCAGAATAAATGCAGTCATTTCTCCGACGTGGGATTCATCGACCGGTGAGTCGTTTTTCCATTTAATCCCTTCTCTCTTAGAGACAATTATGAAATGATTTTTTTTTCATCTAAAATAATATAATTAATGAAAGAAATCTGCAAAGAAAAAATATTCGATTAAATAGAATTTTGATCAATTGACAAATATTTGATTAAATAATACGTTAATTTAAAAAGGCAACTATTTTTTTTTTTTTTTTATTGAAAAATTGAATAAAATTTGCTTCATGCGAATTTCGATTAATAAATTGTTAATAGTAGTAATTTATAATTGAGGAATTAAATTTTATAAATTTTGTAAGTTATTAGGCCAAATATTTGGCCTAATAACTTACAAAATTAATAAATTGTTAGGTAAAAATTAATTAATGACTATTTTATTAAAAGCAAATTCAATTGAATGACAAAAATAAATGAAAGGTTGAATAAAAATTAAGAAATCGTGTTAAATATATTAAAATTTTAATAGATTAGTTAATAATAATTTTTTAATTATAAATTCGAATTTACATTTAGCAAAATTCTTAAAACAACGAATTTTTATTTTACAGAACTTTCATTTATCCGAATTAAATAGATGGCAGAAAAAATTTGGCGCTGATTTTAAAATTATATTCAGAAGTTGTCAACGAATTTAAATTTGGTTGAATTGAAAATTTTCTTCCATTTTTTTGCTGCCTGATATTTATTCGAACAAATGAAATTTTTGTAAAATATATAAAAATTCGACGTTTTAAGAATTCTGTCAAAAATTCGAATATAAATAAAAATTCGTATAGAAAAAAAATTCATTCTAATATTCTTTTAAAATACAAATTCTTTTAATTTTCTATTGTCTATATTAAAAATTCAAGCAAATAATAATACAAAATTCGATTAAATGAAAAGTCAGTAAAAATTTAGTAACAATTAATATAGAAATTCAGTTTAATGGACTTTTCCGTTAAATATATAATAAATTTGAGAAAATAAAAATTCGTCTGAAAGTAAATTCTAAAAAAAAACAAAAATTTATTTGATTTAAATAATCTTGACTATTATAAAATAAATAAAACTTATCAAATAAATAAATTAATTTTAACCAAATAATTTTTATTTGAATTAAATAAACTGTATTTGGACCATAATAAATTCTGTATTGGAAACAAATATAATTTAATTGATAATTAATTAATATAAATATTTATTTAATAGTACATGGAAAAAAAAGTAATTTTCTGTGTTAATAGTAAAACGCGAACTATCCGAATTTTCTGCGCATCTCTGTCAACTTTTACTTCAAAAATAGTAAAATTTACTATTTTTGTAGTAAATTTTACTGTTCCGTAGTAATTTTTACTATTTCTGGAGTAAATTTTACTATTTTTGGAGTAAAATTTGCCAGAGAGACAGAAAATTAAAAGGCATTAAAATAAGCTCCAAAGCTTCTTATTTTAATCCAATTTTGCTTATTTTAATACCAAAATGGATTAAAATAAGCAAAATTGTATTAAAATAAGAAGCTTTGGAGCTTATTCTAATGCCTTTTAGTTTTCTGTGGATGCGCAGAAACTTCGGACAGTTCCCGTTTTACTATGAAAGTAGTAAAAATTTCTTTTTTTTCCGTGTAGACAAGTGTGAACGATTATTTGAATCAAATAAATTTTCTTTTTCAATGTAAGTATTTTGAAAAATTGTAATAAATGGATTTTAGAGCTTATTCGTATATACATCTCGATTTTTGCTGACCCCTTTTTTTAAAAAAAAAAAAAAATGTATCGGTTAAGGATATTGGTCGATTTATGGTTTCACAAGTTGGTAAAGCTATAGGACTGTTATAAATGTGGGGAAATTCTTACATATAGAAAAGAGGGAGGGTTAGGGAGGAAAGGGAGGTATGATAAGGAAAAAAATACCCACACCCGCAAATTATGTGAGGATTTTGTACACACACATTGAAACTTGACTATAGTACAGAAACATTTATATATATATATAAAGAAATACGCGTTTCAAGTTTTAACGAGAAGTTATATTGAAGTCTATATAATGCTTCGACTTGTTGCATGTACTTTTCCCCTTGAACGATTTGCTCCCCACTCTACTATTGCAGTTGAGGTACCACAACCTCCCCCTTCTTTTTATGACTCCTTGAAACTCTCCAACGCATTTGTTGTTCGCGGGGTCTCTCTGGTTTTCTTGATTGCACATTTGCTCTATGCACATAATGTTCACGAGCTTATTCTCAATCATAGAACGAACTAACGATCGAGAGAGAGAGAAAGAGAAAAAAAAAGAAGAGAAACGTGAGTGTGTGTGTGTGTGTGTCTCTCTCTCTCTCTCATTCTCGTTGTGACTTCTCTCATTTATATAGCACTTGAAGAATTGACTTTTATTTCCTTCGTTGAAACGATTGTCGATTGACCGTCGTTCTTTGGTATTTTCTTCTTCATCGACTAGTCAGAGGTGATAGACGTTGTGCCCTGAAAAAAAAAATAATAAACTCATTTAAAAATAGTGTTTTTCGAAAAGTTTCCTTTCGCTAGTGCAAAAAAAAAAATAATAATAATAATAATAATAATAATAATAATAATAATAGTGAAAACAAAAAAGAAATGAAGAAAAGAAAGAGTTCCGAGGAAGCAACACAACGTATCTCCAAATATCAGAAGAAAGATTTTGGTAAGGGAATATTTTATTTTTTTTATTAGAGTGGTGTTAGATTTTGGTTTTCTAGAAAAAAAAAAAAATTGATAAAAAAAATTAATTTTCAATAAAAAATTTATTTATTTTTTTTTTGAGCCTTTTTTTGTAAATATATTATTGACTAGGTTTTGTCACTTATAACTGGGTCGGTGGTCCGCGAGTTACTGGAGACCGAGGACCGTCTGTGGGGGATGTATATATATGTTGGATATCAGAGTGATAACGCCGCCCCTGCGCTCGCGATAACACAAGTATATATTGTATTAAGTGCGTCGTTAGTGCAGTGATTTGCTTATATATCAATCTTGGTTGTACCTTCTATTTTCCCCACCTGTGAAAAATTATTGTTTTTATAATATGTTAACAATTTTTATTCTCTTCTCGTTTTATCTCTCGTTATTTAGAAAAATTTTCACAATTTATTCTTCTTCTTTACTTCTAAATTCTAAAGTAGGAAAAACAATTTTTTTTAAGACTACATTGCAAATGAATAATTTTATAATTAATGATTTAAGAATTCGATTAAAATTTATTTTAAATATAATTTTTTTTTAAATACCATATAATAGTTCAATTTTTAAATAATCTCAAAAAAAATTTATTTAATTCAAATAATCGATTATAGTGAAAAAAAATATTTCCCATAGGTAATGGTATTTTTTTTCAAATACAGAAATTATAAATTCAAATATAAAATTTATTTAATTCAAATAAAAATAATTTCTTTCAAGTAAATATTTATTTCGATAATAGTGAAGAAAGGGATATTATTTAAATCAAATAATTTGTTTTTCAGTGTAATTAAATAACGGTGGTAATTTTGAATATTTATTTCAATAGGAAAAAGATTATCATTAAAAAAAGAAATTTAGACCACTAATTGGTTTATTCATTATTATCATTAGGATCTGAAATTGTAGAAGTCTGTATACATATATATATATATATATATATAAAGAGGTTGAAGAAAAATATGATATCTTCAACACCTGTTGCAAACTGAATAGCTTTTTTTATCCTGTTACATTCTAAATAATTAATTAATAAATTACTTTTACAATTTATTTAAATAATTTAATTATTTTTAACAAAATTTTTATTTATTATTTATAAAACAAAATTTTTATTTCCGATTTTTTATTTTATATTAATATTAATCATTATTTGATAATAACATAATTAATTAATTGCTACATAGAAAATTAAAAGGCATTATTTTAAATAAAAGGCTTATTTTAATCCATTTTGGTATAAAAATAAGCAAAATTGGATTAAAATAATAAGCGTTGCAGCTTATTTTCAATACCTTTTAATTTTCTGTCTATTTGATATTATTAATTATTAATTAATTAAATAAATAATGACTAGAATAATTACACTTGAAATTCTTTTAATGAGTTATTTACTAAAATTATTTGCCCTTATTTAAGTAGTGAAAGAATTTTAATTTTTCTTTAATTAACGAGTTAATTTTCTTAACGTTGTTATATAAATATAACTTTTATAAAAAATTGTTAAAATTAAATATTTTCTTGTTATATTTTTATGAGCGCAAAAGAGATTTAATCCTTGGATTTTAAAATTCTGAAAAATTCTTTTCTTTCTTTTTTTCTATTTTTTAATTGAAAATTGATGTGAACTTTCATTACAGTTAATGTATATGAAGCATATAATTAAGTATCTGTATTACGTTTCTTCGCGGCCGTTAGATTTTATCGCCTTTGAACGATCGCCAGGGTCACTATTATTTCTATTTAAACATTTGCCCGCTATGTCACGTGTCTCTTGACTCATAAATATTGTATATTGTTTTGTCATTTTTTTTTTTAAAGAAATTATCCCTTGATGAATTATATAAAATTTTTAAAAAAGTTATTGTCAACTATTTTATTTTTTTTTTATTTTGCAAATTTCACTCCTAAATTCTGTGTGTTGAAAAAAATTTATTTGATTCAAATATAATATAACTATGGATTTCTTGCGACTATATTGTTAAATAAATATTTACTTGGACCAAATTTTTTTTAAAATTATATTTTAAATATATTGACAGAGAAACGCACCTGCTATTTGCGCAAAAATTCTTTATAATAGTTTACATTAAAAATTCCAAACAGTCCATGTACTGTATATGTATATATATACTATAATATAAAAAGAAAGAAAAAAATATGAATGGTACAGGTCCAGTCACGTGTGTTGTTCGTTTGGATACTGTGATGATGGTTATAATTTAATAACTTGCAAGCGATTCATTTGTTTTTACTTAGAACAACGTACATATATACGAAAGAGTTGACAATAGCTTTAAAATTTTTTAAACATTCTACAATCATTTTTCATACACTAAAATCGTTTGTCACATTTATTATTTGATATTTAACTTTTGATCATCTATCATATCATAATAAATGACGCAAAAATTTTTTTTTTCAATCAGTTCAAAAGTTAAATAATTTATTATCAATAATTAATAATTTATTATATAATTATTTCCTTACATTATTTATATTATTATAGTTTATTATATTGCAAAAGTGAAAAAAGAAATTATTAATTTTTTAAAAGATAAACTTTTTTCTATTTTACTAAATATTCAAAAAAGACCACCGTTATTTAACTATAATAGTGAAAAAAATATTCTATTATCAAATAAATATTTATTTGGACCAAAATAATTTTTATTTGAATTAAATAAACACTGTATTTGAATCACTAATTTCTGTATTTGAAACAAATATATCATTTATATTTGAATATCAAATAATAATTATTTCTATTTTATTTATAAAAGTTTATAAAAATAAAAAAATATTTTTATATATTTTATACTTTATGAAGTTTTTTTTTTAGTAGAATATTTTATTTTACAATTAAAATATGAAATTTTAGTACAATATAAATTTAATTATATAGATTAAAATCATTTTTCGATTTAGAAAAAAGAATTTAAAACGATTGGCAGATGTTTCTTGAACTTTTAATCCCTTATATGTGTTTGCATTTTTATCACATTATATTGCTTTATAGTCAGATATTAGTTCATTCACGTCTTTAAAGTTATAAACATTTCGTCTAGAGTTTGCTTTTTTTTTTAAATGCAAATTTTTAATTTTTGAGATGACTGCGCTTATCGCTTGTAATACTGTCATTTTTTACATTAAGGTCCAATGTCGTAATACACACATATATACATGTTTACGTAAATATGAAGCGAGATGAGTGTATATTATACATTTAAGATATCGATTAAATAAAAAATTTCTCTTTAAAAGCTTAGCCGACAAATTTGCCTATTATATATACAATTTTTTTTTTTTTTAAATAAATCAAACATTTTTTTTTTTAACTTTCATCTTTTATTTCAGATTAAAATTACAATATTACACCCAGAGAAATGATTTATTTGAACCAAATAAAATATATTTGAATTAAATAAAAGTATATTTGTCTCAGAGCCTACTAACTTATTTATTTGGCGTAAATAAAAATTTTATATGTCATAAGTAAATTTTTCTTTGGCTCAAATAAATTTTTTATTTAAATGAAATAAAATATATTTGCAACAAATAAATGAGTTAGTAGGCTCGGAGACAAATATACCATTTCTCTGAGTGTACAATAATTTATATAGTATTCTTTAAAATTTGAAAAAATTCATATATTTTTTGTCATTTTCATCAAAAAATGTGAATATGAAAATATATTTTTTATTTGGATTAAAAAGAAAGGTTTATTTGGTTTAAATAATTTTTTTTGAGTTGAAAATAAAATGGTATTAAAATTTTCTGATGATTTTGTTCTGCATATAAAGTCGAGAATCATCAGAGTCAATCGTCACAAAAGTCAGGGTTCAGGTCAATAATTATTTAAATAACACTCACCTCCTAATGATTTTTCACTATATATAAAATAAAACATAAAATACTTATTAATTTATGTTTCAATGAGAAACAATCTTGGAAAACGTATCATTCAGTTATACAATATTTGCATTTATTTGAGACAAATAAAATTTATATGAAACAAATAAAAATATATTTGTCTCAGGGCCTAATAACTGTTTATTTGTTTTAAATAAAAAATTTTATTTAGCACGAATAAAATTTTATTTAGAGCATAAATAAAATTTTTATTTAAACCAAATAAAATTTATTTAAAACAAAGAAATATTTATTTGGGTCTGAGGACAAATATTATATTTCTCTAAGTGTATAACCTTCGATCCATTTAATATTGAAATTCTTAAAAATTGAATTATTAAAATATTTTTTTAAAAAATTAAATTTTTGAAATCGCAGTTTAAATATAGGATTTTTGATAGTATTAGGAAAATATTTCCACTTGCACTTTATTTGATTTCTTCTTGAGAGAATATATGATGTTGGGTCATTGTATATCATGTGTGTGAATAGAGGAAGAGAAAAGGATGCTTCAAAATGGCGACGCTAGTAAATTGAAATGAATGGTACGAAGAATCAGGCTCTACCTACAATTCTTTGCTCCGCCTTCACCTAAATCCGGTTTAATAATTTTATCACCTTTCGAAAAAAAACTACATTGATGATACATTCATTTATAATTTATATTTTTCAACATTTAAATAATTTGAATTTCCCGCCATTTTCACCACTTTCCATTTATTAACGCTGACGTTGAATATATAGGTACATTTCAAATGTCATTGGGATTTTCCAAACTTTCTAAAAATTCAGTAAATGAATATATAATAGGTACATTATTATTTAGAGAAAGAAAACAATGTATATGCAAAAAAAAAAAAATCATTAATCAAAACGACATTTCTTAATGAGAATCAATAATTATATTATAATTATATTATAATTAATAATAAATGATAACAAGTTACACTAAAAAAAAATTATGTGATTCAAATACTCGGTTAGTTGACTATTATCAAATAATTTTTATTTAAATCAAATAAACTTCAATAAACTATATTTATTTAATCCAAT